TTAAAAGCCCAACTTTTGAAAATCATAAGGCCCAATCGGCCCATTCATTTTAATCTCAGCCCATTTAGAATCCCAACTTTGTTAATCAGGGCCCAATCGGCCCATCAGATTAACCTCAGCCCATTTAGAACCCCAACTTGTGAAAATCATAGGCCCAATCGGCCCATTCCATTTGATTTCAGCCCATTTAGAAGCCCAACTTTGTAAATCTCAATCAGCCCATTCATATTAATCTCATAGGCCGAATCGGCCCATTCCATTTGATCTCAGCCCATTTAGAAGCCCAACTTTGTAAATCTCAATCAGGCCATTCATATTAATCTCAGCCCATTTAGAAGCCCAACTTTTGAAAATCATAAGGCCCAATCGGCCCATTCCTTTTTATCTCAGCGCATTTAGAAAACTGTAAATCTCAGGGCCCAATCGGCCCATTCATATTAATGTCAGCTCATTTAGAAGCTCAACTTTTGAAAATCATAAGGCCTCATCGACCCTTTCATTTTAATCTCAGCCCATTTAGAAGCCCAACATTGTAAATCTCAGGGCCCAATCGGCCCATCAGATTAATCTCAGCCCATTTAGAAACCCAATTTGTGAAAACCCAAGGGCCAATTAGCCCATTCACTTGATTTATTAGATGAATAAGGGCCCAACGGCCTATTCAGATTTATTTAATACAGCCCATTTGAAACCCAACTTGAAGTATTTCACAAGGGTTCCAATAATACAGTCTATTTGGATACTAAATTGAAGTAATTTACAAGGGCGCAATCAGCTCATTCAGATTGTTCTAATACAGCCCATTTAGAAACACTAAGAGAAGAGCACGTTGCTAAATTCAAATCGGTACAGAGTTCACAAAACTAAGAGAAGAGCACGTTGCTAAATTCAATTAGATACTCCATTGTATATAACACGAAAAGCCTATGTAATAAATATATATAGAGGGTCATATACAACATTGTTGGGAATACATTTGATAAAATAAAGTAGTTGGGACATTTGTAGTAATCAAGACTAATTTTTTATTTTCTTGTCAAGATATGTGTATATAGAAACACACAAGAACATGTTAAATTTTTGAGTTTTTTTTAATTTGCTTGTCAAGAAAAGCACACACAAAAAATATTAAATTTCAAGTTTTTTTTTAAATTTTTTTGTCATATGTGTAATAACACACAAAGATAAAATGTTAAATTTTAGAATTTTTTAATTTTCTTGCCAAGATGTGTGTATGAACACACACACATAAGAAAATATTAATTTTTTTGAGTTTTTATTATATTTTTCTTGTCAAGATACGTGTATTAACACACATACATAAATTTAAATTTTCAAGTTTTTTTTTTAATTTTTTTTCAAAGATGTTTGTATTAACACACACACAAATTATGTTAAATTTGCAAATTTTTAAATTTTCTTTCCAAGATATGTGTATATTTTAGAGATTTTTTTTTAATATTCTTGTCAAGATATGTGTATTAACACACACACAAAAATATTAAATTGTGAAGTTTTTTTATTTTCTTGCAAAAATGTATGTATTAACACACACACACACAAAAATTTTAAATTTTCGAGTTTTTTTTTAATTTTTTTGTCAAGATGTGTGTATTGACACACACACACGCACACACACACATACACACACACACACGCACACACACACAAACACACACACACACGCACACACACACACACGCACACACGCACACACGCACACAAGAAAATGTTAAAATTTCGAATTTTTTTATAATTTTCTTGTCAGGATATGTGTATTAGCACACACAAAATATGTAAAATTTGCAAATATTTTTAATTTTTCTTGCCAAAATGTGTGTATTAACACACACACAAGAAAATATTAAATTTTCGAGTTTCTTTCTGTGAATTTTTCCTTCTTAAGTTTGCAGGATTAATTTTTTATTTTCCTGCCAAGATGTTTGCATTAATAATCACACAAGAAAATGTTAAATTTTTGAGTTTTTTTTAATTTGCTTGTCAAGAAAATTATATTAGCATACACACAAGAAAATGTTAAATTTTGAATTTTTTCTTAATTTCTTGTCAAGATGTGTGTATTAATACACACAAGAAAATGTTAAATTTGTGAATTTTTTAATTTTTTTTATCAAGATGTGTGTATCAACACACATAAGAAAATGTTATATTTTTAATTTTTTTTTAATTTTCTTCTCAAGATGTTTGTATTAACACACACAAGAAAATGTTATATTTTCAAAATTTAGTATTCTAACTTCAAGATTTAATATTTTTTTGTATGTGCGTTAATACACATATCTTGACAAGAAGATTAAAAAAAACTCGAAAATATAATATTTTTTGTACACATAGCTTTATAATTTTCTTGTCAAGATGTGTGTATTAACACACACATAAGAAAATTTTAAATTTTTGAGTTTTTATTTTTTTTTCTTGTATTAACACACACACACAAGAAAATGTTTTGTTTCCAAGTTTTTAAATTTTTTGTCAAGATATGTGTATTAACATACACAAAAAATGTAAATTTTTTTAATTTTTCTTGCCAAGAAATGTGTATTAACACGCACAAAAAAATGTTATATGTGCGAGTTTTTTTAATCTTCTTGTCAAGATATGTGTATTAACACACATACAAAAAATACTAAATATTGAAGTTTTTTTTATTTTCTTGCCAAGATGTATGTATTAACAAACACACAAGAAAATGTTAAATTTTCGAGTATTTAAATTTTTTTATCAATATATGTGTATTCACAAACAAAAAAATGTTAAATTTTCGAGTTTTTTAATTTTTCTTGCTGTGATGTGTGTAATAACACACACAATAAAATTTTATATTTTTGAGTTTTTTTTTTAATTTTCTAGTAAAGATATGTGTATTACTACACACACACACAAAAAAATATTGATTTTTTGAGTTATTTAATATTCTTGCTAAGATGTGTGTCTTAACACTAAATAAGAAAATGTTAAATTTTTTATTTTTTGTTTTAATTTTCTTGTGAATATATGTGTACTATCACACACAGAAAATGTTAAATTTTCGAGTTTGTTAATTTTCTTGTCAAGATGTGTGTATTAACACACACTTAAGAAAATGTTAAATTTTTGAGTTTTTATTTTGCTTTTTTGTCAAGATACGTGTATAAACACATACACAAAAAATGTTAAATTTTCAAGTTTTTTTATTTTCTTGCCAAAATATATGTATTAACACACACACAAAAATGTTATATTTTTGTGGTTTTTTTAATCTTCTTGTCAAGATATGTGTATTAACACACACACACACACACACACAAAAAGTATTAAATTTTGAAGTTTTTTAATTTTCTTCCTAAGATGTGTGAATTAACACACACACAAGAAAATGTTTAATTTCGAGTTTCTTTCTGTGAATTTTTCCTTCTTAAGTTTGCAGGACTAATTTTTTTATTTTCTTGTCAAGATGTGTGTATTAACAAACACACAAGAAAATGTTAAATTTTTGCGTTTTTTTTTAATTTGCTTGTCAAGAAATGTATATTAACACACACACAAAAAAATATTATTTTTTGAGTTTTTTTAATTTCTTGTCAAGATGTGTATATTAACACACACACAATAAAATATTAAATTTTCGAGTTTTTTTTTATAATTTTCTTATCAAGATATGTGTATTAACACACACAAATAATGTTAAATTTGTGAATTTTTTAATTTTTCTTGCCAAGATGTGTGTATTAACACACACAAGAAAATGTTAAATTTTTGAGTTTCGTTTTGTGAATTGTTCCTTCTTAAGTTTGCAGGACTAATTTTTTATTTTTTTGTCAAGATGTATGTATTAACAAACACACAAAAAGTGTTAAATATTTGAGTTTTTTTTTAATTTATTTGTCAAGAAAAGTATATTAACATACACACAAGAAAATGTTAAATTTTTGAGTTTTTTTTTTCAATTTCTTGTCAAGATGTGTGTATTAATACACAAAGGAAATGTTAAATTTTCGAGTTTTTTATATAATTTCCTCGCAAGATATGTGTATTTACACACACATAAAATGTTAAATTTGCGATTTTTTTAATTTTTTTTTGTTAAAATGTGTGTATTAACACACCGAAGAAAATGTTATACTTTTGATTTTTTTTTTTAATTTTTTTGTCAAGATGTTTATATTAACACACACACAAAAGAAAATGTTATATTTTCAAAATTTAGTATTCTAACTTCAAGATTTAGTATTTTTTTGTATGTACATTAATACACATATCTTGACAAGAAGATTAAAAAAAACTCGAAAATATAATATTTTTTGTACACATAGCTTTATAATTTTCTTGCGAAGATGTGTGTATTAACACACACATAAGAAAATTTAAAATTTTTGAGTTTTTATTTTATTTTTCTTGTATTAAGATACACACAAGAAAATGTTCTGTTTTTGGGTTTTTAAATTTTTTTTGTCAAGATATGTGTATTAACATATACAAAAAATGTAAAATTTTTTATTTTTTCTTGCCAAGAAGTGTGTATTAACACGCATAGAAAAATGTTATATGTTCGAGTTTTTTTTAATCTTCTTGTCTAGAAATGTGTATTAACACGCATACAAAAAAATACTAAATTTTGAAGTTTTTTTATTTTCTTGCCAAGATGTGTATATTACACACACAAGAAAATGATAAATTTTTATTTGTAAATTTTTTTTTCCTATTAATTTTATTTAATATTTTGCTAAAATATGTATATTAACACATAAATAAAAAAATATTAAATTTTTGAGTTTTTGTTTTAATTTTTTTTGTCATGTACTATCACCAACACAAAATGTTAAATTTACCAGTTTTTTAATTTTATTGAGAAGATGTGAAGACACCGACAAACAAAGGATTCAGTACTGAGAAGTGAGAAGGCATCGCTGCGATCGAGAATCTAAGTTTCATTGAAATCAGACGACAGTGTTGGTCATCCCTGGAACGAAAGATTCTATAATCAGTTGGAAGCGACGACGATGCAAGGCGAAACTTATCGAGTCTTCTGTGTGGGAACCGTCGATACAAAGCTTGATGAGCTGCGATTCCTCGCGGGATCAGTGCGATCAAACATCGGCGCCTTCTCCAGCAACTCATCCTACAAGGTAAATGAGCCCCGACGCAGAAATATCACTTGATTGTTGACGAAACTATCTGGAATTTGTTCAATGTATACTAGTTGACCCCAGTCGCTCTAGGATAAACAAAAGGGTGAAGAAGTATCTAGAAATAGCAGTTGTTCACCCATCTTACTTTGCTAATATAATGAGATATATATCTTTCGTTTTGATCTGTTATAGTCTAGTGATGATCAATGGTTGGTTTTCATTGGAATCTACAGGTCGAGGTTGCGATTGTGGATGTTTCGGCGAGTACTGATCATCACAAGGAGACGGAGAATGTCGAGGGGTTTGGATTTGTAACAAGAGAAGAAGTTCTATCATGCTCACCCGAGAATAAAAAGCTTCCCGATGATAGGGGCGAAGCAGTTGGTGTCATGAGTAAATGTCTTGAGAATTTTCTCAGGCAAGCATTTGAGGATAATTCTCTTGCTGGGGCAATAGGGCTTGGCGGAAGCGGAGGAACATCGCTCATATCATCTGCCTTCAGGTCTCTCCCGATTGGGATTCCAAAGGTCATTGTGTCGACTGTGGCCAGTGGCCAAACCGAACCTTATGTTGGGACATCAGATTTGGTTTTGATTCCTTCCGTAGTAGATGTCGCTGGTATCAACAGTGTGAGTAGGGCGGTGTTTTCAAATGCCGGGGCTTCTTTCGCCGGTATGGTTGTCGGGAGGCTTGACACGTTTAGAAACTCCCCGAGTGAGAGCGGGAAATGCACTGTGGGTATAACTATGTTTGGGGTCACAACTCCCTGTGTAACTGCGGTTCAAGATCTATTAACACGACAAGGTTACGAGACACTTGTGTTTCATGCCACGGGTGTCGGTGGCAGGGCAATGGAGTCTTTGGTTAAACAAGGGTTTATACAGGTTTTTCCTTTGGCCGGTCGTTACTTTTTTGTTTTTTTGTTTAGTGGGTTTGATTACTTTTTTTTTATATTTCCTTTACCGGTTCCTACTACCTCAGGGAGTGATGGATATTACAACAACCGAGGTTGCAGACCATGTAGTTGGAGGGGTGATGGCATGCGATAGTTCCCGTTTCGATATTATCATAGAAAAAGGAATACCGTTGGTTTTGAGTGTAGGGGCCTTAGACATGGTGAACTTTGGCAGCAAAGATACAATACCTTCTCATTTCCAAACAAGAAACATTCATGTTCACAATGAACAGGTTTGGCAAAAGGGCCTTTGAACTACGAGTACCATGCTGAGTTTTCTTTTACAGCAGCGTATGTTTCTGCTTTTGGCAGGTTTCTCTCATCCGAACTACAGCACAAGAGAATAGAATATTTGCAAGGTTTATTGCAGATAAACTGAACAAGTCAACATCAAAAGTGAGGGTTTGCCTTCCAGAGAAAGGTGTCTCAGCACTGGATGCTCCGGGAAAGCCTTTCTATGATCCAGAAGCCAGTGGCGCTCTCATAAATGAACTGCAGAGGCTTATTCAAGCAAGTGAAGACAGACAGGTATTTCCTTGATTTAAAGTAAAACATAAACAAGGAGATACCTGTCTGTCTTCACTTACTTTAAGGTGTTGATTGCGTAATTTTCACAGGTCAATATATATTCTCACCACATCAATGACCCTGAGTTTGCAGAGGCATTGGTTGCTTCATTTCTCGACATCTGTCCGAAAACCGACGCGCATATCAAACCCTCTGAAACGGCTGCAACAAAACCTAGCACTGGAGAGCCTAACGATGCGCACCTGTCTGAGATGAAACCGAGGCCTGAAAGGATTCCATACAGTCCCAAAGATTTCCCCAATGCAAAACCAGGTTTCTTTTGTCCTTCCCAATCCTAATGATCACTAAACTAGCCACCGGATCAATTGGTATTCCGTATCATCTTTCGATACGGAGTTGCATGTTAGAGTATTAAGCATGCTTATCATCATTGGCTCCAGAGACCCTCGAACGAACTCAGACCATTTTGGGACGGCTAAGAGATCAAATAGAGAAGGGAATTCCAATAATCGGGGGAGGTGCTGGCACGGGAATATCTGCAAAGTTCGAGGAAGCTGGTGGGATTGATTTGATAGTGATATACAACTCTGGACGTTTCCGGATGGCTGGAAGAGGATCCTTAGCAGGCTTGCTTCCATTTGCTGATGCCAATGCCGTCGTGCTTGAAATGGCAAATGAAGTTTTACCCGTTAGTTTCTTTTCTTGTACTATCAATCAGTCTGAGCAAAAGAAACTTGCGTGCTCTTTCCAGTTACTCGTGTATATTGTGTCATGCATTTTTCTCTCTAAGACCCGTCTTCGTATGTCGAATCCAACTTGCAGGTAGTGAAGGCGGTGCCTGTTCTTGCTGGGGTATGCGCAACTGATCCATTTCGACGTATGGACTATTTTCTGAAGCAGTTGGAGTCCATTGGGTTCGTTGGTGTCCAGAACTTTCCAACCGTAGGTCTCTTTGATGGTAATTTTAGACAAAATCTCGAGGAGACGGGAATGGGATATGGGTGAGCAACAAAAACAAACCCCTTTCAAGAATCATTTCTGTATGTAGATTGTTTTAATCTCCACACTTGTCCGCTGTTGCAGCTTGGAAGTTGAAATGATCTCAGAAGCGCATAAAATGGGGCTGTTGACCACTCCGTATGCTTTCAACCCCAAGGAAGGAGAAGAAATGGCGAAAGCAGGAGCTGATATAATAGTAGCACACATGGGTCTAACCACATCCGGAAACATTGGGGCGAAAACCGCAGTGTCAATGGAAGAAAGCGTTGTTCGTGTACAAGCTATTGCAGACGCTGCTCGTAGATTCAACCCTGACATCATTGTGCTCTGCCACGGAGGTAATATATATAGTAACCTGTCGAATCCAAAATTCACTATTTGGTAAGAGTGTTTTTTCTTGTCTTAGCAAGCTTATCGTTGTACGTAGGTCCTATATCGGGACCAGAAGAGGCAGAGTTTGTGCTGAAGAGAACAGAGGGTTGTGTGCATGGCTTCTATGGAGCATCAAGTATGGAAAGGCTACCTGTAGAGCAAGCTATAACAAGCACTGTTCAGAAGTACAAGTCCATAGCATTCAAGTGACGTCAAAATAGTAACAACTTCTCATGGCCCTTTTATATGTGTGGTTTCTTTTTGTATACTGGCATGTGTTGTGGGTGTGGCAAATGTTTTCCACTTTGTTGCTTTAATTTTCTGTTGAGGTTAATATGTGTTCATGACTACAGAATCCTTTTGTTTTTTTACCTTTGATTGCATCTACTGATCTTTTCTTTTCTTATATATACTATATAATGTATCTACTTGTAATACAAGTTTCTTTCTTCTTCTTGTAATGGAAGTTTCTAACTTCTTCTTTCCTATTTACATATATGTACTGTATAATACAAGTTTGAAGAGAAAAAAATTAGACTTTTTTGGAGAAATAAGATTTTTAGATCTGACACTCATAAAAAAATTAGACGTTTGATAAAATAAAATTTTTGATTTATTTGGCTTGGAAAATAAATAATCAATAAAGTAAACCAGTGAAGTTTGACCAATTTTTTTTTTAAAAACTCAAATGGAATTATAGTCGACGTTGTTAACCTTGCAGGTCACGAAAAGCAAATGTAACGGCCTAATGAAAGGAAAAAACCCATGGATTACTTTAGTCTTTGGGCACTTACCTATCTGCATTTAGAAGAAGCTATTTACCAAAAAATTAACAAGTAGTTTGGGTTAAGTTGAGTGATGTAGAAGCTGTTGGTTACGTTCCAAACTTGGTTCTCTTAGCTCTGGGGAACTCGGGTGCAGCAGAGAACCGTTTAGAGTGGTCGTGAAGGTATAAGCAACTCTCGCCAAGCTTACACCCTCTGGCTTTACCAAAGAAGATGCACGGTTTCTGAGCCTTGGCATTTACTAGTCTCATACTGTTTTCCACCCTTCCTTTGTAACTGTTAGTTTCATTTGTCGCCGGAGTAACTCCCCCGTGTTCCCTAATAAGGTTCTTGAAATAGTCTAAGTTTTTCACGGGTTGTTTCGCAGAAGCCGGATCCTCCCGGTTTATCTTCATCGGGTATGCACCATTACTGCTTAGAGCATCTGGCGCTGAGTTCATCATCGTATTCCAAGTGCTGGAAGTTGAATTGTTAAGGGATTGGGATTGGGGTTTTGGAACTGAGACTACAACATCATCATCAACCGGAATTGGTTTCAAGGAATCTACAAGCCTTGGCAATGGCTTGAGCCCGGGAGACGATGGATAAGTGTGAGAATCCAAGGGAGGTTTCTGGTTCATCGATAGGGCACTGGACACGGGCTGAGTAGCTACACAAACACTGGACTGAACCGAAACAGGGACAATATTAGTCACACCATTCCCGGGCCGAAGAACAAGTCCAGGTTTCCCTGTTTCAAGTGGTTTACCAGCAATGTCATTCATCAGGCTCTTGATGATTTCCGGGTCAGTGAGGAACTTGACAAGTAAATCAGCATCGATCAAACTCCCCTGTTCCTTGGTATTCATCAACGCAGACAGAGCTGCCAGATTCAAGTCTGGTCCAAGTCCAAAAACAGCTGAAGGGGATTTGGGGCTGTGACAAGATTCAGCAGCAACAGCCGCATGTTCGTCCTCGATGGGAGTGAGACGGATGTTAGGAGTTATGCCGTCGTCAAAGCTTTCATCTTCTACAGCCGATGAAACTGAAGGGCTACAAGATAACAGACAAGAGGGAATGTGATGAAACACGACACAAAGCAGTTTGTTTTGCAATCATCAAATTTTCAGATTTACCGATCAGGGATGACAGAGCGGTGAGGATAGAAAGCTTCCAAGACTTTTGCGATCCTCAAGTTTTCACAAAGAGTTTCTGTGCTCTCTCCACCACTTCCAACAAGCAAAGCCTCATTGGGAATGAACTGTTTTGGCAAAACAAAGACGGTTAATAATTAAACCATTTTCATTCACATCATTATGTATTGATTGTCTGCACAATTCAAGATTACCTTCGGTGGGCGTTTCCATTTGATCCGGGGAATGTGTGAGATGTTGGGCCTCTCAGTTACTTCAAATCCAGGTGGAAGATTCGATGCCTTTGGTTTGCTTGACGTTTGAGGTGCAACTTTCGCGGGACAATCTTCTGTTTGAAATATCTTTACCTGTTCAAATCCTTATTTAGTTAGAAATCAACTAATCAAAATCTCACCCTCTTTCTGAATTCTAAACTTATTTCCCCATTTCAGTATCACAAAAGTTTCTAAATTTAATTTGACAAACAAAATAATTAGTTTTGTTCGTGTCACTTGCTTGCCTTTCCTCATGTGTATCATAACATAAACAAAAAAAAAAGTTAAAAGGAAAAAGCTTTGACGGAAAAAGTAAGAAATATTGTGAGATTTCTCTATTCTGAAAGGGAAAATACTGTTCTTCATTAAAAATAGTAATAATGTACTATCTTGAAGTTGGTAACTTTCTTCTTTGAACATCGATGGTGACATGTAACCAATTTTTGATAACCATTGTTGATAAGATTTAACGTCTGATTCAAAGTTCAATGAGTGGGGTGAATAAGATCAGTAAGAAGAAGGGAGAGAGAACGTCGACGAAAACATCGAAGTCTTTTATTGGAAGATGACGGTTGCTATACCTGACAAAGCATACTATCTGATGGCCATGAAACCCTTGATTTCTTCGATTTCTTCATACTGTAAACCCAAATTTCTCGGCAAATCAATCGGCAAATCGACTTTTTCTTTATTCTTTTCAAGTCAAATCAGTAACCACTGTTCAGATTTAGAACGAAACGAGCAATCCAATATTCCTATAGACCGACGCACTCCCGAATCTCTCAACGAATACGAAAGGAGAAGAAGATGGAGAAGAAGAGGCGTCGGCGATACGATATGTGTGGGAGAGAAAACCCTAATAAACCTATATTATTGGACTAATAATTGACTTCTTTAGAGTGAAGATATAAATAAAGGCGCTGATTGGCCCCTTCCCATTCCCAATCATATTTTAGTTATTATCCCTTATTATTATTATCAGTCTCTCAACGAGTCAATTACCAATTATAATTATCCCTTAATTATGATAATTATCAGTTACGTTTTCTGTTGACCTTATTTATTTTGCGCTTTAAATTTCAAACTTCAAACTAACAGATAAAATTCCCAAGGAGTAGGCCAAGATAATTAAATGTAATTAATTATTAAAGTCCATAACGGTGTTTTAGTCTGTATGTAAGCCCACAGAAGTATGTATCCTCAAGCCCACTACATTTTGGACTGCGCTTGGAAACCCATAGTGGCCCAATAGATAGATGGATTAAATAAAACCAATTATAATCGGTCAACGCTTGCCGGCTTATTGCCAAACAGGTACCACTTTACGTAGCCTCACAGATTCACCCGTGAAGTTACCAAATGAACCCTTGTCTGCGTTGAAGCTCTAGCTCAGTTTCTTCGTGGCATGCTCTATATAAATAATAGAACCACTCGGAGCTTAAAAAATCAAACAGAAAGCGAGTCCTGCACCTCTCATTTCTCCCGACTCAATGGCGTCCCAAGACAAAGTGTCCAGATCCGAAGCTGTGACCGTTGCTAATGGCGGCGGCGATTCTGACATTGATGCGTCGCAGCCGAGGAAGATTGCACTGGTAACCGGCATCACAGGGCAGGACGGATCATACCTGACCGAGTTTCTTCTCGGAAAAGGGTACCAAGTCCACGGCCTGATCCGACGATCGTCAAATTACAACACGCAGCGAATCAACCATATCTACGTGGATCCCCACAATGTCAACAAAGCTCGCATGAAGCTCCACTACGCCGATCTCTCTGATGCCTCCTCCCTCCGCCGTTGGCTCGACGTGATCAAGCCAGATGAGGTCTACAACCTTGCTGCTCAGTCCCATGTCGCCGTCTCCTTCGAGATCCCTGACTACACCGCTGATGTCGTCGCTACTGGAGCTCTCCGCCTCCTGGAGGCTGTCAGATCTCACAACACCGACAATGCCCGTAACATCAAGTACTACCAGGCCGGGTCCTCGGAGATGTTCGGCTCCACTCCTCCTCCGCAGTCTGAGACGACGCCGTTTCATCCTAGATCTCCCTACGCTGCGTCCAAATGCGCGGCTCACTGGTACACCGTCAATTACCGGGAAGCATACGGCCTGTACGCCTGCAACGGGATCCTCTTCAACCACGAGTCACCCCGCCGAGGGGAGAACTTCGTCACCCGGAAAATAACCAGGGCACTGGGGAGGATCAAGGTCGGGTTGCAGACGAAGCTCTTCCTCGGGAACATTCAGGCCTCCAGAGACTGGGGATTCGCAGGTGACTACGTGGAGGCAATGTGGCTGATGCTGCAGCAGGACAAACCAGACGATTACGTTGTGGCCACTGAGGAATCACACACCGTCGAGGAGTTTCTCGAGGTGTCCTTCGGCTACCTCGGCCTGAACTGGAAAGACCATGTTGAGATCGACAAGAGGTACTTCAGGCCAACGGAGGTGGACAATCTGAAAGGAGACGCAACCAAGGCAAAGGAACTGCTCAAGTGGAAGCCTAAAGTCGGGTTCGAGCAGCTGGTGAAGATGATGGTAGACCAAGATCTGGAGATGGCTAAGAGGGAGAAAGTGCTCGTCGACGCTGGTTACATGGACGCTCACCAGCAACCTTGATCTCGTGCTGGCCAAAAATAGTCATCATTATCTACTCCTTTCTTTCTTTTGTTGGATCTAATTCTGTTTCAAGTTTTTTCCATTTCTTGTTTCCTATTCTCTTGTTTCAAGATGTTGTTCAACTACATAAACTGCAAACCATCCACTGTGGATTTTGTATCAAAAGCAAACAAAGCGCAATACATATATGAATTTTCCTACCTCACAACAATGGTTTCCAAGAGCGATTATAGAGAGCTAAAATATAATAAACTACAGATAAATGACAAAAGAAAACAGAGATTCACAATCATAGCAGCAGCATCGTGCACCTATGCAGAAAATCTACAGGCGTATTCCGATTCACCAATCTATCCCCTGGTTAAAGAGTATTGACTCTTATGCCTCTTGTTTAGAAGACAAAGTGGTGTTTATACTGACCGAATCAAGTGGTGCAAGAGCAAAGGGCCTCACTGTTGACCTTAGAGATTCAGGTCCCTCAGAGTTAATTCTCTTACATAGCGTATCGCAGTTGTTTATCACCTCCGTCAACCTTCCTTTAAGCTCCCCAAGCTCCACCTGCAACCCATGAACTAAAGATATGTCCACCGGTAAGATACGTAGAGAAATGCACAGTGCAATGTCAAACCCATCTATCTTCTACAGTTTAGGTACCTTGAGATAAATGCTGGGAAGTTGTCCTCATCGCAGAAACTGAGTGGTTAAACCTCTGCACAAGTTTAGTCGCCAAAGCATCTGCTACTTCTATCTTGTTTTCTATATCTTCCTGGACACATGATGCAACATTTTCTAATTCAGTTCGTTTCAACTGCTACACCACGGTGATGCATAACCAAAATTTTAGAGCACAGAGGCACACGAATTCACTCAAACATGAAGCCTAAGAAAATGGAACATCTATTTAGTCTTGCAGTAATTGCAAACACTTCTTAAAGACCAAGATTCCATCTTCACTAAAAAAGGTGTGAGAGAAAAAGGCAGACCTGTCTCTTGGTGATTTCTTGAGATTTGCTCTCTTGCCATTCTCGGTAAATGGAGAAGAGCTCTACAAGTATTTGAGGATCCACCGTATCTGGGAAAAAGGACAAGTCTATGATGAAAACGAAAACGAAAACGAAAACGAAAACAAAAGCTTGTTGGGCAAATACAAGCTGTTTCATCATTTAGCTTCAGTAAACGAAATCAAAAGCAAAAATTATCCCCAAAACAGTCTTTTTTTCCACACAAAAACAAGACATCATCTTCATAAACATCTTAATTCAATAACGGGTTATCGCGGGTTTAGCAAACAAAAAGGTATCAAACTCACTGGAAGAGGAGCTCGATAGAGCTTTTCTCACTAAGATGTCCGTTAAGCTACTTTCCGTCGGAGGTGACTTCAATAATGGCCTACTCTGCAAATCAAATTCAACCATCAACAGGGTTTTATCTAAGATACATAAGAATACAAAAATCATAATTTCGATCTGAGGAAGAGAGTAACTCACAACTGTGAGGGATTTAAGTTTCTCGAGAACGGGATCGACTATTTCCGATCGATGAGAGATGGTCGTAATCACATCACCACCTCTGTTTTCCTGAAATTCCATCAAAATTAAACAAAAGTCATTGCTGAAGAATCAAATTGCTGAGTAACCGAAGATTGCTGAAGAATCAAATCCCCAAATCTCAATTACCTGAGCGCCTAAGAGCGTTGAATCGGATGCTCCCATATGGTTCACAAACGCTGGACAATCTGGTAAGAAGAAATGGTATCCAAAACTTGGAATCAATAATTTCAGTAGGTCGGGAGAACGAAGGAGACAACTGTTTCAACTTTCTCCGGTTACTCAGCAATGGATTCTTCAGCAACGAAACGTCCTCCTCCTTTTGACGTTTCGGGCATTTACAAGCCAACAGCCTGCCGTTTTAAGCCCCCTATTACGGTATTCAGACTACAATATGTTTTCAAACACATGCATGAGACGGCAGCTCGTCGGATTTTTAATGGGGGAGACAAAGCATGAGTAGCACAAACCATGCTTCTCCGCGCATGGTCGACAAAGCCCATATTTAATGGGCCCACCTTGAGCCCACTTTACTAAAAACCTTCTTTTTGAAAAATATTTTTTTTTAAAAACAAAAACACACCGTAATTTGTGTTTTGGGTTCGGACGTTCTGACATTTTTTTTTTTTGCCAATTCACTGATACATTATACAAAAACTCAGCTAGTGTAGAGCACACTATATATCTCTTATTCGACTCTCACCTTAAATTTATTACTTGGTTGAATTTATACGACCATATATAAATCCAGACGTTTCTTATGCATGCATCATGCATGCATAGAACGGTATACTACTATATGACCTCTCAAAAAGCCTTTTTTAGTCTTCGCCACTCATCAAGAATTGAGACGCCACGAACTTATCAAGGGATCTCCAATCCGTGATCTTCTTCTCGACGGCGGCGCTCGCTTCATCTTCCCCCGGGCGGCTGATTTCGGAGATATTACTATGCGGCGCCATTTCCGGCAACTTGTCTGATGGAAGAGAGGGGCTCTCTAGCTGAGGAAGCTGAGAGAATTGATTATCGTCGATGGAGTAAAGGTACATAGAGCCCAAGTCTCCATCTTGCACGATGTGGTTGGCCTCGGAGAGTAGTTCTTGCTTAAACGGTGTGACGACAAAATCAGTGTTATGCTTGGTGCGCTTGATGTGGACGTTCTTGTCGATAGGTTCCACTTCCAAGAGGGTTGCGTCGTAGAAGAAGCAGTTTGGGTCCCAAAGTTGTCTTCTTTTTGCCGGGACGGTCGTTCGTTTCTTAAATGCTCTACACACTACCCATCCTTCTTCCTGCTTCATCATTTAAATCCACTTCAATAACTGATATTTTGTATTCTTATTTCAGCTACTTTTCAGACCAATAAAGAGGCACGCAAAACTTTAGAACCTACTACATATATGTAATAAACACTTGATTTTCCTACGTATATAATGGGGGCCTAGTTTTAATTATGTAAAACTTAGAAGTTGATAGAAAAAGTACTGAGAAACTAATCATAATGTACAAATAGGGTATTATTAACCTGCGGAGGAGCATTCTGGTGGGACTCGAGGCTGTAGTATTCATGGATGATCCAGTCGGATTTTTGGCCGTTAGGAGCTCGACCACGGTAAAAGACGAGTGTCTTTCTCATACCGATAAGTTTGGAGTTGAGGTAAACCGCCTTATCCCGGCCCGTGGCTTTCCAAAAACCAGCCATGGTGGCTCGGTTAGTCCTCGTCCCAGTCGGATACTTCTTGTCTTTGTGGCTGAAGAAGTACCACTCCTTTTGCTCCTCGTACCCTATCCTACATCTCTCTACACGTATAACCAGTATATATTATATATATCATGTTGCATAGATATTAAACTCTTTCAAATTACAAATCTAGCATTAATTTATGTGGATCTACACGGACAGCACGTGGTTGATGAGTTGCTTGGATACGTAACTGATGTCGATCGGTTTTATTCATAACTTATCAAAACCCTAATTTCCCCTTGGAGCTGCCCGTCTAGATGTAGATCTTACATATATATAGAGAAGATATCGGATTCATATATAAAGTGTTCTAATATATAGATTCTATAGACAACCAATTAAGTCTATATATATATACATTTATATTTATGATTGAAAATATATAAGAGAGAGACGGGGAGATATATACACGGATACCTTGTAAAAAAAGTATATAGGAGAGAGACATATACCTTGTAAATCCCATGGTTCGATCTTGTAGAGATCAATTTCTCTGATAACGTCGAGATCGATCCTTTGGGATGCGACTTTCTTCTTGAGATAATATCCAACAAGCTCTTCATCTGTCGGATGAAACCTAAACCCAGGCGGCACACTGGACGACTCTTGATCAACCCCCATCATTGATAGTATCTTCAAATGTTTAGTTACTTTGCTGTGGTTTCTTCTTGATCGAGGAAAGATCGATCATAGAAGAAACCAGGACCGACTCTATCAATAAAAACAGAATGAAAGTCGTAGCGAAGATGTTAATATTAGGTATAGAAAAGGAAAGATATGGACCGTCCACTTGAACGTCGACGTGTGTGTTTAATTAGACTTCAGAGTGTAATCATATGCTCATTTCGCGTTAGCCTCACTCACCTCCAATGCTTCTATACATACATATGCACAGGTATTTATTATATACAAAAATCGCATGTTTGTTGTACAGATAACATATAGGTATAGACATATATGAATCTAATCATTAATATATGAAACCAAGGTAATAATTATGTTAGAAGTTGGAATGGGGATATAGGAAAATGGTTTTTATTTTATTTTATAAAGGTGGGTGACTCCGTTTTGAGAGAAACGGGAGAGAGAAGCTGTAAATATCATCATTTTGCTTTGTGATACTTCATGCTCCAAATGATGTCTTCTATAATCCTGTATACTCTTATTTTTTTAATATGATAATATTTTCTATTTTTCTTTTTATATATTAAAATTTTACTATACCATCAACTTTTATATAGTATAAATGATAATATTTTCTATTTTCCTCTTTATATATTAATAATTTAGTGCAAACTATGAAAAGAATGACTAAATAATAGTATATTTTCCAAATGATGTCTTCTATATAATCCTGTATACTCTGAGTTACTGAATATCGATGTCATATTGCTAGATTTTCAGTTACAGTATATGACGTTTATCTGTCAAATGTGCTGATGTGAAGCCTTTTTTGTCTGTTTGTCGTTAATTCTCGTGTCCAGACTCTGAATTATGTGTTCGTCAAAACAACTACATGTTTCTATCTTACACTAAATCTCACGCCTATAGTAAATATTATATCTAAATACCTACTATCATAGTGTATTTAATTATCCTTTAACTAGTGAACCGATCCCATCGAGCAAATAACTTAATGAATGTGTATACGCGTGAGTTTCTTTTGTATGTTCGCCATCGAAGGGGGTTATATATAATAGATGAAATGATTTTAAAACTAAAAGTTAGGGTTTAGCGATGAAGAAGACTAGGGACATCACAAAGCTCGCATGGATCTCCCTCTCTCTCTCTCTCTCTATATATATATATGCAAGAAATATGTGCTTGAATTAGGTCGTTGGATCGTTGTATAGAGCCAGTAACAAATATTAAATAAACGAGGAACCCATATATTATTGATATACAAGCGTGGTATATGGTCTTAAGACTCGCTTTTATAGAATTTGACAATGGACATTGTGGAGCCCCTCCGTTTGCGCATGGCTCTCTCATGGTTTATGTATTATTCTCAGGAGTCAACTTCTACTAGAGTGTGAAGTGGAACACACGTGGCCAGATCCTAGTGGGTAAACTGCTTGCTCATTTTACAAAGCGACGGGTTTGAATTGAGAGAGTAAACATTCAATAAATCAAAAGTGGACCTCACATTACGCTCTTCGCCGTGACAAAACTATATGAACCCCCCCCCCCCCCCCCCCCCCCCCATTGACAAAATAAACGTGATTTATTAATCATGCTCTGGTGTAAAAGGAAGTAATAAATATCCATCTCCTTCCCTATTCATCAAATTTGTATGTACATAAAAAAAAACAATATAACCATGATCAAGGATTACATGATTGAAAATCATTTACTCTATATCTACACTCCTAATTAACCCTCCGATCCATGAAACCTATAATGTTAGTGTTTTGACTTTAGTTGCTGATATATCTGAGAATGATGATATCTTTAGGGGTTGATGTTGTTTAAGCCTTAAGGCACCAAGCTTTTCAATCCCTTTCTTAAGTAACTTTATATTTTAGTGCAAACGCGATAAATTATACCAAAATTAACGTGAATGTAATTTACAACAAAATTGATTATGCAAAAAATATAATATTGTGCGACTTACATATAAGAGATCTAGTCTTCTTTATCTTCTTCTCATGAGGATCAACCTCGATTACCAAAAAGTTCCTAAGTCTTTTTTTGGCTTTCACGGTTTCCCATATTGAAGTCTGAATTCGTGTTTTTGAGGCGCATTTTTTTTGTAATTGTACTCTACCATACCATTGATTGGAGTAGGTTTTTTTTAATAACAACAAGATGATCATACTAATATTTTCGCATACCAATCACATGTTCTTCTTTTTTGCATACGTTAGGTTGAAGTAGGGGTGGGCATTTCGGTTTTTGGTTTGGTTTCGGTTTGGTTTCTTCGGTTTTACGGTTTATCGGTTTTACGAAAATTCAAACCATATAAAAGCCATATATATTTCGGTTCGGTATGGTTTGGTTTTTTACGGTTCGGTTTATTATGGTTTGGTTTCGGTTTTTTTAGAATTAAATTTTTACAAAATTTTTTGATTCAAACTAATAGAAATAATAATAATAGATATGAGTGAAATAAAATAATAAATTCAAAAAATAGAATCTAAATCATAAAAAAATCATCAATAACGACATATTTCAAAACAGAAAAACAAATAAATTATTAAATTTTTCATAATCAATAATTATAAAATAATAAACAAATTTATATTAAAATTTAATACCTATAAGGCTATAACCTTGAAACTAGAACTAGAAAACTTGAATGTGAAGAAAAAATAGTTAATCACGTTATTTTTTATTGAAAAATTAAGGTTTACTTTATTATTTTTATGTAGAGTTCTTTTATAAATATTATATTTTAAAAACCGAAAAAACCTTACGGTTTTTAACCAAACCAAACCTAAACCAAAGCTATAAAAAAATGATGGCCAAATGGATTTTTAGGTTTAACTATAATCAAACCATATCATTTTTTTCGGTTCGGTATGGTTTGGTTTTTTCGGTTATAGTTTTTGTGCCCACCCCTAGGTTGAAGTATCTTAGACACGTATTGCTTTTTCACTAATCTTGTGAAAGAGAGAGAGAGAGTAAAAAAAGGACCATGATGTGAAGATATATTTTCGTTACTCATTGTTAATTGTCCAAAGAAATGGTTCCACACCTATAAGTTGATTTATTGCAACTTTGACTCTGAGAATCACTTGGGAAAACATAAATATATCACCAATCTGATATTAATTAGTCCTAACGTCATAAAACGACACCGACTGATTTACGTAGTCAGATTGATATTTTGGGAACGTCACGGAAGCCACTGCCTTCAAATTCACTAATGGTTTGCTTTATTTATTAGAGTTAGTTACAAAAAGGAGAGGGACAAAACGCTGCGTTTCCAAAGACTAGATTTCTTGGGACGAGGTGGTCTGAAAGCAAAGTTGATGCCAAACATCTCGGTGGAAGTCAAGTTCATGTCCACGAATCCATGGAGCTTACCAACGAGGGAGGCGCTCTCTCGGACGTGACCCATGTCTTTGTAATCCGACCAGAGCCTGTGGGCCAGCTGGACCCGCCTGTGCCTTGTGTTCAGCCCAATGCCCCATCTCAAGAACAAATTCTCTCTCTCTTCTTTCGACAGCTTCCTCTGCATCAGCTTGCTCAGCTTAAACCTCTCCCTCGTCAACGCCCTCGTGCTGCTGCTGCTTTGTTTGTTTCCCCACATAAGATATTATTTACAACATTATTAATTCATACAATAGACTGAGATATTAATTAACATTTACCTGGAGATTAAGGTCAGATTGTGTCCATCGTCGCCGGCTTTGCTACTTGGGGCAAAAGATTCTCTGATGTATTTAAGTCTACGGAGTTCAACCTCCAAGTACAAGCAATCTTTCTGATCTCCTCTGAACAGAAGGAAGAAGTAGCTTCTGTGGGCCATGGAGACGTTACACGTGTGCCACAGCTCTATTATCTCCCTCTGTAGTCTCTTGAACTCCTCCGGCCAATTCAAAGGCGTGTCTAAGTAGTCCTGTATAGGGTCCAATGCAGCGTCTTTGAAACTCTTTGTCGCGCTCAAGGCCAAGAACTTGTGTTCTATTTCCTCCATCTGTTAAATGACACGGACTTGGGGTGATTTTTACAGATATCAAGCAAACGATTTTTTTCATCGTATTCTGGCTGAAGCAAGACTTACCGAGCGATGAATGATTCGCTTGTCTTTCTGAGCAGCAGTCTTCTCGGTTTGGACCTCCCTGGTTGATGCTCCACCACTTGTCTGAGAAACATCAGAGGGGCGGTACGGTGATTCATTTGGTGATGCCATTTCCTTACTGACATCATGCGAAGCAGCATGCCCAGTTTGAGAGTCACTCAAGCTTCTCTCGAGCCAAGTTGTTGCCATGCCAAACTCATCCTGCAATAACCTCTCATTTTTTATCTCGCACAGCACCAGGTTTCTCTCAGCTGTTTTAACAAACTCTTTGTCGTACCAGCTTGGCGGTGTATCAGCATCTTTCTCAAACCACGAGGAGGAGGAGCTCGATAACACGCTTGCCCTGCAGCTTCGACTTCTACTCAGTTTCATGCCTCTCAACGGTTGTGGATCTCTCTCGGTATCCCAAGAGAAACGCTTTACAGGGGAGGGAGTGATAAGTGCTGGAGGCATGGGGTTTCCACTAAGGTTAGACATGTCTGTATCAAACTCATCAGGAGAAGATTTGAAACCACAGCATGGAGGGGTTTTGATGATTTTGCTTTCTTGTTTTGGTTGAGTTGAGGCACCACTGACTTGCTTTACTCTTTCTTCTTCTTCATCTTCTTCTCCTTCTTCATCTTCTTCTTCTTCTTCAGCTTCTTCTACTTCTTCAGCTTCTTCTTCTTTGTCTTCTTCAGCTTCTTCTTCTTCTTCTTCTTCAGCTTCTTCTTCTTTGTCTTCTTCAACTTCTATGGGTGGTCGTAAGTTCGTTGGCTCTGTCACACATACTGGTTCTTCTGCATTCACAACGTCGTATCTGTCTGGACTGCTCTCCGGCATTTTTTCCTCTGGATGTATAGTGACATCTGACTTCTCCATTTCTATGCATCGAACTTCCCTGCAGTTATCCTCAGAATTTTCACCAGTCTGTTCAGCCATTACACTAAGCCGTTCCTCCTGAACATGAGGTTGATCTGGAATTTCCTCTATGAGAACTTGAGATTGTGCTTTATTTTCTTCCCCGTGAATATCAAGTACAACTTCAGGGCAAGGAGTTACAAAGGCCAGCTGTTGAAATGGACTACTTGACCCAGAATCTATCCTGAAATCTGAAAGCTGGAAGACGTTCTCGTCATAACTGTATTCAGTTGAACGTGGAGACAGACTGGAACGGTGAGCTGATATAGGGCTTAATGGTGTTGTATTCTCAGAGTCCCATGTACTGCGCACCCGCAGCTTGGGGTATTGATCTTCCAGCAACACCTGGGCAAAGACATAAACCAATTAATAAAACTGGCAGTAAGTGGATACCCTCGCTTTCTGTAAAATTTTAACATGTTGAAATAACAGACATTTAACTCTACTGATTCTCTTGTTAGTGTCTCTTTATTTCGTTGTCTTTCTTCTCCAACCATTCGTCGAAGATCCTCAATCTCAGAACGAGCTTGCTCTAGCTCTTGTGCTAGTTGGACTACCTCTTTTTTTAGCTGTAAGAAATGGGGCAGATTTTAATTCAAATCTCCAGAAAACTTAAACTACAGGGTGATTGGATTATGAACAAGACAAATCAATAAACGCAGGGAAAAGGTATAAAATGCAGCTGCATTAACATATAAGATGTTTAATATAATAGTGAGTCCATGGTACAACCTATTTCCTAATATGGTAAAAAGGGTGATTGGTGTATGTCCCGTTACCATTTCAACCTCGAGGTCCTTCTCCGTCAGTAATGCAGTTGTTGCAGAAGCAATCGGAGGCTGACCAGGGCTTCTCAACTCGCTTTCCAGTTTAGCCAACTCCCTCTGCAAGTGTTTTACTAAAGCTTTATCAGACATGACAACATTTACTTGTGCATTTGTTGTCACCTCCTTTGCGCAGCTCGCAAATAACAGTGTGTTTCTTGATTGCTCAACATGGATTCTTGCAGGACTCATGGTACAAATTATGGCAGTTCTGGCATTTCCACCCAAGGAAGACTGAAGTATGCGTGTCAGTTTTGAATCTCTGAATGGAATGTGCCCAGTTTTTCCTTTACTGCATGAGGTTAGCCACATAAATTAGTAATGCCAAGAAAAGGAGCATTGTTCACATGAATTGTGTAAAAGGTAAAAGCGGTGCTATACAGAAATTCACATAAACATGGTAAAAAAGGTGGTAATAGGTGTTAGCTATATGTTGAGATAGAGAACTTGACTTTCAAGTACAACAAACCCCTGCTCAAAGAACAAATATCGATCTCAGAAGACAGAAAACTTTGTTGAAGCTAAGTGCTCACAAGCTAACCTTAGTTTACGGATCACAGTTCCCAGCGTTAACAAGCTTCGGTTTATATGACAACCTTCTTTCAACCTTGTGCCGGCTGATAATGATTGAGATGCACGTTCACTTCCAGCAAGATCAATAAAGTTCTGCAGGACCAGTAGTTACTCAACGGATCCCCTTCAAAGTTTTTAGCAGAATATGTGATGGAAAGTTCAAGGATATGTACCACTGTTGCTGTTAGTGTACTAAATTTATCGTTGGTGAAAAATTCACGAGCCGTGCTTTCAACTGTCTGTAAGAAGATAGTCTTACTGATATATAAGTTCGAAAAGAAGGTCACAAAAAATGCAGTGTTGAAATATAAATATAGATCAAGAAGATGACTAACCAATCTCAAAATCTGATGAGAGCGAGAGCTAACTTCATTTAGAGCTGTCTCTCCAATTTGTCGTTGAGCTGCAAATGAAGATGATCGTCAAAATTGTTAACTATTAGAAAATTTAGATACCAGTTTGGATTATTTTTACCTTCGCAGACAGATAGGAGCTCCTTGAAATGATTCCAGTCTCGCAGAGTTTCCTCTGTGAGTTTTTCAACAACTGTCCCTTTCTGTCAGAATGAAAATGTCCAGCATGAGAGATTGCAGAAAAAATAAGTTCTATAAAATGAAAAGATTATATATACCTCAGGGTCATCTAGAAGTCTGAGAGGACTACTATCTGTACTTAAGAGGTCTCTTACAGACTCATTATAGATCTCCATGGCAGAGAACTTCAATATGAATTCTCTTTCCTTGTGCTGCAGAAAGCAGATAAATAACTACCACGGCAGCGAATATAGAATGTAGGAAGATATCAGGATAAAGTTTTCTTTCTTTACCTTGTCAATGTAGTCATATATATCAACCAAGGTGCAGTCAGTAATTCCACTCATAGTGTACGTCTTTCCACTGCTTGTTTGCCCGTATGCAAAGACGCTAGCTGAAAACATGCGTGTCAAAATGTATCTCCTAGAGAAAGAGTGAAACGCAGAAGGAAGGATGGCATACCATTGACGCCACTGACAACTGAGAAAGCAACGTCCTTCGCCCCTTGCTCGTACACTTGCCTCGTGCAACAATCAGGGCCAAACACTCTGTCTAGAGGCAGAGAAAGAAGGATGAGGTCTGATCAACAAAAAGACCAAATTTCCGAAACCATGTGAAAATAAAGATTGCCCAAGCAAAGGACCAACCAAATGCGTAAGCAGAAGGATACATGGAACGCTCAGAAATAGAGAGATGGCTCCTGTAAATGACTGTTGTATTGTTGATGCACTCCCAGTCAGGCACGTCATTCCTTAACCTTTCCTTGTCATTTAAAGGTCGCAGACGAACAGAAACATAAATCTTTTCTTCACATCCGCTTGGTCCTTGCATCTGATCCTCTTCCGTTGTCATACCTCTATTATCAAGTAGAAATGGACAACATTAACATTATATATACAATACAGGAAAAAAAAGTGGGTATTATGAAAGGCAAACTCAAATTATTGCCATAACAAGTCAATCATTGCAGCTCGAAAGTCCAATCATCATCTGGTCAAATTCCATGTCAAAAGAACATGTCTCTACCAACTTTAATAATTTAAGTAAATGTTACAGAGAACCGAGATTCTTGGATCCTAAGTGTGGAGACAGAGACAAACACAAGATTCATATTATAATTCAGGAGAGGTTTTGGAATTTTGCACAAATGGTCCCAGTTTTAGCAAGCCTGTAAGTGCTTCAAAGCTAGCCTATATATTATAGCCACAAACAAAATACTGAAATGAATGGAATCAATTACCTAAGGTCTTAATTAAGATCACACACAGCCGCTTCTACAGAATGTTCGACCTGGCTCAACCAATCTTTGGCAGCTCCATGTGCAGTGTGAGCAGGACCTTGATTTTTTTTTTGTTTTCTAGTTTCACAGATTACTTATTACAAACCTGCCTCCAAAACATCCAAAATACACACTTAGCCGTAAATTCCCAAAAAAAAAAACCATCGGAAATTTGAGACATGCATCTCGAGAGCATGAACCCAAAGCTTGGGTGAGGAGTCGGAAATTAATCACTGACTCGTACACGAAACAACAATCCGGCAGCGTAAATTAGCAGCATTCAATGAATATCTTACCTCATACGCCGCGCGTAACACCGGATGCATATAAACCCTCAAGAAGAAGAAGATTCGGAATATTTTTTAAAGAGAAAAGACCAAACGCAGCACGAAAGACGGAGAAGGATCTGAAAGAGGAGATCCAGAGAAGCGACGAATTCTACGAGTCCCTCTCCTTCTCTCTCTCTCTCTCTCTTTCTCTCCCTCTCTCTCTCCCAGGATAAATCAGACGTTCGCAAACCGGATTTGCATAGCTGTAATCGTTAATGGCGTTTTCTGCATCGTCCTTGTTGATTTTTGCAATTTGGCAAAACTACTCTCATTATTATTATTAGCGTTGCCGCGCTAAAGAAAGCAGATGTTTTAGCTTACAATTACCGTTTCACCCATGGTCCTCGCATTAACTGCCATCCTTGGTCCGCCCCCTTACCTTTGCCTTGTTACTATCTAACCCCCTAATATAATCGATTAGTGCGATGAAAATCGATTTCCCCCAAGAAGTTTTTGCTGTTACTCCAAAACATCAGGTGTTTAATTCACGCACAAATACACTAATAACAGAAGTTGTTATCAAATCATTTCCGCTTAGCCTAATCAATAGATCTCTTAGTGGCGCGTCACAATCGCAGATAGACTTGTGAATGCTTTTGCAAGCAATGCTTCATGCTTATACCAACAAACACTACTTTTCATTTCATAACGTTGTTTTAAGTATTTTCTAGATCGTTATTAATAACTTCATTCTTATATATATAAAGTAGAAAAAGACACAGCACATCACATGGGTGTTTGCAAAACCGCTGTCCATTTTAGTTCCTTTAAAATTGTAAATCGCTGAATCAATGCATGTGCAGTGGTGCTTTTTTCTTGCTTACACCCTAAGTGCAAAAAGGGATGCTCATAGGCCATATATATATATATATATACGCATTTGTATTCCTAAATTGGATGATCGACATTTACATGAGGACACAAATTAAGAAGCTTAATAAAGAGAGCCGCATTTTTCGTATTTTTCTTTCTGTTAACACTTGTGGAAATCGAATAAAATATACTACTAACTTATTATTTTCCTTTTTCGTCGTCACCAAGACTAAGGGATTAATTGTAAGCACATGTTGTTGGTTCATGCATGAACACTATACTAGTAGCGTGGTCGGTAGTTGAAGCATTGAAGAGACTAGTGTTTTTTTTTTAGTTTTATATAGGAAATGAGAAAATTAATATACGATGGGCACTTTTTAAATATCGTTCAATAATTCCGTGAAGGTACACTACAAATTTAATTTGAGAGTGGATCTTTGGGGAGATATATAGACATGAAATAAAATGAAGGGCCATGCACATGATGTGGCTGTGGACAAAACCATACAGTCTCTCCAATTATGAGATATCACATGACGATGCGGACAAGTCAACGCTTCTACGTACACACTACTTCTTCTCTTTTACATTTTCTCCGGCTCGGCTCTCGACATAAAAGCCCATATTTAAGAATGAAAGTAAGAACAAAAGCCCAAAATATTGGGCCTTGATAACAAATTCAGGGAAATGCCAAAAATAATAAGACAGGTGTGAGGAGGCCCCATAGGAAAGCTTGTGAGCCAAGACATGACTGGAAACGTCATGGTCCTTTGACGAACGGCGGCACCACCACCGAGGATATGAAAGCTCCGGTCGTCATCAGCTGTTGATATGTTATCTTAGCACAATTTTGGTGTGATTATTTATAATAACCCGTCAAGAAAAGTCTAGAGCTAATTGCTCTTGAATGTCTGGTGAATGAGGTAACAGAATAGCGCAATTTTCAGAGTCGTGCCTTCTTCTGTTGGGAATATAACTGTTTATAACGCCGAGAACCGCATATGTCACTGCATTTGACGACATTGTTGATTTACAGCTTCCTTCACCTAAATGAGTCGCGGATGAAAACTACTTTCCAAATGGGACTCGTCACCAGAAAGTGAAGATGTCGAACACGTGGAACTATAATCTATTCCACCTTTTAAAGTCAACAAGTTAGGCGAGGCAGTTGGGTACACTCCCTTGTCCCTACTCCATTTTTCTCCATCTATATGTATCAAAACTCAAAAACAGAATATGAAAGACTCACTTTTAATAAAGCAAACAAAACTTCAAAAATCAACGTGCTAACATTCATTTTTTAATAGTGAACTGATTTTGTTGTAGAAGAAACTTAAAACATTGAACTGGTTTTAAAAAAAAAAAAAGATATGTCTTAGATATTAAGGCTACATGATTCCCTTTTGAAAGTTTATACCATGATATATTGATATCTGTTACTTTTCTATTCATTTGACAGATAATATTGTTTCAATTTTTCTCTGACCTTTTTATTATTATTCCAGCTTTACATGACTATTATTAACTGAGGTGGGTCACGTATTCATATAAGCCAAACAATTTGATTCTAATCACTACATACATATAAATACCGTAAATGACCAACCCTAATGATCTAGATATTCATTGTTAAAGCAAAAAGCAAAATACATGTTAGGTTCATGTGACTTCTACACAGTCATAGACTAACAAAAACACTTGACACATATAACGTTTGAAGTCAATCCCGAAACCGAAACCAACCGGAAGCAAATCCAATACGGTAAACGGGTAAAGGGTTGAAAACTAATTAAGAGATAAGAATAATGAGCCCACCCTTCTTGTCTTCTGTCTCGTCAAAGGCCATTGTTAAAATGACGTAAATAGCCATTGCAATGACATCGTGAATGTAGTCTTATATGGGTTAAGTGGTCATTCTACTAAACGAAGCGTAAAAATGAAATGAACGAAGAGAAATAATGTGACGATAAGAAATGTTGCTCCAGCACATGTTTTGTTGGGCCTCACTTCACCACCATAATCCTAATGTGGGCACACACCTCAAAATTATTAAACTTTCATGAAATTAATGATTTTTTTCTTATTCATTTACAGTATTTTGAACAACGGAAAAATATACAGACCCTCAGTGAAAAATGGCATGAGCCTGAAATAGCTTTGCTGTCTTTTGTGTTATTGACAATGTCAATTTGTACCATAATGATCTATATAATTACCCGATGAAATGGTTAAGCAAATTTAAGCGACTTGGGGCAAGGTAAAGTCGTTGGGTGGAGCAGGTAGGCTGTGTCAATTACGTGACTCCCAAATTTTTTTACTTTTTTTTTTCTGTTCACTAAACAAATATCCATATTTTCCATTTTTATCTATTTTCTACGACTATTATTTTTTGGATTTTCGCTCTTCGGTAATTTAGCCTATGAGAGGGGGAGAGTAGGGGAGTAAATAATACACAAATGCGATCTTAGTTAGTATAGAGTTAAAATGAATGGTAACTTTGTCTACAGTTGTTTATTTTATTTTGATGCTTGCTAGAACTTTGGTATATAATTGTAGAGTTTGTTAAACTCGTTGCATTTAAAACTGTTGTCACGGGTCAAAGAACGGAGAAAGAAATCTAAATTTAGTTTTAACAATGTTTGAATTTAGAGGCTTATGCATAGTACATTACACGAGATATGGGCATTTGGGCACCCCGTACGTGCTCATCCCAACCAACGGTCAACGAGTAGATTCTATATACATACAAATAACAATCACATAAAAATATCAAATCCCTTTCTTTTACATGATTATTAGTACATCAAAGTATCCAAGTTGTTTATTACGATTATTTAATGAGTACAACTCTCAATATAGGCTGTGACAATAACTATCATCTGACACTATCGGTGTTTTCTCAATGTATATATATCTGAAACGATAGCGGTTATAGAACGTAAAGAAGATCATCGGTCGGTCCATTCCATAATATATATAACTATTTACAAGACTCTTAAATAAGACATATCTAAAGAGGATTATTCTAAGGAGTTGTACCGCGTTGACCACGTGACATGTTGTTCATGGAGTGTTGAAGCACACACAATTCATTAACCTCGCAATCACAAATAGGGAATTCAAGTGCTAATAGGGAGTTTAAATTAATCAAACAAAGAAAAAGGTTTGATTATTCTATTAAAACTCGTGAAATTTGAACACCGTTTGATGTAACCGAGTCAAAGTTAAGTAGTAGTAGTCAACCATTTTGGGCGTCAGACCAGGCCTCCTCGTCATTAACCGCGTATGTTTTAACTAAAACGAAGTACTAAATTACTATAAATATGAACTCCAAGAAGGTGATACACAATATAAAAATATGTATGTAAACGATAACATGGTTTGGAGTTGAAGTAACTGAAAAGTCCAAAAGTTATTTTAGGCTTCAGCTAAAAATTTTAGACAAAAAAATACTCCAGAAAGAGACAACGCCACATGTCGGGTGTCCATGATACACTGCAAAATGGTGTCACTTTTGGTTTGGCCCATTCATTAATGCAACGGTAAGCAGCGTTCCCTTAACATTAAAGTTGTACCCCAATTCGAACGGTTTCAAATTAACTCGACGCTGCTATAACGCAGAACATTGAAATGGAAAAACATTTAACTGAAAAACAAAAAAACTAATGCGAACGAGTACAATACAACATGAGTTTTTGACCTTATCAATTACCAAGAACTTACCAAGACTCCTAGCATGAAAAATCAAACTACGGTAAGGTAACATAGAAAGACGAAGGTAAATGCTAAAAAAAAATGAAAGTAATATACAAAAACAAGTCAATGAGAAACTAACTTGGGTCTAAAACTGACTAAACCGGGTCGGATCCTAAATCCCTGCTCTAATTTTAAGGCCCTATTTCTTCAAAAACTTGGTACAGCTTGTGGGGACTGAACCATCTGGTTTAAATCGGCTGCGTTGTCGTCGGTCGGCTCCTTCTTCCGCCGCATCTCCATGACTTTCCGGTGGTGGTTTGAGTGGAGCTCGCTTGAGAATGTCGGGCTACAAGCGGGTCTGTATTCTGGTAGCAACCGACCCGACTTATACCGAACACCACACGCATTGCACAGCGTCTTGGCTCCCTTTGGTCCTGCTCTCCACTGCGGCGTTTTCTGAACGCCACAGTGGCTGCACCGTCGAGATGGCTGCTGCTGCAGCAACTGACCACTGTTAACGGACTCTGCCGACCTTTTCTTATGCTTTTTGGGAACTGGCGGTTTATCCGACGTGACGAATGGATCGAGGAGCTCAGCGCCGGAGAACCACGGGCTCGAAGGACCCGAAGAGGAGGAGGAGGAGGTCGAACTAGACGACGAAGGACCCGAAGAAGAGGACGACGAGCCAAGCGACCAGACCTTGACTCCATTCCGGTTCCGTTTGCTACGGGCTTTAGCCGGAACATGGGATTTGAAACACGACTCTTCCGTGGCCGGGGTCACAGGGTGTTTCCGGTCACCGGTTAACCACGCCGGTTTCTCTGTCGGGGTTCCAGTGAGATTTGGAGCAGAATGTTCCGTGAAGGAATCCTCAACGAAATGGGATAGCCACTCAAGGTCCGCTAATTCATCCGCCTTAAACAAAAAAAAACCACATAATTAAAAAACAGAGACAAATTAGGGAAAGAAAATGTAAAATCTTACGTATGAAGGATATTAAATTACCGGAACGGAGAGTTCGCTTGGAGGGAGAGAGGCAAAATCGTCGCAGCCGGAGAAATCATTGCTCCGGCGAAGAGCGTCTCCGTCGTCGACACGGAGCATCTCTTGTTGAGCCTTGAGTTCAGGCTCATCTTCGGCGAAAACTTCGTCGTTTGACAAGTCAAGCAAGTCGTCGACGGAGAAATCGTCGGTGGGAAAGCCAGTCTGAACGGTGGTGACGGAGAGTAGGTCCTCGTAAGCCGGCTGAGTCGTTTTCAAAGCCATCTCTTTCCTGACACTGCTCTTCAACGCTGCTTCAACACGTTCCATCTCCTATCAAAGGCCTAAACAACAACCAGAACAAGAAAAAAACACAAACTTTTTTTTATCGAGACCCATCAAATAAATTCACATTCTTTTTAAACGAAACGTAAACAAAAAGGTTCATTTTTTTCTCAATTCCAAGAGAGAAAACAAAAATATCACGAACCCCAAAAAATTGACGCCCGGAAAACTCAATTACGAAAACGGCCCACAAACAGACTCAGTCACGAGACTGAAAACTCAACAAACGAAGCAAATTCAAGGAGCAAGAAAAGGCATGCGAAACCCTAAAAGAAACCCTTTGTAGTTCCCTAAAATTGGACTGAAATTAGGAAAAGATACCTGAGACAAAGAGGGGAAGGACAAGAGAGGATGAAGGAACGGTGGTGAGAAGAAGAAGAGGTAGAAGAAGAAGAAGGAGAAGGAGATAAAAAAAAAAGAGTCAAGAGATAGTTTTGAGAGTTTGGTAAAGCATTCAATTTGGTAATCTCAGCCTCTGCCTTCTCTACTAAAAACTCCTCTGTTTCTTATCTCTCTCTCTCGCTTTTTTTCTTAAAAAGGGGCAAAAAAGTATTTTTCTGATATTAAAATTAATTTATCCAACTGGCAATCAATCAATAAATTTGTGTTATCAGTAGATTTTCTTATAAATTCTAATCACATTTATGATTTTATGTTAATGAAAGATACATCAAATAAAACAAAAAACGTACTGTTCATAAATGTGTAATCAAATTTAGATCTTTGAAAAATGTTTTAACTTTTTAAGTTAGACTAGCATTATTTTTATGCAATTTTGTTTTGTTTTATTTTTCTTCTCCTTAATTAACATCAAAGATATAGTAGTATATGTTTTCTTCTTCTTAGTTAACAAAAAAAAAAGTGAAAGATTACGGTTTTCCATGTATGCCCTTGACCGCTTTGATCGCCGCTCATCTTGGGAATTATCCTTCCCGCTCAGTGGTTTTGATTTTTTGCATTTTTTCAGTTAGCAGCTTAAAAACAAAAAAGTGAAAAAGCTAAATGACCCTATTAATACACTTTAAGCTAATTTATGATTAAGGAGTGGGGAATGACGATGGTAACCCTAAGGAGTAATAATGGAGAAAAGCATGTCTTCGGAGTAAAGGCAAAGTGAGAACTGAGATGATGCAGAAACCGAAGACAAATGGCGGGCCAGCTTTTGTCCTTCTAACACACCACGAGAAAATGATTCTCTCTCATTATCCCTCAAATTACTAAACCACCAAATAAAAATATTATTCAAAAAATAGAGAAAATATCTGTGGAGATTCCTTCTCTTCTTCTCCTGTAGTCTCTGCACTAATTACCTTACTCAAATTGGGGTAGATTCTCTTCTAGCCTTCGTAGCTCTTAGTTATCGCTATATATGGAGATAAATCTTTAATCTTTTATGTTAGCATTATCCAAAGTTAGGAGAAATTATTAATATCAGCGTTTAACTGTTTGTTAAGTTGAACAATAGTTATGCCATTTTGCATGTATTTTGTTGTATACAATATATAATCTGCATGTTGTATTAACCTGTTGAATTCTATAACAATGCAAACCTCCTCAAATTTGGAAAATGCGCGATGATAGCAAGACGGATTACTGGTAATCCTTTGATTATTATAAAATCAATTGATAATTTATTTTTTATTGTAAAACAAAACCCCGTTGATTCTTAAACTATTTTTTATTGGTAGATAATTTTCTAAAACGTTTGATTTTTTTTTTAACATTTTGAGAGGAGCTGAGCCGCCGGCTTGAGAAGTAGTAGCCACGTGTTATGCTGACGTGCCGTGCTCTGTTTGGTTGTGTCTCATGCGTTTGACGTGAGCCGACCAATCAGAATTACCCGACGGCTAATCTATCGTTATTGACTCGAATTTTTGTGTTAGGAAAAAAGAATCAAACCCTTTGCTTAATTTCCGCTAATTTATACGTACATACTACAATATTTTTACACGGCCTCATTAATCCCTCTATATTTTTTTCATCTACTTAATAAGTTGGCAAAATATATACTCCTATTTGTTTAAACAGTTAAAGTAAAATGACTAAGCTACCCTCGACTTATCCGTCGGCAGCTGCGTTTAGGCTTTATGCTTCAGATTTTGAAATGTCAAATTAAGAAGAAAGAAAAGTAGGGAATCTATGAGAGAGAGAGAGAGAGAGAGGGAACTATAATTGTTAGCCACTTTTGAATCTTCCAAACCAATTAAAGACGTTTCAGTCAGTCTTCGAACTTTTATGGACCGTACCGATATTTCTAATAAATTTGGAGCCACGATTTGTTTGTTATTTTTTCTTATCATGCATTCGGAGATTTGAACAAATAAAATATAATAGTAATAACCAAATTTGAAACTCGGAGCGGCCCACAAATGCGGTGGAGCGGGAAAAATCATTCAATTTTGTCACATACTGACTGCTCTCATGTCCGTGGTAGACTTGTATTATATATCTTTCACCTTACAAACTTTTCTTATAATTTTAAACGACCATCACGGATTTTATTTTAGTTTAATAAAAGAAAAACCACAAATATTGTTTCTTTGTCTTGTATGTATATGTAAGGAGTTTGAGGAATCTAAATAATATGTAGAAAGCTGTACTGAATGTGAAAGTTATGAATATATACGAGACAAGAGGACGTTGTCATCTACTATTAGTGTTGACTTTTGAGAACCCAAATATGATTTATGGCGTCATTTTCTGTGCTTTAACCTTTGCAAGACAGTGCTTATTAGTCTATGGTACTAGATGATTGTAAACAGAATGATATGATTTTTTTTTAGTCTTGTATAGAGAAGTCAACATAATTACAGTGTCGTTAGGAATATACAACCCACATTAACCATTATCGAAAGATCTATACAAAGTGTAAAGAAAAAGATGAATGGAAAGTGGGTGTTTGGTCTAGTGGTATGATTCTCGCTTCGGGTGCGAGAGGTCCCGAGTTCGATTCTCGGAACACCCCTTTTCTTTCTTTTTGGACTAAGAGGATCCAACTACCGTATGATTATGGGCCACTCATAAAACTTGACCCATAATGAATACATTTGCTTATGGGCCCTTTTGATTTTGAACTAAGAGGATCCACTGCCGTATGATTATTATGGGCCACTCATAAAACTTAACCCAGAATGAATACATTTGCTTATGGGCCCTTTTGATTTTGAACTAAGAGGATCCACTGCCGTATGATTATTATGGGCCACTCATAAAACTTAACCCAGAATGAAAAGCCCAAATAAATACATTTACTCACCGTTTGTTAACGATTGTTCTATTCGCGAAGAGATTCATCTGATCTAATCAGTTACTGGGCCACGAGCCTGGAGAAAAAAATTATTTTCCGGGAAACCCAATTGAATAAGATGGTGATTTTGATGGACAAAAAGGAAAAGGAAGCTACCTAATAATAATCTGAACAAAAATCAAACCAGCGAACGAAAGAGAAGATACGACCGGCGATGGTTGGGCAGCATCCTCGCCGTCTTGCCGTGACGGCGGTTCCCGTGATCCTATTATTTTTGGTTCTCAGCAATTCTGCCGGCGCTTCGAACTCGGTGTCGGCTTTCGTTCAGAACGCCATCTTGTCCAACAAGATTGTCATCTTCTCCAAGTCTTACTGCCCGTAAATTTCATCGTTCTTTTCTGTCTCGCAGTTGATTTTAGTCATCTGGGCAAGGATTCAAAGTTTTGGTTCATGTCTGGTTTAATCCTGTGAATCAAAGCCTTTTATTCGGTTATGGTCGATTGGTTGAATGAAGTATGTGTTTGATTAATCGTTGCTTGGCATTGGTAGGTATTGCTTGCGCTCGAAACGTATCTTCGGCGAGCTTAAGGAACAGCCATTTGTTGTGGAGCTTGATCTCAGAGGTATCACTTGAATCCATTTTATTCGACTGGGGATTTTTGTTCAAAAAACTCTTAAAGAGGAGATTTCTTTTTCCAGAGGACGGAGATCAAATCCAGTACGAGCTTCTGGAATTCGTTGGCCGCCGTACAGTCCCGCAAGTTTTTGTAAACGGCAAGCATATTGGTGGATCAGATGGTATGAGCTCTTCACCTCAAATTTCATTTCTTTTCGCAACTTTCCCTTTTGACTCACAGCCTTGGATCTTGCTTCAGATCTTGGAGCTGCTGTGGAGAATGGTGAGCTGCAAAAGCTTCTTGCTGCAAGTTGATTTTGAGAATCTGGAAAGTGATTTACAGGAATAGTTGTAATCTTTGACTGAATAAATCGAATTGGTATGTGTCTTGATTGTTCATTATACATATATAAGTTTATGACGGCGTTGGTAAAAAAAAAAAACTTCATCTTTCATTACTGCATTGCTCCGGTGATTGTTTGCCTTAGCGAATGGTTAACAAGTCTTAGGAGTATTCCATCATATACTGTAACTCTTTATCCAATTTTTGCTGCGGTCAACGAGTGGTTGGATTATGATCGTGGTCCTTGTATTCTATCAGCCTCTGCTGCTACCGAAACAAGATTGTATCTACAAAGGGCAGGAGACGTCAGGATTGCTACTATAAAGGTGAAAAGCAATTACCTTTCAACTTGCAGAAAAGATGATCAAGAGAGATCATGGCTCCGTGCGAAAAGATTCGCACCAGTCATGGTAAATTCTAGATTATGGGAAGCGTATCAGGTGAATAGTTAGCTTCATGTCCCACACCTGCATGTCTTTTTATGTTAAAGCTGGCTACAAATCTGCATATGGACATAGTCTGCTGTGAAATCTTGAGGAGCTGTTTTAGGCGGTAATTTGAAACCGACGAGGCCAGTCTGTAGGCCACTTGCTCCCTCTCTGTTGCATCTGCATCATTGAGTTACTCCCTTGTTGATTGTCACAAGCTCCCAGTAAAGCGATTTTGTCAAAGAAAAGGGGGTACAAAAGCTCAAACATGGATTTTTCAGACCTTAACATGTTCTAGAAGCATTTGGTAGGACAGGATAACGCCAAACACTCTGCTAGGAAACCGTTACTGTCGAGATGACTCTGCTAGGAAACCGTTACAGTCGAGATGGCTGGGAACTGAACCTGAGACAGTGAGACTCAGTGCTCGTCTCCTTTGGTGCACATGCCGAGTGTGTTTGCCCCACCCAAATTTGATAAAACCAGTACTATTTAATATAGCATTTAAACTCTCAGCCTTGTTGCCACGCGCCTTCCCAAACGCCATCTTTCCAGTATACACAGGGAGAAGAGCGGGTCATGATAAAGATTCAACAGTGTCGGACAAAAGGGACTTCAGTTTCATGTGTCTAGTTATGAAATGTGTGAGTGTCTCTCTTCTTTTTCTTTAACGAGGGACCACATAACTCAAGGCTTTTCTACTTTTATTTGACACATCTAAAACTTAGTGTTTCGCTCAGCTTTGGGCCTTTGCATTTTTTGATCTATGGTTTTTTTTTTATTGCATTTTATTTTTCAAAATATATGATTCTAACTCATTTTTTGATTTGTGGTCTTTTTTATTACATTTAATTTTTTTCAAAATAATTTGAGCCTGTCATTTTAATAATGAGTGGAATGGGATTCACTAAAATTTGGATTCCGTAATCGTGAATAGTTAAGGATACAGAAGAGTGTTTTTCTTTCTTTTATGCTGAGACACGAAAATTCGTTTTGGAAAGCTTTGATGTTGTGTGATTTGTGTGGACCTAAAGGCTTCTGTTTTGTCCCCCTGAAATGCAATGATGCAATTGTGAATTGTCTCTTGTACGTGTCACTCTCTTATTGGTTTGCAAAGAAGATTCTCATGGCCCCACTTACCTTCTGCTATTAAAGTTGCTGCTTTGATCACCACCATTCGTCTTTCAAAGTCCTTTCTACGTGCAATAACATCAAATAATGTTTTAAGATTTTTTCTTTAAGCAATAAAGTTTTTCAAATGAGAATTTTGAAAGACCAGGTGCAACATGCAAGGTCATACGGATGAATTCCCGGGGGCAAATCAGCTGAAATTCAGATGGGTTTCGGGTTTAAGACCAACATGTTTGATTAACATTACAAAACTAAACAAAATGATTTGTATTATGTTTTGGACAGTCTTCACCCTTCACCAACCCCATGGACGAAATTATTAATAGATCATTACTAATTAATTCGAATTCGAAGTAGTATTGCATCTTATTATCATCATGGCGTTCTTGAGGTGACGTATATTGATTGATGAAAAGGAGAGGGTAAGGAATAAATTGTGGAAAGAGGAGTTTTTAGGTCCAAACATGTACACATGCAGAAGTGAAGACGCAGACCAATTTTGTTCCTTTTTCTGTTCATTCCACTCACCCTCAGAATCTGCAAAACCAACCTTCTCTCTCTCTCTCTCTAGGTTAAAGGCAGTGACTTTGACTTAACAAAAGAATCCACATTCACACACATAAATCATACAAATATATATATATTTAGTTATTTGACGTATATGTACATATATATCTGCATTAATGGACATTGGAGCCGAGGAACATCAAAGAATGGACTTTTGGAGTATTGTATAAGAAAGCCCCTCAAAATGTGGCCAAACAATGCATAGAAATGTTAAAAATATGTATTAATAAGACGAAGTCATGGAGAGACTGGAGATTATGGGGAAAAAAACAGAAATGTCGATGTTGCAGTGAAAATCAGAGAAAACATATACTATATGTAAATCCATCGTTTAACAGTAAGTAGAACGTCACATCTCTCTCTCTCCCTTCAAATGTAAATGTACTGACATTACACAAATCCTAGCATCACTTTAAGAAAAGGCTCAAATTGAAATAAGGAATATATACGTAAGGCCATATTGCCAAATAGTAGTCTCAGAGACTCAGACTATATATTAGTGTGTCTGTGATTTTTTTTTGTCTGAACGCACAAGAAAACATCACTACTTTATCAATTCCAATTACATTTGCAAAAGAAAAAAAAAGTTATTCTAGATTAATTAATTTTTCAACGCCAAAATCACATCCGATATTAACTGAGTTAACGTAAACGTTTAGAAAATATTATGAATGTCGAACTAAATAGAGGTATATAAAATGTGGAAAGCTGACACGAACAAGGCTAATTTTGACGATCAGAATTGAAAACTGCCAGCTGGGAAGCTGTGTTGATGTGAGCTTTCACAGATACAGACAGTCTCGTTGACTTTTTTGAAGTTGAAAACTTGAGTTTTTTTTTTTTCGTGTTTACAGACAATACAATACAGGTAAAACATAATAAAACTTAAATTTACGCAAATATTAGAGAATCAGAGAGCTTTCCTTTTATAACAGAAATGAACTTAATAATAAAATATCAGGTAACAATTAAATTTGTAATAGGAACATTATCCCTGGATTGGGAGGTTCATTACTCTTAACAACAAAGATTAACGTTATATAATCTCTTCCACCACACACAGTCAATTCTACTCTAAGAATCTACATTGGTATGATCCGTGAGGAATTCAAGATCTTGTGTTGGAGAAGAAGTGCGTACCAGTCATGAAACTGCTGATCGAAGTAGGATAATTAAGCGAGGCAGGATCAACGTAATGATCAGATGTTGAGCCAACGACTCCATTGTTGCAGCTCATGTTTGGGCTTGACGAAGAGGCCGATAGGCCTGCGGTTATGAGATTCAACGGCTGAGATCCACCGCCTGAGGAGCTTCTCTCGGCCGTGCCTTGATCGTAGAGAATACCTTTGAAAACGTGACCGCCTATACTCACAGCTGTCTTGTATGCGTACTCATCTTCTCCATCATCCACGGAACTCACACGCACGCACCGGAAAACTGCCGGAGAGCTAACTTCCGGCGGGAAGTTCCCAACCTCTAACCCTAGTTGGGAAAAGAACAAATATTAATTAATCTAAAATGAAATGTTTAAATATATCAGAAGAACGAAACTATCTGTTTGTTTTGTTTAGTATGAAAGATTCAAGCAACAGCATACAGGAAATAAAAACACAATTATCAAGGTCGGCGAGAACAGTTTCTTGCTGTCAATCCAAAAGTTGATTTTACTCATACACAGTAGTAATGATTTTCATAATAAAACAAAATAGAAGAAAATCGTAAACTTTTTTCTTTCTCGAAAATGAAAAAAGGAAGAACCAAAAAAAGCTGATCAACAAACAATATAGGGTTTTTGTTTCTGCAATTGAAAATCGAAACTAATCAACTCAAAATTGTACAAAACTTTTATTTCATAACCAACGAAAAAAAGAACTTAAGAGTTACCAGAAGCGTTGTGACTAGGTATACGAGTGCAGACAAGGGAAGTCGATCTCGCAGGGAAATGGTCTCTCTGCCGTTTCGGAACGCTCTCAGCTTGCAGTTGCTGACCGGAGGCAAGCAGCTGGTGGCGTTCCCGGCGTTTGGCGGCAGGAACCCACGTGCTCTTCACGTGAGTAGGACACTCAAGGCCTCGGCTCTTGCAGCAAGTCCTACACCTCATGTGAGCGCAATCTTTCTTAGCTTGGTTCCCACAGTCCTGGCAGCTCGGTCCGCCGCCGCCGCCAGCGCTTCTAATCATCAGCAGCGCGGCAGATCCACCGGCGGAGGTTTCAATCAAGCTCCGGTTGCTTGGGCCAACGCCTAAACCTGCGGCGGAAGTGTAGAGATCCAGCCTTTGTTGCTGCTGGAATAGTATTTCTTGATTGCTTGGGTGTTGCCATAGCTCAAGGGTTCCTTTGAAAGGAGGAGCAGCGTTTGCGTTTGCGTTTGAATTAGGGTTTCTGCACCAGAGCCAAGATTCTGTGCCGGATGGAGAAGGGTTATTGTTAGTGTTGTTGGGTCTATGGTGGTGGTGGTCGTCCTGGCTGCTACCGCCTCCGTCTCCTCCGCCGTTGCCTAGCGAGAAAAAGCCTGCCATTTTCCGACACCACCAGCCATATATTACAGATTGTTCAAGGGCTTCTCTTTTCCATCTTACTCAGCTCGCCCAATTCCCACCACGTACCTTCTGGTCTCTTCACTTTCTGAGTAGAATCTACAAGAAAGAAAAAAAAAAGATATAGAAATTTGATTTGGTAAGGAATAATCGGATCTTATCTCTCAGTGGGAGAAGAAGACGACGTAATTGGGAGGAATGTAGAGTTCTAGGGCTAGTTTTAGAAATCGAATAGCTTTTGGGACTGAGAAAAGTTGGTTTGTCGGTATGGGGAGTATTTAATAGTGAGAGAGATCAGATCAGAGAGTTTTCTTTCTCTGTCTCGCGCTCTGCAACGCCGCCATGACCTTAATTACTCTCTCTCTCTCTCTCTCTCTAATTAATTTCTCTGTCTCCTCTCTTTTTTCTCTTCTTTTTGTTTGTTTTGCAGATTTTGCTACATATCACATCTCTCTCCTCGAGCAAGATAATCTCACCGTTGATCATCACGTATTCAGGATCCTGCGGTAATCATTTTGCCACGTTTTCACCTTCGGCTTTTCTACCGTAAAACACGCTGCCTCTTCCCCTTTTTGTCTCTCTTTAAAATCTTCTCTATGCAGGTAGTATTTTTTTTCCATAAACACAGCTGCGACAAATGTTTTCAAAAAAATCGTTCGCATTCCTAGTTTATACTAATATTTGACCCAAAAAAACTACCATTTGGAAGATCATGTAGCTCGATCAAAATTTGAGAGGTCATGGTGTGGATTGAACGTCGGTTATGGGTATAGACATAGTGGTATTTCTATAAGATTCCCTGGTTATGGATTCGATGTAGTTCCTTATACTATAATGTTATTATTGAAATCCTGTTTTGGTCGCAGTGTGCACCTGTGACTTAAATTAAAGTGCGGAAAAGGTTGCAGCTGGAGCCTGGAAGCAAACTACTACTACTTGTATTACTACTAAATATACAATTTGATAATGAACACCTGCCTGCTAAGTCCTCCATTATTTATGTTCTGTATGTGAGATAGTATCTTAATGATTATCTATGACACACATACAATGGTATTCAAATTTCAAAGATAGATACCATTATTATATTACTATATCATAACGAGCTTATAACTGATCTAGTACCTTATTCAAATACTTCAATTGCCTGAGGATAACAAATTACAGGCGATGTAAAAATACAAGCAAAATGTGGACGACAGTTTTAGGGATTCTGTTATTATGGTGGAGAGTTGACTAATGGGAAGGGATAATATAGTCATTTTCCGGCAGAAATACGCATTACACACAGCTGTGTAAAAGTGAAAAAGTGTGAGAGCGGGGATGGAAAAGGATGTATTTATGAAATGGATGAAAGTGAATTTTTTTAATAAATTTACAATACGTGACCATTTTTTTATGTTATGACCATGTAAGGGTTTACATGAAAAACAACTTAAGGAATTTTGTTGTATGTAGATACAAGTGTGAGGAATGAATTATGAAAAGGAGGAGAAGAAGGGAAAATGGTTTCGACGGAAAGATGCAATCATTTAGGAAGGAGAAATTAAGAGAGGGGGTGGGTAAAACTTATAAGGGAAAGTGACATTCTCTCAAATTTTATTCTTGTATATTACTACATTACAAATCCATAAATTCCAAGCATCTTATATATCACAACGATTATCTATGCAAAGTTGCAAATAACAACACACTCGCATAATAAAAGACTCATCATTATTAACCCAAACTCTCATTTTTCTTTCATTTTGGAATGTGAATCTTGTAAATAGTACAAATAGGTGAATTTTCCCAAAAAGAAACGGCAAAGGCCAAGAGTATTGTCTCTTCTCGAGCCATGTGTTACTTTTTTAAAAGTTTTGAATGTCACAATAAGGTTAGTATTAACCTTATATCCGCATCTTGTGCTATCAATTTATAATTAAAAAAAAATAATTTGGAACTTCTACTACTTTTTTGGCCTCCCATTTTAACTTCAAACGCATCTACCATTCTACTCGGTCTAGTATCGTCTTTTCGAGCTTTAAATCGTATATTATGCCTATGACTCTATGAGCAACAAAACAAAAAAATGGAAACATGGAAAGAACTTTATAAATAGAGAATAAAGAAAAGTGAGCTTGGAGTATAGTGTTTGTTGCCTTCTGAATATGACTTCTGCATTATATTTTATTTTTATTTTTAAAAAATCACTCCTACTTGATGGATCTCTTTCTTATATAGGCAGGAAGAGAAGAGTGTAAACTGCAAAAAAAGAGACACACAGTGTTTTCATTTACTTTCACCTCTACACTCTTCTGAGTTTTCAAAAGGAGAAGAGATAATTAATTAATCATTAATCCTCTTTATATCTTGAGTTTGGAGGCTGAAAGGGGACATACACGGATTTGATGGGTTTCTTTTTTTTCAAAGGCTCTAGAAAGCCAATAACGGAGCTAATTAGTAATTAGAGTTTCTTACATTGACTCTTTTGCTCAATCCTTGTCTCTGTTCTACGTATGAGTTTCCTTCATCAGTACCCATCAGTACGATATAAGGTTATATCTAATCCAAGCTGTGAATTTATGTTTATGTATACTCAACAGATTTTCATACATTGTGTGTTCCACATCGATCCCATTTACCTTCAGAATAAATATATATTTCTCATTGCTCAAGAGATTTCATCATTAAAGAAAAGAAAGAAAACTGCGTATAGATTTGGTTCATGTGGGTCCCGAGGAAGTGGAGTCATGGTTCCTCCAAATGTCATGCTCATGCACATGCAGACCTTTATACTGTTTCTAAACTGAGTTTATTCTACATAAAATGTAACTAATCTAAACGTTAATTATACTAGAAGCTCGAAAACTATTTCAAAACTGTTTAAATATATGCACATACGGATCAAATCAAAGGTTATTCAACCGGTAAGATTAGAAAAGGATTTTACCAAAAAAAGAAAAAAGATTAGAAAAGGGGCTGGACCGGGGAATTGCTGCTGAAAAATGAAAAGTGGATCGGGTGGGATCAAAGTTAGTACTTATATAGAGGCTGCTGAAAAACGGACCACTATTTCTCACGCCTAATTTTCTTAATTACTCTATAGCATACTTTGCTGCGTAAGTTACAATTTACAAACCCTGCTATAAATAGGCTTAGCTTATATCTACAAACATGTTATTTTGAAGTTCTAATTTCTTACCTATATCAATCATCGAAAGTATCAAAATAAATTGAATCCAACTTTGACCTTTTTTCTCGTGCATATATGTTGATATATTTGATAACGTATAATATTGTGTTGTCTCAAACCCTTTTTGCTTATATATTCAAAAGGTCGTTAGGAAACCAAAACTGGGAGAATGTATTTGAATTGGATTGATAATTAATTACTAATTAGAGTTAATGGTATAGTGATAAAAGGTCAAAAGAATATATATATATACATGTAGGATAAACTCTCATGGATTCAATTTTCTATTAGAAATTTATTTCGCTTCCATTTACACAGTTGAAATGGTGATCTATATTCTACGCACCTTAAAAATTTTGGTGGACTGTCAATGAGTGGGTACATATTTCATTGACAGTCATGATCGAGAGTCTTAACCAAACATTACATTTCTCTCCGCTTCAAGAAACCTACGTCGTTTAACTATTAAAGGCGTTTCCGGAAGAAACAGCCTGCCGTTTTTACCGTCAGAGGTCGAACGATACGCCGTCTTTTCTTTTGCAAACTGTTGAATATCCCACATCTCATGCGACAATCGGCACATGACAGTCTTATCTCATTTTTGTCGTTTCAAGACTATAGTTAAGAGAAAATAAAAGAAAAAACCCAAACAGATCTCTTGGTCGTTGTCTTTGCATTTTTTTTTTCTCTACTCCGGGTCTCCGGCTCCGGTGGCGAAAGATGTATCAAGTACCGGAAAGAGCAAAGCTTCATATAGCGATGGTGTTGTTTCAAACAGGCTACGCCGGGAATCACGTGATCATGAGATTCGCATTAAACTTGGGAGTAAGCAAACTCGTCTTCCCACTTTACCGCAACATCATCGCTCTCTCTGTTCTTGCTCCCTCTGCTTTCTTCCTTGAAAAGTATACACTTTCTTTAATCACACCAATCTTTAATTATTTATTCCAGCTCCTATAATCATATGATTGTTAATATTATCTGTATATTCCAACAGAAAAGAAAGGCCGGCGATGAATACCAGTTTACTGATTCAGTTCTTCCTTCTTGGACTTGTCGGGTACGATCTTCTCTTAAACCTTGGATTGTAGATCAGAGAGAAAAAGCTTTTAAGTCCAAGCTACTCGCATGTTTTTTTTTTCTTCACTTAATGAGTTATTATATAGGATAACATTAAATCAAGGATTTTACATATTTGGATTGGACAATACCTCACCAACATTCGCATCAGCAACTGAGAATGCTGTTCCTGCTGTATCATTCCTCATGGCCGCCTTGCTCGGGTATGTTCTCGATTCTTGAATTTCACTAGCTCTCACTCATATCTCTTTAATACGACACACCTTCTTGTAGAATAGAGAAGGTAGAATTGAAGAGGAGAGATGGTATAGCCAAAGTGGTGGGCACGTTCGTATCGGTCGCAGGTTCTTTGGCTATAACGCTCTATAAAGGGCCAACCATTTACCAACCGAGTCTTGGTATAAGGGAACAACCCAAGAATGGTGGAGAGGCAGAGGAACAAAACAAGAACTGGACGTTGGGATGTGTGTACTTGATGGGTCACTGCTTATGCTGGTCAAGCTGGATTGTGTTACAGTCACCACTGCTTAAGAAGTACCCAGCTCGATTCTCCTTCGTCTCTTACTCTTGCCTTTTCGCCGTGTTCCAGTTCTTTGGCATCTCTGCTTATTTCGAGAGAGATGTAGAGAGCTGGAAGATAAGATCAGGAGGAGAGTTGTACGCATTGCTATACACTGTAAGCGTTTTTTTTTATCCTTTGTAGGTTGAGATTGTGTCCTTGAAATGTGTTTTGTTTAATAGATGTTGTTGGATTGAATATATATACGCAAGGGGTTGGTGGGGTCAGCGATGGTGTTTGCAATACAGATATACGTTGTGGAGAGAGGAGGGCCTCTCTTTGTATCAGCGTATTTGCCTCTTCAAACTTTACTTGCTGCTCTTTTGGCCACTTTTGCTCTTGGTGAACACTTCTTCCTTGGAGGGTATGTAATTAGTATGTGTGTTCTACTCAATAATTACAGTGTATTTCTGTTATTGTCATATCTTGTGCTCAAATTTTTTTTCTTTTTTTTTGATGTTTGTTTGTCAGATTGATTGGGGCAATACTAATCATTTGTGGACTGTACTTGGTTGTGATGGGAAAGAGTTGGGAGAAGCAAGCTCACATTATTTCCCCAGCATCAGAAAACCATCATAAACCAACATCTTCTCTCATTCAACCTTTAACTTCTTCCTAAGCTGTCTTGGAGACTAATATAAAGTTACACTATACACTAATTGGATTATCATTTTATCTTAATTTCTTCAATGCTCATAAGTCTTTGGTATATCGTTGTTGCTGTGATTTACAGTTTCAGGTTGCTGTCTGATTCCATCCCATCTTTGTCTTTTGAATTTTAATTCTTGCATTTCCGTAGTTTTGTTTTTTTTTTTTAAAAAGAAAAGAGTTTTTCTCCGTTAATGTGTGTATAAGAGAGAAGAAGGATGATGCAACTCTCGTGTTCTTTTCTGGCTTGAGAGTAAAAAGTGATGATTCTTGGTTTGAAGAACCAAACGCTCGGCAAAATCAAATCAACTCGTTTCTTACTTTTCCGACGAAATTCTCACTCGCGGGTTCGCCGGGATGCTGAAGCCGAGGGGAGGAAGCCACGCGATGGGTTGTTTCTGCACAAGAGCAAAGGCCAACACCTTCTTACCAACACCAGAATCCTCGACGCCATCGTCCGAAGCTCCGATGTCAGGCCCACCGACACAGTCTTGGAGATCGGACCTGGTACTGGGAATCTCACGATGAAGCTTCTAGAAGCTGCCCACGATGTCGTCGCCGTCGAGATTGATAAGCGCATGGTGGAGATTCTCCGCAGAAGGGTTTCCGACCATGGTTTTGAAGACAAGCTTACGGTAAGTCAGTTTACTTTGTCTTTGGAGATTTGCACACACACAACCTGTTCGACGAAATGCCCAAGAGAAGATACAAACATTTCTTTTGTCTGTTGGATTGTTTGTGTAGATTATTCAGAAAGATGTTCTCAAGACAGATTTCCCAGAGTTCGATCTGGTGGTGGCAAATATACCGTACAACATATCTTCCCCTCTTGTGGCAAAGCTTGTGTACGGCTCCAATACCTTTCGCAGCGCCACACTCTTGCTTCAAAAGGAATTCTCCCGGCGGCTCTTGGCGAATCCCGGAGATTCCGATTTCAACAGACTGGCGGTGAATGTGAAGTTGGTAGCTGATGTTGACTTCGTTATGAACGTGAGCAAAAGAGAGTTTGTTCCACCCCCTAAAGTCGATTCATCTGTGGTTAGGATCAGGCCAAAGGAGGTTAAACCAGGCGTTGATGTTCAAGAATGGCTTGCATTTACTCGCACCTGTTTCGGGAAGAAGAATAAGACGCTTGGTTCCATGTTTAGGCAGAAGAAGAAGGTCATGGAGTTGCTCAGTTTATCCAAGGCTGGTGTTATGAATCGGAAAGGTAGTCACTTCGACAGTGATGCTGAAGAAGACGAAGTCGAAGATGGGGAAAATCATTTCTTGTGCGTGGATTCAGATGCGAGTATGTTCAAGGAAAGGTTAGTTGGAGTTCTGATTTCGAATGGGTTCGAAGAGAAGAGACCATCGAAGCTCGCTCATGGCGAGTTATTGCATCTGCTTTCTTTGTTCAACCAAGCTGGCATTTTTTTCCATGATCATATCACATCATCGTTACCAATGGATCTACCCGAATAATGCTTATGACATTTTTTCATCGACTAATTGCGTACTCTGAATTATACTTTTCTTACAAATTGCAAGATGACAGTAAAAGCTTCTTTATGCAATGATTTGGGGGGAAACGAAATCTAATTAAATTGTTTTTGAATAAGGAATGTGAGAAGATCTTAACTTAAGGGGGGTATTGGCGAAACAGGAATTAAACCGTATATCGATCATTAAAACTAAAATAAATACTGTAAAATGCAAAATATCTTAACTTTCTCATTTGTGCTGTCATTTTTAAGAGCATATAAGAGCCATAGCATAATATCACAGGTTTATCACAAAAAGAAAGACAAAATCTGAGCATAATTATACTCGATTCTCCTCTGCTAATCCAAATAAACAGCAGAGAGAGCATTGAAAAAACTCAAAAAAAAAAAAATCAAATTCCGTCGGATACAAGCAACAAACCCTTAAAAACCCGGGTTTTGCTCGATCTTCTGGTAATAACTAATATGAACCGTAATAGTAAGCGCAATCATTATATCCAGGATATGAATATTGATGATGGTAAGGTTGCAAACCCAAATCACTCGGCCAATAGCTGTTGCAGGACGGTGATTGGACGTTGAAGTAGCTGTTATGGAAAAGATTGGGATCATGAGGATGATGATGACGATGTCCACACGTTTGCAGAAACGCCATTTGAGCTGATCTGCCTTTTAGCGAACCCATTAGTTTGAGGAGTTTGTTTGGATCTGCTCGACCCGAAACGTAGGCCATTCCTTTGTCCGCGTCTAACGCAAAACCCCCACCTTAATGATAGCATATCAGAACAAAATAACATATGTAAGCATTACATGTCTTGTTTGATGATGAAAAGAAGAACATCATCATTACTTAATTAATGAAAACATTTTTACGAGGAGATTAACCTTTGATCGTCTTTAAGATCTTTGTCATGCTCTTGTGCCACTCTGTGGAACTTGTGTTTACCTTAAACCCACAAGTCTGCCAAAAAAAAAAAAAAAGGTTGAATATTGTTGTATTATGTAGATATATCATCGGAAGAAGAATTAACAGAAAGAAATCAAGAAGAAAGTATGATAATGAGAAACTGAAAGACGAACCAGTCGTGTAGAACGATCATTTGATGAAAACATTTTCGATAAGTTTTTTGCAACTTGAGGAAGCAAGCAACAGTGGAAGAAAAAGATGATGGGTCTATGATCACGTCTCGAACGTTGTTTATATAGATTGACTTGCTTTTATTGCTTTTCCATATACGAATTAGGAAATGGTAAAATCTTTTACTTGTAATGTGGCATTACTTTAATCCATATCCTCGATATGGACAAAATGATCACAGCCCTTGAATTTTCGAATATTGATATCTTTAGACAATATCAAAAACGTAATATATTCATCAGTATATATATATTTTGTCACCTCAAAATGTACGGAGACAATTTTAATTAGCTGATATGGAAACGTATTTTCTCTAATTTGTGAGCCTCTCTCACTCGTGGAAACTTGTATGACCCAATACTATAAAAACACTAACAACAGATTTCTGTAGCGTTTCCAATAAACTGAAACAAACTACCTTCTATGTGTACAAGTTAAATAAAAAAAAAAAAAAAAAAAAAAAAAAAAGAGAGAGATCTACTCTGTCGTTGGAGGTTGTTTTAGAAATTTGAGGACGTTTTCAAAGACGATGAATGTGATGGAAGAAGCAGGCACATTTTTCAGTAGATTAGCGGTTAGTCCTCTGTAGAAACCTCTGAGACCCTCGAATCTGCAGATAGATACCCACAAGTGATGATGACCAACAATATTAACCAAATCATGACTTTCTCAGACACAATCAATTGCTCTAACCTTGCGGTTTCTCTCATGACATGCAAGCTGTCTATGTATCTCGGAATCCCGTTAGTGCTAGGCCGTTGCTGAACAACAACAACAACAAGCAAGGACGCTCAAGGAGTTTAGATTTGAGCTGATGTTAATACGACTGGACAATGCTGGTAGGTACCTGTAATCGTGCTCGAATAACCTGAAATGGATATGTCAGAAGAACTGCTGCGACTTTTGAGGAGCCGCCAAGTGCTGCATAATCTGCCGAGTTCTATAGCCAAAACAAAAACAAAACAAGTTTGTTACAAGAGTCTCTATCTGCGGATGCGATGCCTGAAAATTTCAGATAATTATTAGCTCCTACATAACCCCAAGAACCACAATGTACCAATAAATTATCAGCCGATTCGGATTCTCTTCTCCTTTCTTTCAATTCCACAATGACTTTACGGAGTTCCTCATACGCTGTGAACTGAATAGCACCATGGGAAACCTGCTAACTCAGAATCAAACCCAAAACGTCATTCAATCTGTAACATCTTTTCCCAAACTTGTGGCGATAAGAGAAGAATCACGATAGTAACTAACCAGAACAAGACCAGGGACTATACCCTTGTAGAGCGCCCTGGGCCCTTCCTCTTTCATTATGGTTCTAAATGCATCTGAAATTCACAAAAAAGGAAACACATTCAGAGACGAACACTAGAAGAATGAAAACTGAACTAATTTAGCATGTAGTTGCGGACCTAGAAGCCCCGAGTATCTTCGGGTTTGATGAAGAGGTGTTTGTAGCTGTAATCTTGTTTTGACAAGCCAAATCGGATTTGTGCATAGACAGACCTGGAAGTACCATACGCTTGAGATCAAGATCCAAGAAGCATAGGATTAATGGGATGTTTATGGTGTCTGTAAATACTCACCAAGGCTCCTGCTTCAGCAGCAGAAGCAAGGTGAAGACCAGGGCTGAGTTTCTCATCGTCCCTGCCTCTACCATATCTCTGTTTTGCTCTTCCATAACTACAGAGAGAAATTGTATTTGTATCAGACCATCAGAACAAGATCCACCGGTACACAGATCAACTCTTGCTAAACAAATATAACACTCACAAAAAGAAGTATAAGCCCCATGAAACAGTAGAACCGATTACAGCAGGGAAGAAACCTGCATAAAGTCCTCTCAAGCCCTACGGAAGATTGAAACAAAATGAGTTGTATCAGCTAAAGCAAAGAAAAAGGTGATCATTCATAACTCACAAAACCCATAAACCAGAAACGTTGCTGGGTTGAAGTCTTTCATTGCTCTAGCGGAATTCACACACCCAGAAATCCTCTAATCAGCTAACTAACAAAGTGGATAGAGATGAGGCAAGCACATTGCATTTAGAGAAGCAAATATGAAAGATGCCAAAGTTTCCCAGAACAGAAAAAAGGAACATTCGAGATGACCTCCCAATAATTAGACTCAATACAAAAGCGGTAAGAGAGACCTCGAGCCGGGCAATGGTGAAGACAGCGTGAGCTGTGTTCTTGTACGTCGGGAGACTTGACCCTCTACCGTCGCTCACTGTTCAATCAAGTAAGCACAAATCGATGAATGGAAACCCAGTTTCCCGTCAGTTCACAAGAAGAAGTAAAAAATCAAACCTTGGAATCTCGTACGGACAACATCAAGAGGGTGCATAGCGGCGACAGTGGCGAATCCAGCGACGGCGCCGGCGGTGGCGTTTTCCCACTGCCACGGCGCCGCCATAAATGAATCCTTAGAAGATGCAATCGAAGTCAATCAATCCGACCAAATCGCGATTGGCAATCGAAACAGTCACTGTGGCGCGTAGAAGAAGCGAAAGGACAGCTGATGAAAGATTCGCCGTCCGCCAGTAGTCCCATCTCCTCCGACTCGGAGTTTGTGTGTGCTTTGAACACGGCACCGTTTCAACCGTCTGTGTTCTCTTTTGAGCTAAGACCCAAGTTCCCGAATCCAATTTGAGAATTCTAAAATTGTCACAAGGCCCAATACTTCCAAATATCCATTAGCAAATACACTTTAAGTAGAATTATATACTATAGTATCCATAAATATTCAAACACCAGATACACATTTTAATACAAGGAAAGCCAAAAGAAATCATCAAAGTCTACATAAACCAAAAACTCAAATCACACACCAATGACACATCGTCCATGCAGGAACCAAATGCATTAAAACCATTTTCTTTTGTTGCACTCATTCATTCATATATGAGAGATTTTATCAATAGGCATGGTTAACCCTCCGACAGATTCGCCGGATCTCTCCCCTCACGCCCGTCAAAGGAGAGATATTCCCCATCTTCACCATCGATTTCGCAAACTGCTGGAAGAAGGCCTCTTGATTCTCAGCGTACAGCTTCACGAGCTCCTTGGACTCTCTGTTCTTCGTGAACAGAATCTCGTCGGAGCTCAATAGCCCTTTGTACATGATCAGGTTCTTGAAGTAGTGGTTGTCAAACTTGAACGGCGTCGCCAAGTCAAGGAAGAAGAGGTTCTGGTCACCACCGGATCTAGGACACTGTCGACGTAACACGGAGGCGTAGTATTGGTTAAGGGTTAGATCGGGCTTGCCGTTCCCGGACTGGTTGTATAACCTCTGCCGGAAGCTTGTGCACCTCGAGTTTCCGATGGTGTGACTTCCTGCAATATCATATATATTATATATGTACAACTTCTTATTTATATAGAAAAAGACAGAATATAAATGAATATATACCAGAGAGGGAGACAAGATCGACAAGGTTGAGGCCCTGACGCTTGAACTTAGTGAGGATGGTTTGGAACGTGTTGTTAGGAGCTGGAATGTCATTGTTGGAACCACTCAAGCTCGCTCCTCTTGCGTCTCTTCTTCCTAGAGGTACTTCCCAGCTCGGCCCACCCGTCTATGTATATATATATATGTCGAATTAATAAGCTTGCAGTGATAATTTATGTTTTAGTGATTTGGGATATGACTTACAATGACCGTTGAGTCTCTAGCGGCTAGAGCCAAGATATCGGCGCAAGAAACTGTTTCAGGACACTCTTGTTCTAAGGCTGCTTTGATTTCTTCGATGAGTTCGAAACCACGGGCTGAGTTTCGGTTAGGGTTTGATCGTTTCTCGCTGATTATGCTTCCACTGCTGTCCAACAGTATCGATGCATCACATCCCTACAATTCCAATCACAAGAAGAAATATACAGAATTAATATTGTTAACCTGCTTCTTCCCCGTAGCTAACATTAACAAATGTTTGCTTAGCTTAATTAAGACCTTGACAAAACAATCGTGGAAATGGAGTCTGAGCAAGGAGGCAGGCATGCGAGGGTCGTGTGAGAATGCTTTAGCCACAATGGACTGAACAATCTCTTGAGCTTTAGGACACGAGTGGTCGTAGAACTGAGGGAAGAGATAGCCGCCACTTCCGTAGGCTTTGGAACACAAACAAAGAGGAGAGAAGGCGATGATGGAAAGAGCTGCGATCAGAAGGTTCATTGACTTGGCCATCTTTTGGGATCCTTTCTCTTGATGACTGACTCGTTGGGTTTCTTGTGACTTGGTGATTTTCTGTCTGATAGAAATGGTTTCATTTATAGAGTAGACTTTTGAGAGAGACGTTGGAGTTGGTAACTAATTTTAGATATTGGGTTAGATGGAAACATTATTCTTTAAGGATTGGTATGAATACAAGATTTGTTGAGTTTTATTGTATTCCCCGTATATTTTAAACAAATATGTCATATCACAATTATTTTCCATTCTTTTTTGGGTATAATTTTATCAATAAGCATATGGACTAGGAAATACATAATTAAAAGATAAAAACATTATGGAATCTCTGTTAGTATTTACATGTACTTCCCGTAACAAAAACATTATGGAAACTTTGTTTCATGTTAGCCAAAATATACGAAACGGAGAAGACGTTTCCATGGATTTGGATTTATGATATTGTATTGTTGTGAGTGTCATTAACTTGGAAAATAAGCTACGCAAAACAACTGCGTCCGTAAGGTTTTTAACTGGTTGACCATGGACTAAATAGTCAACAAAATAATTATAATCTTATTATTTTGTGCTTAACAAATAGATACGGTTTGCTAGAGTAAGGACAAATACATAATAAACGGTAGATAGTGACAAAATCATTGAGAAACAGCTTCAACTGCTCTCCCTCGCTTTAAGCCAAACAAACAATTTTTCCTTTTGTTTTCGTGCAACAAAGAAGAACAACACAGATTAAGATAAACAACATGACCGAGTAACGTGTGTAGACTTTTCTCAATAGGTTTTTTGGTCTTATGTTCAGCTTCGAGAATGAAACTTGAACATTTTTTTACTCAAATACTCACTTTTTATTTTCTTTCCTGCAAACGAACGAATTTTCCTTCGTTTATTATTAAACAAAAATTAAAGTGTCCAATCCAATTTCTCCAATTCTCATTCGACCCAATTTAGCGAGGGAGCATCGATATCGGAAACGGGCCTGACTCAGTCTAAGGTTCACGGACTATAACAGTCGTCCAAGAAATAAAAGCGTATGCGACTGCCAAAGATATAGGAATTAATATATTTTGGCAAAAAGACTAAGACAGGAAAAAGAAAAGAAGGTACATATATATATATAGATACTGAAAGCACAGAATACATCAGAATACATACACATCAAGAACATAAAAAGAACAAGATGCTCATACACAGTCCTCTCTCACACTCGTACAACACATCGCAGGGCCATATTATATAACGACCATATGCGATTGCCACTCCTTTATTTTTATTATATATGTCATACACGTTTGTTTTTGTTCCAAGTTTCAATGGCATATATAGGCTTAACGACCACCACCGCCGGGAAGCTTGTCCTTGATCTTGTCCATCATCCCCTTCTTCTCATGGCGCTCGCCACCATAGCCTCCGGCATCATATCCGGTGGTAGTTCCCATCCCCATTCCTTGAGATTGACCAGACTGATCATGATGACCTGGCAACTTTTCCTTAATCTTGTCGGTGATTCCCTTCTTCTTCCTCCTCCCACCTTGTCCATCATCCTCCTATTATCATTTTGGGAAAAGTGAATTAGTATTCCATACAAAAGCAAATACGCCACATTTATATACACATACGAATGTCAAAATACGTATGTATGTACCGAGCTAGAGCTGGATCCGGATCCAGAGCGGTGAAGCATTCCTCCCAAGCCACCACCACTTTCCTTATGGAGCTGCTCCTGCCCGTGCTGCCTACCTCCTACGCCAGCTCCCATGGCTCCCGCTCCAGTAGTCCCGTATCCTTGACCACCTCCGGTTCCGTAACCTGCACCTCCTCCTCCAGTCGCTCCTAGACCGCCACCTGTCCCGTATCCTCCACCACCAATCGGGTTTCCATACTCGTCCAACTGCTGGATCGGGTTTCCGTACTCGTCAGTAGCCTGAGCTCCGGGTCGGTTCTGGTAAGACGCCATCTTCCTTCTCAATTTTTTTCTTCTTCTAAGCAAACACTTGATCAGTACGTACTAGCTTCTGTTTGATATGATGTATGTGTTTTTGATCGATGAAGTTTCGTGAGTGCATGGAAGGTACTTTTATAGCCCCGTTTCGGATATGGATCAGCTATTAAAATTAGTGAATCATTATTTGGAAAGTGACACGTGGCAACACTAGCAAATGTCGGCGTGGTGCTTTGAGACACGTGTCCGTAAACGAACCGAAGTGACCGGATAGATATTTTTGGAGCAATTCAAAGTCGGGAAAGTGATGAGTACGTGTTGGCAAGAGTCCCATGACAGGGTGACGAGGGAAGGTGGAAAGTAATAAAGATCTGTCGTTTTCTTAGCGTCGGTAATATGTCGTAGATATTAGACACGTAACCCTTTCTCCTTGAAAACGATGCACTCTTGTCTTGTTGTGTAGATTACACGTAGTAGTTTTATCGTATACAAGAATATTCCAAGAAACTTGCCTGTGGGCTGAAGATGCAAGTGGGCTTTATCTTACTACATGTGGGCTGAAGACAGAATATCACTTGCCCATATACTAAAACTGAGGCCCTTCATAATCAACTCCACTTACTAAACGCTGCGTTTCGATCAATCGTTCCTTGGTTCGTGTCGTCTCTTTGGTTTGGATTGGGTTAACTTTCCTGGTTAAAGATGGACCCGGGATGCGGTGAAGTCGACCCTTTCGAATCTAGCATTCGGGAAAACGTAATGGCGGCAGCTGCTAGAGATTATAAGAAGGTAATTTCGTTTTCCAATTAAACTGAGATGGAAATGAAGCTAGGACATATATGTGTGGTGCTACATTATCTTTCTGGTGATTATTAAAGTTTTATCGTTGTATCGTGTTTCTGTATAAAAGTGCTACAATTTGGTATTTGTGGATGTGTATTTATGATAAATAATTGGTTACCTAAATTCATTAGTATGGATTTGACTGTACAGAGAGAAGTGGAAAAGCGAGAAGCATTCAAAAGTGATATGCCACTTCTGCTGTTCTGCCACAAACGCCAACTTTTCCACCTTTTTTTTCCCAAGAGCACGTTAATTTTCTGTACTTGCATATATGTTTTTGTTAGAGTTTTTTTTTTTTTTTTTTTATTGTTATATTATATGTATGCATATAAGGCATAAACGATTAACTGAAACGGTTATGCCAAGTTGTTTTATTTCATTGCGCGATATGAAGATATGGTAAATTATAGTTTTTCTGATCAATATCATTTGTTATAAAAAAAAACATTTGATCGTTGCCACATCAATTACATCACCACGTACGACTCTCGAATGATACCAATATTAGTGTCATGATGAAATCATACATTGCGAGCCAGTTGTCTGGAATTTATACGATCTACAAGACGTTTACGAATATAAAATGATCGTTTTCCAAATTAATCTAACATTTAATTAATAATGATAGGAAAAAAGTCTTCGTCGTATTTTAATTTTGTGACATGGTGCCACCTCTAACATTTGTCTACATTATATGAAACTCACGATTAATAGCTTATCCGTGACACCATCATGGATAAAGTCCACTTTCAGGGTAGGTTTACTGTCGTGTGTGCAACATATACATGCGCGTTTACTTGGGAGTGAATTCTAAACATCTAGTAAATAACCTATTTTGAACATAAAAAAAACAAATTTTCTAATAAAGCAATTATAAAACTTTAATGAGATAGATTTTAAATTTTTTGGTCGCGTGTTGAGAGCTATATTATATGTGACCCTCTCTATCTGGTGAAGAAGGGTCCATGGCTGTCGAGGGCGAAATTCTGTTGATTTAGAGATATAGATATACACAACATATGATTGCAAAAGGACAAAATTTGCAGGGTGTTCGATCAGAATATATAATACAAATTGTGATAGAGAGGCAGTTTTGTAGTTGTGTGATTTGTACTTGCGTAGCTTCTCTCCGTCAAGTGAAACAACAACGCTAGCTTGTGGTTTTTTAATTACCCCCACAAAATAAAAAAACAAGTAGAGCTAGGTACGTAACGTAAATTCAACTCCTCTCAAATGACACATGCACTATTAATACATGAGAAGTAAGGAAGAGAAATGAATATATACACACACAAGTAGTTACACAGACACTGAGTTCATATTTGTCTTGTCAAGGATTAATGGAGGAAATGAGAGAGAGAAAGAAGGTTTCATCACAAGGAATGGTTAGGCCATTGTCTTGGTAGAACCCAAACTCTTCCTCAGATTGTTGCAGCAACATCTGATTTACCAAGAGTGTACAATGAGAGCATATTGAAAGGATATATGCTTACATATGTGTGTGTGTGTGTATAATAGAAAGGGTACCTGGACGATGGGGTGCGTGAGGAAGGAGATAGGAATGACGTGCCGGGATCTGGAGTGACCAACGTAGACGACGAAGTGGCCTTTTGGGACGCCGTTAAAGCTAACGTCGACGTTACTCCTCGGATTCTTCCCCAAACTCGAACATCTCTTTAGCATCTGCTTCAGAGCCTTACTACTTCCCCTTTCTACACCCATCTCAAAGATCCTTTTTTTTTTTTTTTTTTTGCTTGTGGATAAAGAGAGAGTGGTGTGACTCGTATTTATATGCACAAACACACATATGTACACATATATGATGATGACATGTTAATAGCACCCACATAGACATAGAGAATTTACATGACGTTTCAACGTTATGGGACTCACCATGTGCAACACTTTTCCTATTAGACATGTATAAGAAAATGTAACTGCGAGTTCCCCATATTTCTATTAACTAACCAAGATCACGCATTTGTAAATTCACAGTGATGAGTGAAGAAATTACATGTACCACATAATAATATATGTATAAAATTAATGTCGGGAGTTTCAAATTGCTGAGGAGAAACATGGGCGACGACGGCTAGTCATGTTCTGTGGATGAAAGAAATAGAGCAATGATGTATTACAGACAAACCCCATTAACGGAATTCTAACAGAAAGCCCATACAGTCTCGTGCAGCCGCATCTTTTTAGCCACCAATCATTACTGGTCCGACCAACACCTCTCAAGTCGCAACCAATCCTATCAAGCCTAAAACCCTAGACCCTGGACCCAAACCATAATGTAATTTCATGCGCAGCGAAGAATGTACAAGCACATATGTATAGATTACACTCTTGCCTTTCTTCTTCTTATTTTCTTGGAATCATACAAACAAGGAAGAAAAGGAAACTTGTATCAAATGAGGGGGTTTCTTTATGTTACATGTGGAAGAGAGTCTTTTAACTCTTCATTATATGGAGCTTAGTGCCATCATTTTGCACTGCTCATTCATGGCCAGAAGCTGCGCCTCTTTCTTGTCCACGAGCGCCGTCAGTCTTACGTTCTCTTCCATTAGTTTTTGAACCTCTGCTTCTTTCTGCACTTTCTCGCTTTCCAGCTGCGTTGTCTTCGCGACAAGCCTGCTTCATCAACATTGACGACACCCCCATGAACTCACAATCACAGTAGGAAGCTATATATGACTCCTAATTAGTAATTACACACACAAGGATGAAGCTTTTGGGACTAGTCGTTATCAGCTAGCAATCTTATCTCCCAATGCAGCCAGCCATGAAACCAAAAACTTCCAGGAAAGATAGTAATCAAAGTTCCTAATCCTAGAGGCTAGACAAATGCCTATGAAACTTAACGGAATGATGATGGATGTGTATATAAACCAAGGGAAAAAAAAAAAAAACACTAGTTTCAGAAAAGATGGAAAGTGCATAGAACTCACCGCTCAAAAAGTCTCTCGATAGTTTGGAACTGCTTCTCGGAAGAGACGAGTGTTTCTCTGACGCTGATGAGGCTTGTAACGTAGGATTTAAGCGACTCAAAGTCTCTCCTGACACGACAGAGTTCCTGCTCATTTTCCGTAGCTCGTTGCTTCTGCCTGGACGTCTCTTCGACCAAATCGTCAACCCTCTGCCGCATTTCACAGAGACTGCTACTGGTCCCAAGAGCAAACTTTTCCATGTCCTCCAACTTGACGGACATGTTGTCGATTTGGCCCACCTTTCTTTGAATTTCTTCTTGGCTTGACAAAAACTTGCCTTTCTCAATTGCGGCTTCTGATTCGGCCATTACAGCACGCCTAGCCAGAGACTCCATTACTCCTGTGACCGTCTCTACATGCTTTAGCATCTCAGTGACATAAGTGCCATCACAGGAGCTATTGACAAGCCCCTCAACCTCGAGCTGTTCAGTTCCAAGCGATAGCTGAGCCAAATCCGCAGCAGCCACAGTTGTTGCCTTCGATTTCAGGTAGGTCAGCAACGCTGTTGCGGCTTTCACTCGGCTCCATAGAATCTCAGTCTCCTTTTGTGAAATTTCCTTGGAAACCAGAGCGGACTCCTCAACATTTACGAGCCTGTCTTGCAGAACATTGACGTTGGATCGGCTCCTTTCCATTGCTCGCATCCAGGTATCATGATCCGACTCTACGCTCGAGCCAGAAACCTCTTGCTTTGCAGCCATAGGCTTACCTACTTTATCCGTAATAACACTGACAAGAAACGAAACTCAGTTACACAAGAAAAACACACATACACACACGCATATAGCTTATTAGGCTAACGAGTAACCAGACTTATTAAGACAATCCAAATTGGAGAAATTTCCCTATGAAATTCAACTTTTATACAAGGATGAAGAATATACCCAGAAATTCAACTTATCAAGCAAGATCAATCAATATATACAGAGAATATTATATTAGCCAAATTGCAAGAAAATAACAAAAAAACTCGGAGAATCAAATGACAAACCAGAAATGGTGTAAGAGATGAACGCTTTCCTGGAGATTTCGGGAGGCCGATCAACCGATTTGACGAGGAGAACGAAAACGGGTCGGGTTGACTCGGTGTGCAAAACGGGTTGTTTGCTTTAGGATTATTGGAGGAGAATTACAATTAGTTTGGCATGAAGTTTCCCAAAACAGATTCTTTCTTATTAGAATGAAATGATTGAAAAACACATTTTCTCGAAATAGTTTGGGCCTTATTGTGATCTCCTAAAATTTTGTGCAGGCCCAGTGTTGTAACTTAAAGGCCACGGTTCCAGTTATGAGGAAAGTATGTTCCGAAAATGCCCAGTGTTATAACTTAAAGCCCACGGTTCCAGTAATGTGCCGAATCATTTTCTTACCCCTATAAAATGACAATCAAGTCAAAACATTTCTCAATTTTTGTTGTTGTGTGCTTTTACTGCTGACAAATTGCATGACCATATTGCCTCCACTTTTGCAGGACGAAATGGACAAGAAGATTTATGAATTAACAAACAGGAAATGTGAAGCTTACATGACTTAGCCTACTTTCAGTCTTTTGAAAGAAATGGAAGATCAAAAGTTACACGAGTGTCCATCAAAGTGCACAACATCAAAATTAGCTTCCAAAAATAATTCGTGAAACACGCAACAAGTTCCCACTTCCATCCTTATCTGCTCTTTCATATGATTCCTCATGTACAATATCTTAGGGTTTTTGAAAGATTTTCCGGATTCCCCTGTTACAGTAACTAGCCTTTGGTTGCAAAAGATTCTACTTCCAATTCATTTTCTCAATGAGTAAGAGCAAGAAGTTGATTACCAGCAATACCAAGCACACAGTATGCGAGTTGGATTGTGATGTTATTGTATCCAGCAGGTCGCCGCTCACTCTTTCAAGCTTAGTCTAGCGTTTTGTACCTTGAGGGATAGCTCAAACTTGTGTTCTTCCATATCTCTCAAAATGGACAGCAGGTTTGCCCGATAGACTTGGCATCGCTGACCAGTCCTCTCCAATTCAGCTGTCAGTTCAAGTATCGTCCTCTCCTTTTCACCCTGACATTGAAGCTACTTGGTTATTCCCAAGGAAGAAAAGGACATAAAACTATCGAGTACCAACCGCTTACCCCTGGATGATTCATTGCATTCGCAGTTTCTTGGTAAGACTCCTCGGTAGTTCCAGGTGTTGCTCTTGTAATTTTATTACTAGCAGCAGCTACTTTCTTGGCAGCTTCATCCAAGGCATCCATTGCAGCTTTATAGATCTGAATAGATTTGGCGCCCTCCTCCACGTACTTGGTTGCTTCTTGGCGTAGATTGTCGTAGCAGAGGGTTAAAGATTCTTGGCAACTGTCGGGTTGTTCCTCCAGAGTCTTTGCTGCTTTGGTCCATCGCCTTAGTAGATAGGGAGATGGAAGAGTAGCAACATTTTCGGCCCTGAATACTGCCAACACGTGTCTGCAAATAATCCCTGAATACTCAAACATTTGACAGCTGCAATGAGCTTTCACCTCAAGAGAGTCAAAATCGACAGTATGACCTCGTCCAAACTTAGCCACGCGATAAATGGTGCGACTTCCGGAATCACTAATCCTATTTGCAGGATTCGCAAGGCTCTCCACAAACTCCTCCTGAAAGATCATGAACGCTTCCCTGGTATACAGGCTAGCAGCTTGCTTTTCCATGGGAGAGGGCGTCTTCATAACTGGAACTGAGTTCGCTGCTTCATAATCTGCTCTCACTTCTTTCTCGCGCCAACAACTGATTGCTTTCTCGTACTGGTTTATGAGCATTTGGATGGTAGTTGAGGCGTCCACAAACCCATGGAAGAAGGAGTTGAGCATGCTGCTTCCTTCGTTTGCAGACAGCTCCCCATAAAAGGTGTCTCGGACGAAAACAGGGACCCATTGCTGCCTAGCACTGTAGATCGTCTGGAGCCAGTCGTTGTCCTCTAGATAGTATCTTGTGAGGATAGAGTCCCAAGATGCCTCGAACTCAGCAGCCGTCTCTGTCTCGTTAACGCAACTTAGGAACTCGGATTCCAAGGAAGGATGAGACTGAAAGAGGTGAGCAAGTTTCTCCTCGGTTTCCCTGAAGATGAGGGGCAGGCTGAAACGAAGGCGGGTCTGACCAAAGACTTGAGAAACAGCAACCTGAATGAGGCGGTCTGGTTCCACGGTAATAGAAGGAGGAGGGGGAGCAGACATTGCTTGAAGCCAAGTCTGGAAAAGCCAGGCGAAGGAGGACTCAGACTCGTTGAGGATGAGAGCGCAGCCAAAGAGAAGAGGCTGCCCGTGATGGTTGAAGCCGGAGAGGGCAGCAAAGGGCACTTGATACCTCTTACCCCTCCTGTAGGCGGTGTCAAAAACCACCGTATCACCAAAGTAGCTGTAATTCAACCTCCAAGCTGGATCCGCCCAGAACACATTCCCACCATCCTCCTCCATTGCATAGAAGAAACCTGGATTCTCGAGCTGCTTACGTTTCAGATAGTTCAATACATGCTCGACCCCACTCCTCTCTCGCTCCACGCTCATCTTTTTATTATTACTAGTTCCTCCTCTCGGGTCCCGGTTACACCACCAATCCTGCCATTATCATCAACAGCAAATTCATCTGAAATGGAAAGATTTCGGTATCATCACAAGGAACAAAGTCTCTAAACAATCAGTACAGCCAGAGTCGACTCTCTCCACTGTACAAGTAAAAATTACAAGAAATTGAAGCTGTGCAAGAGATGATACCTGCGAATCCTTGTTACTTTGTAAACAGCGAACCCAGTGTAAGTCAGAGATGAACGAATTCCTGGAGATTTCGGGAGGCCGATCAACCGATTTGACGAGACTCGAGAGGAACGAAGACGGGTCGGGTTGACTCGGTGTGCAAAACGGGTCGCTTGCTCTAGGAATTAAGAGCGTCTTCTTGCGAATCACAATTAGTTTGGCCCAACACAGATGAATGAATGAGAAACACATTTTTCCTCTTTAGGTTTCTTTCGGAGTTTGGGCCTTATTTGGGTCTCCTATAATTTGTGCAGGCCCAAATGTTATAGCTTAAAGCCCACGGTCCCATCGTCATGCACAGTTGATTTTTAACAAGTCAACCTTCGTTAGTAGTACAAGGTAGGGGAATAAATAAGCAAATCAAATTTGCAAGTTACACTAGAAAAGGCTTATATCTATAGGGTAGACCAAGAGTTTAATAATCGTTTGAATACAAGATGTGATAACACTAGAAAAGGCTTATCTACATGGAGAGAGCGTAGAGCCTGTGACCACATTACAAGAGTGAAAGTCGTACAAATGATCCTATTTCCGAATGGCATAAGCAGGCAATTTAGATAAGTCAGGGATAACAAAGGCAAGTTCGGAAGAGCCAGTGACAAACATGGGGCTTCCTGGAGCCCATTTCATGACTGCGGCTTCACTGTCATGGCCCATCCAACTATGAACCTACACATTCAACACTCCCCAAATTAACACCAAAGCATATATACCAAAGTCTATTTACGGTTGCATTTGCTAGTCCCCACCTGTTTTCCGCTCCTCACGCCCCATGCATGTGTACTCCCATCTCCCGAACCTATAAAACACGTTGCGGCAAATCAAACAATGTGTATGGATCATCCCACTCGGGTGAAACTAAAGGTTACCTGAAACAACATACATCCCTTCAGGGCTGAAGGTTGCATCCAATGTCGATTCTTCGCCTACCGGTTTCACACTAAATGTCGATAGCTGCAATGAAGATAGTCAGATCATACACCAGTTTATGTCTGGCCATGAGAAGATACGAGCAAAGAAAGCTGAAAGCGTACAAGTGTTCCACGAAACGAGTCCAGCACATGAATATGACCATCCATGGTCGTAAGCAGCATGAGCCTTCCATCATTACTAAATTTCACAACGTTCGCCTCAGAATAATCACCACCAACGGAAAATATTTCAAAAGGACCCTATCCAAGCAAACATTTCCCAAATCAGCAAAAAAGGATGTATGCTGGAAGTAAAATAAGAAAATTTGAATAATAGAGTGGTGCATCAAGCTGCATCGGCAACGATTTGTTAATAACAAACCTTTTCGTACATACGGGCATCAAACAATCTTATGTAGCCACCAAAGGCAATTGCAAAAACTAACCCTTGATCATCATATGCTGCAGCAGGCCTTCCTTGGACTCGTAACAGACCCTATGGTCGAACCAAACGACCAAATCATGTTAGACGTAAGACTCGCATATTGCACCTCATGTGTAAAGAAAAAGTACCTGGCATTTCTCGACCCTCTGATCCCAAAGCAAAACAGTTCGATCCAGAGAACCGGAGATGAAGCATTCCCCACCAGAGCACAAGCTAAGCGAGACAACTCTGCGTACGACAGAAATCGGTTAACGCCATCCAGTAGAGTAAAAGTTGATCAACGAGAATCAGAAATAATAAAACTAAACCTGCCATGGTGTCCTTTGAAGTAGCGCAGGTACTTGTTATCGTGCAAGGAGAGAAGCCGCAGAGAGTCTAGCCAGAAAGCGAAGATTGTGAGGTCAAATAGATTATGAGGAAACAAAGTGTAAGCATGAACATGGCTCACCGTCCCATCCGTTTCTGGAAGAGTAGATGACAGTTGTCGGGTGCGAAGTGAAGCAAACAAGATCGACCCCATACTTTTTGCTGTTAATCGTCTTCAGACACCTGACACAAGATAACGAAAAGACTATGTACAATGCTCAAAAAAACGAAGTTGGGATCGCAAGGCAGCGTTTTTGGAGCTGAAACACTCACGTAGCGCTTGCGACATCATAGAGACGAATCGAGTCATCGTCGCTAGCCGTCACCATATAGCTCGAAGTTTTGTGGAAGTCAATCGAGCTGATCCTGCAATTCTGCATAACCAACGAGAAAGGATAAAGAAATCTACGAGACGGCACAAATCAAGCCTCTCCAAACGGATGCAAGAAGGGTGGAAGGAATTACATAGTCTCTGAAAACGGCGCCAGGTTCCATGCTCTGTAGAATCTCGTCGGTGAGTTCCAAAGAAACTCGGTCCTCTCTCTCGGGTTGCGCCCCTGTAAATTTCCCAACCATCCATTAAACCCACGTCGAATCGCGAAACGGGACATCTCATGTCATCAAAAACACTCACCAACCATTTCTCCGACGCGAAGACCAATCTCGCCGGCGATCGGTAAATTGGCTGCACAAGGCAAGGGCTTCGACTTCGAGTTGATTGACGACGTCATCCACCGCCTTAACTGATGGGTGCCAACGATTCTCGATTTGGGCCAAACTTTGGAGTATGGGCTCTCAATTTATATATATGAGGCCCATATGAAGTGCTATCCTTCCAACACTAATTTACAATATGTACACGAAATTTGAAGGATTCGGTAAGAGGCGGTAACAAAACATCAATTACGTTTTTTTTTTCCACGTATAAAAGACAACAACTTTATAGTAGTGATTTGTTTAGATGAATACTAGTAGCGAAGAGAACACTACACCTTATCCGGTGACAAAATTAATTAATATTACTATTAAGCAAGGCTTATATACACGGTGACTTTTATTCCACCCACCTAGTAATGATTTACTAATTAACCGCTACAACAAACCGGTGAGGGTTACACAAGAGAGAGACAACAACAATCAATACAAGCGACGGCGTTAATGGCCGTTTTCAACGTCGATGGCCTTGTTGGTTCTGATAAACTCGATACAGTCGGCCACGGCTTCGCTGTGATAAGTATCGGCGTTATTATTATAGTATTTTTGGCACCGGACTGTAGTCGAGGGCTGTTTGTTACGACGGCCAGGCGTGGACTTAGAGACCGCAGAGATCATGATGAGACGGAGAACGGCGTCGCGAAAGCGGTCGAGGAGAGTCATGGGGGTGACACTAGTCTCCCGATCACCGGCTGTCCTTGAGTTGGCTTTTACACGGGGGACACAAAATCCGGCGCCGGATGTCTTGGTCTTCATCTAATAAACAGGAAACACAAGTCTTAGTTATGATAATCGTGTGTCGTCCTGTTCAACTGTCGCGCATGTGGGGTTATATTTATACACGAGAATCTAATGATCGAATAGAGAGGCGCAGTTTTATAATCGACTGGTTTTGTCTTTTGCTTGTTTTCATCTCTTATTTCCAAGTTACAATGTAAAATTCGTTGTCAAGTTGAAATTTGGGTGAATGGTACATTTAATGTGTGTGTTTATAACATGGTCGGGACATTTGAAGACCATATCTCTCATTCGCATGCAGAAAAGACATTTAAAGCATTTTTGGTTAGGTGGCTCATTTTTTTTCTTCTTGGTAGTCACAACGTAGTTATAGCATGTCCCTATGGATCGAATGGGCAGGGAAGAATTGTGTCTATTAATGGAATTACAAGATTGGACAGAGTTGGAAGGAGTTGTCTTATGCAAGAAAAAGAGAACTGAGACTTGAGAAGGTCTTTGTGTGATGGTTTTCACATGGTCACATGTGGCAAGTTTTCACCAAATATACGTACATAAGATAACACGCATATTTATACATTTCATTGAGCCGACTCACCGGCCAATACCAATGTGAAAGAGATGTGATTGATTTTGAGAACCTTGTTTATGGCTTAATAATGATTATATATATGGATTTTGTAAACTGTGTGATGTAGTATTATTTTGAATTGACCAAGTACAGTGTTTTTTCTGTTGATAAGAACAAACAAATAATTAATCTTTATTTAATTACAAATCCACCGTAATCAGGTTATCGGTTTAGGTTTTTGATGGAGTGCCACGTCGTTATTTGTCATTCAAAAGCAAGAGAAGAAGAAAACGTCATATTCCGATTACACTTATAGTTATTGAAAAATAACAAAGGCAACAATAGTTTAGTAGGCCCGAGAGAATCAGAATTGAGAATGAAACAAGCAAAAAATGAAAAGAGACATTTGAGGCTTTGTCACAACTCCAAAAAGGGGGATTTTAGATGATATTCATTCGTCACCGGAAAATCTGACATGTTTTCCTTTTGGTGTAGGGAAACCTTTCAAACGCAACACTCGTGGCTGCTCTTGGGCCTCCAAGATCTCTTCATCTTCACTGTCGTACACAAATCGAGTGTGCTTCCCTGCGAAGCTCATCTTTCTCATTCCTTCGCACAACTCATCCACAGTCCCCGCCTCGCCGCTGTATTCCTCAGCTTCATCATCCTCCTCCCTGTAAGAGCACACTTCATCCTCTTCGTCTTTTGTACTTGCATTGACTTGCATCGACCACACCGAGGAGTTATCGTCCTCCCATAGTTCTAATTTATCACTAAAGTCCAGCATCAATGACCGGGTTATGCTCGGACTCCTCTCTAACACCTCCAAGCTCTCTGCTTTCTCCTCCACCTGGAAAGAGGAAATCACACGTCATTTAGCCTCTTTTTTTTTATTATCAAAACTCAGCCAAAATGTTCTTCTATCAAACCCACAAACAGAAAATATAGTTTTACCTGAGATGTTGCTTGTCCCGGAACAACCGGAGATGTGATCACAATCTGCAATCCGTCTGAGAAATCGACAACTTGGGGAGTGTTGGCCGGAGTCGGGGCGAGAAGTCCCATGGGAGAAGTAACGAGATGGACGAAGGGACGAGATTCAGCTGAAATCTTGGTACCATGTGCTTCTTCTTCAACCTTCTGCAGCAGAGTCTTGACCTGGCCCCTCAAGAGAGCCTCCCCAGATCCAGGAGTGCTCTTGATTCTGCTCACATTCCTCTTCCCCATCACTCCCGAGGATGGAGTCTGCATCGCCAGCCCTACGATCGGCGAGTCGTTGGTTATGTCGAACAATGCCGACCGCTCTTGCTGTGGTTTTGCACCGTTTCTTTGTCTCGATTTCGATTGACTTTTATCCGACTCCTCTGGACGAGATGACAAAGGAACAGCGGTTAGATTCAGAAACGACACAGAAGATTATCCGAAGAGAGTTTTAAAAAAATAATGTATAACATGGAGAGAAATCGGAAATCCAAAAACAGAATCCGTAAAGACAAATCAACAAATAAAATCAATTAATTCAGATCCGGATTAGGGGAAAGAGAAACATAGAGACTTACTTGATGATAAAAGATGATTGGTGGCAGAGCTTTTAATGGCAGAGAGGGTCTGAGACCTCGTGACTCTTCTCGTTGATGATGGTGTCTCCATAACTCTAGATCTGAATTGAAGACAAGTTTTCTGGGAGAAGAAGATTGGAAGGCGGTACGAGAGAATTAGACAAGTGGGCGTGGCGATAGCAATGGCGTGAGTATTTAAAGGCAGGCCCAGATCATCAAGGATTAGGTTTTTGAATGAAAGTAGCCGTTGGGACTTCTCTCGTACAGGAATGGAAGGAGCCGTTTCAGAAAACTAGCCGTTGGGACTTTCCTTAGATGAATGATTGTGGGCTGGGCCTTTGTGCTCCTAATTACGTCTCATTTCACAAAAAAGCCCATAGTCTCTTAATGGCCCACGTCATTAGTCGATCAAAACAACACCTAATTTGTCGTGCATTTCTATTTTGACCAAATTAGTTTCTTTAATAAAAACACTCCTTTGCTAGAGGAAATAAATTAATTAAGTTGGTCATATAATAATCATAATAACATTCTTTAGCGATTTATTTGAGTTTAGTGAGAGGGCTAATTAAAGCGTAAGGCGTTGGATTAATGATCATTTAATTCTGTGTAGCAAATGTGTTGGGTGCGTTGCTTTGCTCCATCAGCTTAGCGAATCTCCGAGCGAGGCTCTTCTTAGTTTCAGGGGACACGCCATTCTTTCCAATCATAGATTCAATAATTGCCTCACCAAACAGCTTATTCTTGATCACTGCATTTCCACTTCTCGGGACTTTCTCGTCTTTCGAAAATGCAATCTGCACCACACAACAAAGACATTCATTCACTCGTGTTGGAGAAGATGATTAGACGAAGAAGCTCACTCACTGTGAGAGTGCCTTTAGGGCAGATAGCGAAGAGGATTGAAGAGCCTGGAGGGAAATCGTGGTCTTTGAAGACCTTCAGGAATTTTTCGATGGCTTTGGCCTCACTTTGTGTGTATTTCCCTGACGATTTCAAGATCTCCTCGCAGTATTCAGCTACTTTCTCCGAGTATTGTGTTCCACTTAATTTCACTTTCATCGTCACCCTTGTGAATTTCTCAAACACACCTTTTCAAGACACACACACACACAAAGAAAACAATTACGTTTCGGCTTGGTAGACATATAACTGTGCACACCACACAAATCGTGTGAAGGAGAGACAAAAGTGATGTAAAGTTCCACGTAAATGATAAGTTCATTATGCCTGTGATGAGTTGACGGAAGAAGGAGATGGAATCCGTTAACTCCTTTGCGTTCTTGCCCTTCCACTTAACGGAAAGTGACGGCACTGCGATAGCTTCTAGGTAAACTCCGATGACAGTCACAATCTCGAACTTGCCTTCAATCTCAAACCCTCGTACCCCTGCGTGCGCAAGTTAGCCACACGTACATAATTCATACATACATGGCTCTAGCTAGTTATAATTGCGACTTTGATATTTGATGCTAACCTGCGCCGCCGAGGAAAAGCTTTTTAGAGGAAGCGGGCGACGTGATATCCGGAGGGAAAGTAAAGGAGTCGACGTGGAGGGGCGTCACGGACGGTAACGGCATCGGCGACGTTGTTGACGAGGAGGTCATGTCTTGTTTTATTTTTCGAATTTAATACATTTAAGTTACTTAGGTACGACGGTATTATTATGTGCATATATATGAAGACTATTTAATCACCTAAAAGCCTTTTATTTGAAAGAAATCTGTGGATTTCTTGTTGTTCTCTAATAGATAAACAGATTGGATGGGTAAACTAATCAAGAGATTCACAACAAAGAAATCCAATTATGAATACCCTTGCATGAAGATTCCAGAGACATATATAACGCAGAAATGCATGAGAGAGAATGATGCAACTTACTTGGTGATAAGAGATTGGTAGTGAGAGACATATCGTGACTATCACTAAAGATCTGAAAAGAGTAGCCTCTGGGATTGTGTTATGAGAAAGAGTAAAAGTATATGTAATAAACACTATACATGGGAAATTATGGCACGATAATATATTGGGTGGTCACAACGGAGTTAGAGTAGGTTGGCTAAGCTAAAATAGTTTACTTAGTGATCAAAACTCTGAAGAAGGCCCCAGTTTCTATCATAAAATATTGTATATATTATGCTATGTATATTTGTTTAGTCTAACATGGCACACGTTTTTCTTCTATCCGAACAAGTGACAACTATTAAAAAAGAGAAGGCAAAAGCAGTTCAGATTCATACTGCTAAGCAAGTGCTTCCCGTCATCATTACTACCTACATCGATTTTCTCATATGGTTGTTTATTTAATTTGTCAACAGTTTCTTCCAATATTTGATAAATAAATATAGTAGTACTATATATTTGAAGGAAATGCTACCAATTCAAGTTATTGGAATACGGTTGTGCGTTGGCGTGGCACGTGAAAGTGAGAAAGAGATAATTTGTTGCGTTATACAATACAATATACTAGTATCTCTCTGATCAAGAACTAATCAGACCTACTGAAACACAAAACGTATACGCCTTAGATAAGAAATAGTATATAATTAGACTAGAGTATTCAACCAAAACAAACTCAAAGACCAAGTCAGCTTGGTAGACCAAGATTAATCAATTTTAAGTACTGGGAAATTCTTGCTTATATAGTTGTTAGTTCTTGATTGATATTTCATGCTTTTTAGGGAAATTACAAACGCGCAGAGTGGCATATTAGAGACAGCAACTTGAATCCAACAGTTACACCAAAAATACAGGCTAGGCTGGGGTCTATACTAATCTATGAAGTTGGTTAGAATCTAATAAATGTGTGCATAATTTCGTGGAATAATAATGCAACTGTTTTTTTTTTTTTTTTTATTACAAAAAGAGTTTCAAGTCTTTGCGGATGCTGTCGGCCCCATATGAAGAGCTGCTGCTTCTATTGGTCTCCGCTTTCACACCATGGCACCATACGCTCTTAAATCATTTTGCATATCAATCATCAAAGCAACTGTGTATAAATGGGACTATACTACTGTCTATAGTTATCATTTATCAAATGTAACAAATCAAACCTTATTGTACGAGTGTATGTACATATAGAAGGAAACAAAAAATAAAGAAAAGGCAAAGGAGGACAAGGAGGGGAAAGTCCAAAGGATCTTTCGTCCTTCACTCGCTCTTTGGGTTTGACCAACTCAACCCTCGTCTCCTTCCTCTCTTCTTCTCCTTTGTGTTTCTTCTGTTTCTTTATTAATCAGGCTTCCACTCTCGATTCCAAATCCATGTTCGACTGTCATCTCCCTTTGCCTATTTGAATCTCTCTCTCTCTCTCTATCGGCGGGGGGTTTTGGTTTAGGTAGCCATGGGTGTGTGTTTCTCCGCCATTAGAGTCAATGGTGCCAGCAGCAGCAGTAGACGAAGTAGTCAGACCAACGCTCAGAATAAGAACCCAAAGTCTTCTAAGGCTCCGAATCCCAAGGAGAGCGATAAGCCCTCCACCAAGCGGAGAACCGGCGCGATCCCGTGCGGCAAGCGTACCGATTTTGGGTACGCCAAGGATTTCCACGAGCAGTACACGATCGGCAAGTTGCTGGGTCATGGTCAATTCGGCTATACTTACGTCGCCATCGACAAGGGCAATGGAGATCGTGTCGCCGTTAAGAGACTCGATAAGAGTAAGGTATTGCTACTGCCTACTTCTGATTCCATCCCACGTTTCAGCGGTTAGGGTTTGTTAATGGGATTCCCTTTTGCCTTTACCGGGGATCTCTCGATTCTCCACCATCTGCCTCTGTTTGTCGATTCACCACTTTCCATTATATATATATTCAATCTCCACCACCCTCGATGATTCAAAGGAACATCATTTAATTTTAACACTGATTCCTCTCTTTTTTGATTGATCCTCCATTTTACTATTCCCCAACAAGATTTTTGTCACGATTCCATTACCAAGGTTCTTGGTTGTGAAAAGCTGCTTTCTCTGCAGTTTCCCTTTTTGATTGCAACATGTTCCTACAGTTACTGCATCCTCCTCTGCTTTGGGTCACTCACTCACGGTTTTGTGCTCACAGATGGTTCTTCCTATTGCGGTTGAGGACGTGAAGCGAGAGGTGCAGATACTTAAAGCTCTCTCAGGCCACGAGAACGTTGTACAGTTTTACAATGCCTTTGACGATGATGACTACGTGTATATAGTTATGGAGTGAGTCTCTTTGTTTTCTTCATATATATATGCCTCTCACTCTATGCAATCCCTCATCTTTCGGCATTCACATCTGACTCTTGCCTTACCCTAGGTTGTGCGAGGGAGGCGAATTGCTGGATCGGATACTATCCAAGTTAGCGTCTCTCCGATCTCTTGCCGGTTTGGTTTTGCGAGAAAGAACTACCCATCTCATTCAGTATTGAATGTTTTTTTTTCCAGGAAAGATAGTCGATACTCCGAGAAAGATGCAGCTGTTGTCGTAAGGCAGATGCTCAAAGTCGCAGGAGAATGTCATCTACACGGTCTTGTACATAGAGATATGAAACCAGAGGTACATTCTCTCTTGTATCTCTTTGGAGCTTCCAGGTGGTGTTCGTTGGCTATTTGTGTCTAAAAAACCTTCTGTTTTGGTTGCAGAATTTTTTGTTCAAATCAGCCAAACTGGATTCGCCTCTAAAGGCTACAGATTTTGGCTTGTCCGATTTCATTAAACCAGGTAAGTAGAAGCCATCAAACTAAATCCACACGAACAAAGTTGTAGCGCCCCTGCTGTTGACAACTCAATCTTCCTCAGGGAAAAGGTTCCATGACATTGTTGGTAGCGCCTACTATGTTGCTCCCGAAGTACTAAAGCGCAGATCAGGGCCTGAGTCAGATGTGTGGAGCATTGGTGTAATTACCTATATATTACTCTGTGGAAGGCGGCCTTTCTGGGATAGGACAGAGGACGGTATATTTAAGGAGGTGTAGTTGAAAAAATCCTTTCATCGGATATCTTTTTTATATAAATATTTTCCTTTTTTCTCATTTCTTCCTGGTTTCTCACTAATTTATACTGTGTGTCTACAGGTCTTAAGGAACAAACCTGACTTCCGTCGCAAACCGTGGTCAACTATAAGCGAGAGCGCGAAAGATTTTGTTAAAAAGTTACTCGTAAAAGACCCACGAGCACGGCTAACTGCTGCGCAAGCGCTGTGTATGTGGTTCTTGCTTTCGAGTACCAGGAATTTTTCTGCGACGGAATGTGTAGACTAATGCTCTTTTGCCCTTTGCAGCACATGCGTGGGTTAGAGAAGGAGGGAATGCCACTGATATCCCTGTGGACATTTCAGTTCTGAACAACTTACGCCAGTTTGTAAGATACAGCCGTCTAAAGCAGTTTGCTTTACGGGTAAGCGGAACGAGGAAGTTGTAACAACAAATAGACTAGGACATGTCTCTTATGCCCTGTGTCCCCTTTCTGGCAGGCGCTTGCTAGCACACTTGACGAGGCAGAGATTTCAGACCTCAGAGATCAGTTTGATGCAATTGACGTGGATAAAAACGGTGTCATTAGTCTTGAGGAGATGAGACAGGTAAGTAAACTTAATGAAATTTTTTGCTCTAAGAACAATTCTAACTACATGTACGCATGAGCAGAAAATATAGTATCATTTCTTTGTTCTTTCTACAGGCACTTGCCAAAGATCTTCCTTGGAAACTGAAGGATTCACGAGTTGCTGAGATCCTTCAAGCGGTAGTTATAGAGCTTTGGTTACAATTGCAATTGCATATCTGTGGGTAGATTTTCTGTCCACAGTCTGAACCGTTGTATTGTTTGGTGGACACAGATTGATAGCAACACTGATGGGTTAGTGGACTTCACAGAGTTTGTGGCAGCAGCTCTGCATGTACATCAACTGGAAGAGCATGATTCAGAGAAATGGCAGCTAAGATCACGAGCAGCTTTTGAGAAATTCGACATCGACAAAGATGGGTACATAACCCCCGAGGAGCTTCGAATGGTAACTTTACCTGATACCTCCTCATTGTGTTTTGTTGAGTTGATGAAAAAAACTGAAAGGCAATTGTCTTTTTTTTGTGTAAAATTGAAGCACACGGGATTAAGAGGCTCGATAGATCCACTTCTGGATGAAGCGGACATTGACAGAGACGGGAAAATAAGCCTGCATGAGTTCAGGAGACTTCTGAGAACAGCGAGCATAAGTTCGCAGAGGGTTTTAAGCCCTGCAGGGCACAGGAATCCTCGGTAGTCAGATATGGTATACTAGAAGAGGAGAGTATATGTGATTTGTCTTATCAATATATATATGTAATGCTGGTTGTAAGAAAGGTTGTTTTTTTGGGATAAAGTGTAAGTAGTTTGGTTGTGTGAAGACAGCCAGCTAAACAAAAGATACAGTGGAGTGTTTGGGTGAGAAATTCTGATTGAAAGAAAATATGAAGAGCCTGAGTGTGGTCTTTGGGTCACAGCAGGTGGATGAAGGGATGCCCACGTGACATTCCCTGTCTCGACCCAAGTCCAATTGTAATGGGTGGGCGGGGCACAAATGATAGATAGATTCCAGCTGTAATTTGATTCTCTCATATGTTTTTTTCACCTTATAATTATTATTATTGTGTGTGAGAGAGCACTAAAACAACACATCCTTTTCTATTATTTTCCCCAGCCAGCCAGCCAGGATCTGAGTGGCTCTCCAACGAATTCAATGTTTCTTTTTCAATCGTAAAAAACACTGTAGTGAATAATAAGGGAATATGTACATATATATATATATATCTCTCAAATCTAATGACTGTAATCTAAATTTAGCATTTTGTAGGTTCTGTAAATGTAAATGGATGTGGTCTCTGTTCACTACTCACGTTTATATATAGTAAGTAATGATATAGATTTGATATTTTCCACCACTTTGTTGAGACATCTTTCATGATTTTTGGGTCAAATGCATATGGAATTTTTAGTAAGTTATATATGTCAGTAGTGGCACGGAAGGGTATATTAGTCATTTCGGGAAGATTAACGACGCGACTTTGACAGTAATCAGCGGCAGTAACAGCCGCGTTTGACATGTTCTTTGTGCAACGAACGAACGAAAGACCAAATCCCATGGATGCACTTCCTTCTTCCTTCTCATTTCCGATCCAGTCAATTTCGAAGATCAATCATTTTCCTTCTTTGCCCTAATTCCTCCAAGCTCAGTCCCTTTTTTTTTTTTTTTTTTCCTGTTTCTAAATCTCGCTTGCGATTTCCTTTTCTAATTGATCTGAATCTCGCCGATGGCGGATATCGTGAAGCAAATCCTAGCAAAGCCGATCCAACTGTCTGACCAGGTGGTCAAAGCCGCTGATGAGGCTAGTTCCTTCAAGCAGGATTGCGGCGAACTCAAGGCCAAGACCGAGAAGCTCGCCGGTCTACTCCGCCAGGCTGCCCGCGCCAGCTCCGACCTCTACGAGCGCCCCACTCGCCGGATCATCGATGACACCGAGCAGATGCTTGAGAAGGCTCTCTCCCTTGTCCTCAAGTGCCGAGCCAACGGCCTCATGAAGCGCGTCTTCACCATCATCCCCGCCGCCGCCTTCCGCAAGATGTCCGCTCAGTTGGAGAACTCTATCGGTGACGTCTCCTGGCTCCTCCGTGTCTCCGCTCCGGCCGAGGATCGCGGCGACGCCGGATACCTTGGTCTTCCACCTATCGCCGCCAACGAGCCCATCCTCTGCCTCATCTGGGAGCAGATTGCGATTCTCTACACCGGATCCCTGGAAGACCGCTCCGATGCTGCCGCCTCGCTCGTATCGCTCGCCCGTGATAACGATCGCTACACAAAGCTCATCATCGAGGAAGGAGGTGTGGTGCCTCTCCTTAAACTCCTCAAGGAAGGTAAACCGGAGGGCCAAGAGAACGCCGCTCGTGCCTTGGGGTTACTGGGTCGTGACCCGGAGAGCGTGGAGCATATGATCCACGGCGGCGCGTGTTCCGTCTTCGGCAAAGTCCTCAAGGAGGGGCCGATGAAAGTCCAGGCCGTAGTTGCGTGGGCAACGTCGGAGCTTGTGTCTAATCACCCCAAGTGCCAAGACGTGTTCGCTCAGCACAACGCGATTCGGCTACTCGTCGGCCACTTGGCGTTCGAAACAGTCCAAGAGCACAGCAAGTACAGCAAGTATGCCATTGCCAACAGCAAAGCTACCTCCATTCACCACGCGGTGGTTCTCGCCAAGGAAAACCCTAACTCCTCCTCCTCCTCCTCCGCATTGGCCAAGGGTGTGGACGAGGATCAGAGCTCGATCCCTCATCCGACGGGGAAGCAAATGCCGAATCAGATGCACAATGTCGTGGTCAACACCATGGCGGTGAGGGCAAACCCTCCGAAGAAGTCGACGACGAGCAATGGCGTGAGCCAGAGTAACGGTGTTAAGCCCCCTTGCAATCTACAGCAGCACCAGAATTCGACTTCCAAGACTCGAGAGCTGGAAGACGCAGCGACCAAGTGTCAGATTAAGGCGATGGCGGCGAGAGCGCTGTGGAAGCTGGCGAAAGGAAACTCGAGCATCTGCAAAAGCATCACAGAGTCAAGAGCTCTCCTTTGCTTCGCCGTTCTGATGGAGAAGGGCATCGAGGAGGTCAGATACAACTCAGCAATGGCGTTGATGGAGATCACGGCGGTTGCAGAGCAGGACGCGGACCTGAGACGGTCGGCATTCAAACCGAATTCCCCGGCATGCAAGGCTGTGGTTGATCAAGTGCTTAAAATCATCGAGATGGCGGATTCGGAGCTGCTCATCCCCTGCATCAGAACCATCGGGAACCTCGCTAGAACATTCAGGGCAACGGAGACACGGATGATTGGGCCTCTGGTGAAGCTTCTGGACGAACGAGAGCCCGAAGTGACAGGGGAAGCAGCGGTTGCCCTCACCAAATTCGCCTGCACGGAGAACTACTTGCACAAAGACCATTCGAGGAGTATTATAGAGGCCGGAGGGGGCAAACATCTGGTTCAGCTGGCCTACTTTGGAGAGAGCGGCGTTCAGATTCCGGCGTTAGAGCTCCTATGTTACATCGCACTCAATGTTCCGGACAGCGAGCAGCTGGCAAAGGACGAGGTTCTGGCAGTGTTGGAGTGGGCCTCGAAGCAGTCTTGGGTGACCCAGCTGGAGAGCTTAGAAGCTCTGTTGCACGAGGCTAAGGGGAGACTGGACCTTTACCAGTCGAGAGGATCAAGGGGTTTCAATTTCAATTGATTCATTGTTTCGATTTTGATTGTTGATTTCTTCAACATAATACCTCGTTGTTCGTTGTTGTTTAATACCACATACCCCGTGTAAAGCAAGAAGATTAAGGCTGGAGCTTTTTGTAGTTTGATCTTTTCTGTACAGATTCATATATCTGCAGACGATGTCAGTGATTATTATTATGTGAGCCTTTTCTTTCCTTTTAACTATTTCCTGTAATTGTCTGGAATGAAAGCTTTAGCTGCCTGTGGCTGTGAGTCAGTGAGGGATGACGATGACTGGCTGACTACATGTCAAACAGTCAAAGTAGGTGAGGCCCATTAGCAATTGATCAAGCCCGTTAGGTAGCCCAGTAACTACAGGATTGTGAGGATATAGCAGTGATAAGTGTAGACAATTAGGCGCATGAAAATCAGCTAAACTGGGACAATGAAGGATAAGCTGTAATAAACTTATCCTCTTACACTTGGCCTCGCATTTCCCTTCACACAATCTACACACATCCAATCACAACCTGATCATATAGCTTCCTCTTAACCTTTTTTCTTTGATCTTTTTTTTTGCCACAAGAAAGAACAGAGGCCCATCTCTCCTTCTTCTTCTTCCATTCTGATCAAATATGGCTGCTGCTATAAGCACTGCAGTCTCTTTTCCTTCCTCCAAGTCCACTTCTCTCCCCACCAAAAGCTCCTTCGTCTCCCATCAAAGGATTTTCTTCAACAAGGTATCATTTCTTTCCTTTTAATATCACAAGGTATCATCATTTGTTCTCTAATGACATGCATAATTGGCACCTCCCTACAGAGCACACTGTGTTACAGAGACGCGTGCATCGGGGGCAGAGTGAAGGCTCAGGTGACAACAGAGACAACAACAGAGGCGCCGGTGAAAGTAGAGAAGGTTTCCAAGAAACAGGAAGAAGGAATTGTTGTCAACAAATTCAAACCTAAGAACCCTTACACTGGCCGATGCCTCTTGAACACCAGGATCACCGGCGACGATGCTCCGGGTGAAACCTGGCACATTGTCTTCACCACCGAAGGTACGCTTTTCCCCAAACCTACGAATCCAAATATCGGTTATGTATGGATCGGATTGAGGGCGAGATTTGATTCGGTTTGGTAAAAATATGACCAATTAGGTGAGGTTCCGTACAGAGAAGGGCAATCGATAGGAGTGATTCCTGATGGAATTGACAAGAACGGGAAGCCCCACAAGCTTAGGTTATATTCCATCGCCAGCAGCGCCATTGGTGACTTCGGAGACTCCAAAACCGTGAGCTGCTTGACAAGTAAACAAATGAACACCAATGCACATGATCTTCTCTTAATCTGCAATGCTCTTTCTTTTGCAGGTTTCTCTCTGTGTCAAGAGATTGGTTTACACAAACGACAACGGGGAGCTTGTTAAGGGAGTCTGCTCCAACTTCTTGTGTAAGACCAAGAAGAAGAAGAGCGATTGGTTTGATTACGGTTGAAACTGTTCTTAGTGCTTCTTGTGTTTGGTTTTTTTGTCAGGTGACTTGAAGCCGGGTGATGAAGCAAAGATCACTGGACCTGTTGGGAAGGAAATGCTTATGCCAAAAGACCCAAATGCCACCATCATCATGGTATGTCACATGATGTGCCTCATAAGAAACAACAGTTGTAGTGATTAATTCTTGTTTTCCGCTTCCTTAGCTTGGAACAGGAACTGGAATAGCTCCATTCAGATCATTTTTGTGGAAAATGTTCTTTGAGGAGCACGAGGACTACAAGGTGAAACCGTGAGCAAACCCTCTTGAAACACAGTTGTTGCCGCCATTTATAGTACAACTCACTCACCAATTTATACATAAATGTATCTAGTTCAATGGCTTGGCGTGGCTCTTCTTGGGTGTACCCACAAGCAGCTCACTGCTCTACAAGGAGGTATGTGTTAGATAAAGCCTAGTGAGCCACTTGAGTCAGTAAACTGATGTTGTCTTTCACAGGAGTTTGAGAAGATGAAGGAGAAGAACCCAGAGAACTTCAGACTGGACTTTGCGGTGAGCAGAGAACAAACGAACGAGAAAGGAGAGAAAATGTACATTCAGACAAGAATGGCAGAGTATGCAGAAGAGCTGTGGGAGCTACTGAAGAAAGACAACACCTTTGTTTACATGTGTGGTCTTAAGGGTATGGAGAAGGGTATCGATGAGATTATGGTCTCACTTGCTGCTAAAGACGGTAAGGCACATTCTTTTCAAATAAATATTTCGGAACCGCCCAAGTCTATGCACACAAATGGTTTTAACTGGCTTTGAACAGGGATCGATTGGTTTGAGTACAAGAAGCAACTGAAGAGGAGTGAGCAGTGGAATGTTGAAGTCTACTAAGGAAGCTTCTGAGGGGTTTATTATTATTATGTAGATAAAAGCTGATGCATTGTCAAATTCTTCACTTCTTCTTCCTTCGCTTTGTTCTTGGAGAATTTTCATCAACATTTAAAAGAGAGCATCAAGTTACTACTCTTTCTCACTTGTGTATTATGTTTCTTCAACAATATACTAGTGTTTTTGTGGAATATAAATTTTTACATGTTCAACATCTCGCTTCAACCGTGAAAAAGCAGAGCAGTACTCTGTTTTGTTAAGTTTCTTCTTTTCTAGATGGTGGTTAAGCTTCCCTGTTTTGGACTACAACACTCTGCTTTTTGCCTTGCATGGGAAAAATAAAAACGGGTTCCCTGACTTTTTGTACAATTTTATGATCTGGCTCTTTTGAGTTAGTTACATACAAACACCTACTGTCACCAAATTTGGTCAAAGTTTATGCTTTTTCTTTTCGATTATTGCTCTTTTTGTTCCCCTGTTTAGTAATAACGATGTGTAAAGAGGCCTATCCAAAAAAGGGGCTGGTTTCTGAACTGAATGCCCAACAAACCAAAATGTGAATGTTGCTCTTTTTTTTGTTAAATCAACCTCACAATCAAATATGTACAGAAAAAATATGACAGTTGAAAAGTGGTGGGGCTGCAGAACACAGAGTTCTTCGTGGACACAAATCAGCTGCAATTCATGAATTGAGATTGGGATCAGGTAAGTCCTAAAACCCAATGGTTCTAAGCAATCCACTTTGTATTCTTCAGACAGACACATAAAGCTAAAAGTAGCCACCAGCTTTGGGTAGAGTCATCAACCTAACGAACCTTTTAAGTGAGATTAGAATAGCTAAGAGCAGCATCACAACACATTCTTCTCTGCTTCTTTGTTTGGCAATTTCCTTATTTTTGCAACAAAAAGTCCGCTGGTTGCTGAGGTGGAAGGCTCGAAACGCACTGTTTTTGGAGTGCGGCCACTTCTACACGGCCAGTCCTTGGCCGTTTCTATCTCTTGTAGCTCTGCATCATGATCATCACTCAGCTTTATGTTACTTTATCTCACTAGTTCATAAGTAAAAGAACAGCTAATCCAAGTTTCCAACAAAATCTCACCTACGGAGACCTCAAAAAGTTCGATTATTTATTCCAAATGACACATTATTTACGATTATACGCACTAAATTTTTGTGAACTTGTTCAAAAGTATGTACCTGCAGAGGAACTTTCAGCAAGGAAGTGATCCACCACATCTTCGTTTTGGGCAAGCGTCAAACTGAGAGTTACACGATTAAGATAACCTGGTTCACTTTGAGAGATAAAAATGCTAAAACATAGAGCCTATCGTATTCTACCTGCAGGTACTGTATACAAGAGTGCCGCCTTGTTTCAACAATCTGAACCCATTTCTCAGTAGATTCAACTGCAAACAAAGACCCTGGCAATGATCGCCACAGAGGTAACAACAAGGACAGATGCACGAGACACAAATGGTCTTATGAAATTTACCTGAAGAGCTGTCAAGTTTCTATCGGTTCTCTCAGCGTCCAGTACACGGCGCTCCAGCGTATTCCAACCCCATTGCTCAAATTTCTGGATATGTTTGATTGAACCATCATGTGTGCACTCTGCGTCCACAAGAACCTGCAAAACCCCACTTTAATTCTTCAGTTAGGTTACTTTTAAAATGACTGCATCTGCCTCTGCGGATCGCAGCTTTACCTTGTCATACCCACAATATGCATAATCCTTTTGGTCAAGGGATCTATAAAGCTCCTTCTTTTTTAGCCCTACAACTCCAGAACTGTGTCCGTAGAAAATGATTTCCGGCTGTCCATTCTGGGGCAAAACGAACTTATTCATAGTCTTAGCTTCTTGCTTCCTTTCTTTGTATGGTCTACGAGAAGTCCACTGCTTGAATGTATCTTCATGATCGTCCCCAAATGACCCCCCTGAATATAAGCACAGCGAATGACCACTTTAGCATTGGTTACCGAAGCTTAAAAGAAACAAAAACAAAAAAAAGGTTTGAAAAGGTACATGGTAGGTTTGTGGTAGGTGGAAGTGAGAAAGTAGTTCCATCAGCAAGAAAAAGGCGGCTCCTTTCACCAAGCCCATATTTCTGAAGCATAGTTCTGCAGGCAGCAAGGCGATGCCTAGCAACATCGACACCCGTTGCAGTGCCCATCTCACCCAGTAGGTCTAGCATCATGCATAGTTTCGCACCTGAGACGGCGTATCCGGTTTAAAAGAGGTTATAGGGCAAAAGAAACGTGGGTGGCAGAGATGATGTGATTAACAAGTACCAGGAGCAGCACAAAGATCCAAGACATGGTCTCCTGGGGAGATACCAAGAGCTGAAACAGCCGCACCGGAAGCTGCGTCGATTCCGTACATCTGAAAGAAGAAATAGCTAATAAGGCGGCTGAGCTTAGGGAGGAGGAGATTTGGTTATCGATTGCTCTCTCACCTTCCCTTGCTGATACGCCTTGGACCTCGCTATATGAACATCTGGAGGAATGGAGTAAAACCCAGGTAACCATTTCACTTTCTCCAGCTTGCAACTAATCTCAGATTCAATCTCTTGGGAAAGATACTCGAACCCAGGTTTCAACCTTCAAACGTACCTCTCGATTTCAATTACCAAAATCCGGATTCACGACAAGAGCAAAGGGCGAGTGTGTGTCTCTACTTACCTTACATAGCGTGGAATCGAATCTCCGTGAGTATAGATTGAAGGATCAATGCCATTCGCCTCTAGAAAACTAAGGAAGGTCTCCGGCAACTGCAGCTTGGACGTTTCTTCCATGAGAATTGAGATGAGAGAGAGAGAGAGCGCGCTTGGTCGGAGAATCGCCGGAGGAGAACAGAGAAGACAAGTTTGGGCTTTATATATCTACTCAAAAGCCCAATTGTTTTGACCGACCGACCCTTAAAAAACTGGCTCGATTTACTTATGATATATATATGTCATCCAAGAGTTTTATAAAGAGTTACACTCTGTATTTGTTTATTTATTATATTGATAAACATCAACACATCGAAATTCTAAATTGAAACATAACATCCGACACATCATCACACAGACATTATTCGATGAATCTTAGTTTGCCGATTGCTGCTCCTTGTTGATGGGAAAGCTGTGATCCACCCAGGCCAAGTAGCCACCTCCCACGTTTCTCACTTTCTTGAAACCCTAATTCGATATTAAAGTTTGCATATGAATGATTCTTTGAATTTATCAGAGTGTGTTTGTGTGTATACTAAACAAATTAGGGGATGACTTACTGCAGCAAGAAGTTCAGCTGTGGCATTTAAGGATCTGGCTCCACTCTGACAACCCTGTGTATCATCAGATTCAAGGTCGATTTCAAACTAAATGAACCCATGATTTTATATAAACTGTTGACTTTCCACTTCATTTTGAACCAAAGTTTGAGCTTTCATGGCCAAATATATATATATATATATATATAATTAAAGAAAAAACAAGTGACAATTTCATTTCTTGTAGGTGGGATGAGTTACCACAAGGACATCATCAGTTGGGTTGAGAAGAGAAGAGACTTGATCCAAGAAGTCTTGATTCTTCACTCTTCCTAGTGTATCACACATATCACAAAAGGGTTTTAAGTTATGATGGTTTGAATCTAAAAGATGATTTGATTGTGAATTACCTTGTGGTGTGTTGAGCATGTAGGGAACGTTGAGGATCTCAGATGCCAGGCAATGGCCTCTCCTAAACTCTTCCTCGGTTCTGCATGTGCAAAATTGAATTGGTACTTGCATGCATCATTTATAGTATAGTAGTGATGGTGATGGTGATAAAGACAATAGAAATCACCTAACATCAAGATATCGATGGCCAGATTGGAGGAGAGTCTTGGCTTGGCTCACATCAACAGTCACAACTTCTTCTGGCTTTGAGCTGCAGACTGATGGAAACATTTTCTCTACCAAAAAAGATAAATGAGATAAAAGATAGAAAGCTTTCGGAAGAGAGCAGATAGCATTAAATAACCCGCAAATCGGACCATTAAACAACAAATAATGTTATTTTTTAAGTAGATTATTAGTAACTCTTTTTTTTTGTTTATTTTTTCATTTACACATTAGAAATATTATACTATTAAATATACAGTAAATGGTACATATGATTAAACCACTACAAATTTGTTGCTATATACACAATGCAAATTAAATATACAGTCAATGGTATTTAACCACTATAAATTTGTTGCTCTACACAAGGCAAATTAAATCTACCAAGTCTTGGAAAGCTATGGTAAGCCCTATACATAAAACGTGTTCACTTGTCACTAATTTAAATTATTGAGAAAACACAAAACCAGGAACATCAACATGTAATAACGCATACAAATTTAGTGTCCCCAATCACAAGTTTCTCATGTTGCTGATCAGTGATCAGTGATTTCAAATGAGATAAAAACGTTACACTGAATTGAATAAAGAAGAAGAAAAGAAGAGGAAACAAAGTTAATGGTGATGGGATTGTGCAACTAACGACCCCATGAATGAGTCATTGTATTGGATGACACGTTAGGTAGTGATGATGAGGATGGGGGGATGACGTTTTCAAGACGAAAATAAAATATAATTAAAGCCACGTTCAATGATAGCATTTTTGAATCAATAAGATAACATAAAAGATTAGCCCATCTGCCACGAATCAGCTCCAACTAATGGGAGAGAGAGAGAATCTGATACGATCGACATTGTTTCTATCGATTTGTTTGCGTTTTATGTACACACACACGTCTTTTATCTAACTCAATAACAGTAGAGTTACAAGCAACACTGCCGCAAACAATGATTGATATGGAAGAGAACAAAAAGAAGCTATGTAAATGCACAAAAGAAAGAAGAAAGGCAAAGCATTGGCTTGCTGACTAAAATAATAGATGGACAATATTGTTACCGAAGCAACACGTCTTCCATTATTCTTCTTGCGAAAGAGAGGGCAAAAAGCAAAAGATGAAGTGGAAAGATTCTCGCAATGGCATGAGTCGTCTTCACTAGAGAGTGAAAGGCTTTGCATAGACATCGAAGGGTTGACAAGCAGTCAGTTGAGGCTCCTGTCAAAACACAGCAGCAAATTACCAATCTGTATCATCAACAACACAGCAGAGAACAAAAAGGATATTTTTACCTGTCTTAATCCCCCGATACCACTTCCCCCTGTCAAAAGCATGCTCAGAACGGTCGTAACAACGCCGCCGCCACCACCACCACCACCACCACCGTCACTCCCTGCATTCCTTATTGTGGTGCGCATCGAATTCAGAAGACTTCCGTAGGTTGTGCCCTGTGCGCTGCGTTCGATGGCTTGAATAAAACAGAAAGTCATAGCCCCTGTGGACGTGATCTTTGACAACGCCTGTATATACATACGTTTCAGTCGAGGGAACGAACAAACTACAGCAGCAAGACCCTATGAGACTCTAGATTCTTCTTCTACTAGACTTACTGATGTGTCGGCGGAAGTCTGATCATCATCACACCCACTGATTGATATGGCTTCTCCGCCAGCTGTTCCTTTCCACAAACCTGACCTTGGCCGATGGTCCTCCCACACATACTGCCCAGCTCTGTTTCATTAACAAATACGTGATAGCAGAGATCTCACAGCAGCAACCCTGTCTATATAACAAAGACAAGTAACCCAACCTGTTCATTCTGCACAAGAATGGTAAATCCAGCACGGTGCCACTGTGGCAAGCGTCGATGATTGAATGGAGCTTGACACCGTGTGGAAGAGGGCGTACAATAGTTGCGTTTATCTCATCATCCACAATCATCCCCTGAGTCTCAAAATCCAGAGGGCAGAGTGTTTCGTCATAGCCATCAACTTCATCACCGTTGTAGTTTCTTTGACGCGAACCGTGACCCGAGTAGTGAAAGACGAGCGAGTCCCCTGCTGTACATCCCTGTACCAGCCAATACAATGCCATCCTCATGTTTTGCTTGCTCGGGATACGATATGGGTCAGTTTCTTCCTCTGCATCAACAATTGAGCACCCAATTTATTTGCAACAACACCAATTCTATCTGGAATGTGCTTTAGCAACATATTCGAAAGCAAACAAACAAATCCGACTTGCCCATTCGAATGCAAAGTATCATCAGGCAAGCAGCAAGAGCTAAATAGAGAAGCAATCATGGGGTTGGGTTATAAATAGAAAGAAATACCGGTGAGCATGAGAATGGAATCTGGGGAGAATTTGAACTTGTTAATGAGAAGGTGCCGCATGCACTTGGCGTCGTTGATGCAGCCTTTGAGCTCGTGCCGAGAAAAACGGTACGAAATACCACAGATCACGGCCCTCTTCCTGCCATGGGGGTGAGGGAGCTGACCCAGAGGCGCGGGGATGTGGGGAGGCTGAGGAGAAGCGGAGGAAGGCGAAGGAGGAGGAGGAGGGGCGGTGCGGGGGTCGGCGATATGAGTAACGGCCTGGCAGAGAGCGCAACGTATAGATCGAGCGCCTGATGGGAGCTGGAGAGGCGTCCGGCAACCGGAGCAATTCACCAGCATCGGAGGAGCGTAGATGCTGGAAGGAGGTGGCGGGAACATTATGCTCTCTCAAGGAATCAGGTGAAGACTGAAGAATCCGATCACGAGAACGCGTGAGGAAAACGAAGAGTCAATTAGAGGAGGCGCACTTAAGGAAGCGTCAATGGCTATTTGGGTTCTGACTATTTGGGTTCTGACTTTCTTTTCTGACAGCTTACCAAACACCACCTTCATTTTAAAGGGCTTCTGAAGCCCATATTACAGTAATAAGCCCAATGTCAAAAACCCAGAACGACAATGGATCACTAAATGATTAGCCCGATAAGCAAAAGATTATCTACCACGAATCAGCTAATGGGAGAGAGAGAGAGAGAGACTCTGATACGATCAAGATTGTTTCTATCGATTTGCTTGCATTTATGTACCAGAAAAACACACAAACACACACACAAGTCTTATCTAACTCAATAACAGTAGATTTACAAACAACACTGGCGCACACTACGATGATTATATGGAAGAAGAAACAAAAAAAAGTAGCATGACTCCAAACTTAATGTACAAAGAATAGGCAAAGCAACTCCGGTTTTTCCCCAGCAGAGGATCGACCAATATGGCAAATCCAAAAGACTTTACCTATACTTATCCCAACATGATTCACCATTCAATATCATTTGGAACATCAGATCGAGACCTGATCCACAGAACCGAGCACTTGAGCCGCTATAATCCAATAATCAATCTAATGGCTTTGACTGGACCGAGCAGAGATAAATCTACTTGTACTTGTCTCTGTACTAGGAGCCACTCGTTTATGTGCCTGCAACAACACAAACAGTGTATTGAATCCACCATAAGAAAAAAAAACAGAGGTTTTGGTCACATGGGCTCACCTCAGAAGACGTAGCCGCGGTTCTTATATCATGCTTGCACACCGGGCAGGATGTACCCCATTTTGTCAACCAAGAGTCGATGCAACTCAAGTGAAAAGCTGCATACGAGAGCTTCACGTCAACCCACTTACAGAAACCAGAAAAGGACAAATCTTTCATCATTCAAGCAACTGGTGTAATACCCAAAAAAGAAGTTCAAAGTTCATTGCTTAACAACTAGTCTAACTGGAAAAATTCGAATTCCTTGAGTACCCCCTAAAGCAGAAAGCATTATCCTCGAAATAAATTGGGAACATAAAAGAGGAAACTCAAAACAAAAATGTTGCCAGAATATATCAGTCATCCAGTTTGCCTCACACAGGACAGGGGAAACAAAAGAAAAGCAGTTATTACCATGTTGGCAGGGGAGAAGTCTCAGGCTTTCTCCAACTCTATAATCCTCGAGGCATATTGCACATGTTTCTCCGGCTTTGTGCAGACCAGAGTCGCGGAAGGTGAAGCAGGTGAGTGTGTGGACCAGCTTTGCATCGACTCTCATGGTGCTGTTGTGCCTCCCTCGCCACTGGGTCCAGTGTCTGGGTGCAAAGAAGGCAAGCAGCAGGAAAGTGATGATTAGAAGGAGAGAGAAGAATGAGATGGCCAGCACAGTCCAAGCACTCCCCTTGCTCGGCGGATAAAGACAGCATTCACCATCTCGGCCTCTCGCGTACTTTCTTAAGATCTCACCCGCAACATTTGAAACGAAAACGGCATCCACTGTAATGTCCTGAGGGTTCACCTTCACTGCGCAAAACAGATGTTCGTTAATGTCCTCCAGCTTAATCCTCCTAAACCGGCGTTGACTAATTATGTGTTTTTTTTTTTTTTGAAGATGAACTCACCCTAGCTCAAGAACAAGATTGCAGTCTATTAAGAGAAGGAGAAATGGAATGTAAACTTGGGAGGGGCTTACTAACGACGAGATCTTCGTTGTCTATGTTGTCGTACACAATCACGGCTTGGAAACCGGAGTTTTGAGCATTGAGGAGCTTATCCTCGAAAGAACATTCGCCTCGGATAATCAAAGCCAACTTAGTTCTCTCTTCTGTCCAGTTAGATGCGGCGGCGTGGAGCAGCGGCGAGCAACCGTCGAGAGGGTCCGCGACGTACAGAGCTCCACATATTCCGTTTCTGGTGACGGAGCCGTCTAGAGTGATAAAAAATAAAACCCACAAGAACGGAAATGGATCAAAATCAACTAGTTTCAGCCATCGGAAGAGAAAGAGGAGAGGAAGAGAAATTGACCAAATTTAGCAGGAAGATCGGCAAAAGAGGCGGGGATAGAATTGAGGACGACGGTGGCAGCGGAAAACTGGAACAGGGAAGAGAGGAAAGGAGCTGCAAGAAGTAGTAGACAGCGTGAGACATCATCTCTCATCTCTCTTTTTCGTTTTCGCTTCCTCGGCCGTAAAGGTCGATTGGCTTTTTCAGTTTCAGGCGGTCGCAAAAAGGGGGCCTTTGTTTTCTTCACCCAAACCTTCTACCCTCCCCAGAGGCTTTAGTTTCCCATTACCCGCTGAAAACCAGCTCCAAGCTGTCTTTGCTTCTGTTTCCAATGTTGACCATTTTGCAATACCAAAAGTTGTACTTCATCAGGTTCTCTAGAATAAATTTATAGATTCTGTATTTAAAATGTATACATTGTAATTAAAAGATTTACGTCATATTCATATCTCATTATATAATAATAATTGTTTATAAATTTGCACCTAACTTTTAAAAACTAATAAATAAATAGCTACATAAAAAAACACCTACTACATGTATCTGCCCATAGCCAGAGTGTTGTGACAAGTAATAGAAAGAAGAAAATAAGCCAAACTTCTATAATTAGAAAACGAACTCACGTACTAAAGAGAGACCATAGGATCTCTAATAAACACTTAGAGACCGTCGAATCTGAGCAAAACCAACCACAAGGATTGGTCTTTAGCTCTTTAGGTTGACCCTCGTTTTTCTCTCCAATTTGTGTTATATACAAGTCGGCTTCACACACACACACACACCTGTAAGAAAGAAGGAATCATCGTCTTGGAGATTGATTCAAAAATGGTGAAACTCAGTTTATCTTTGTTGGTCTGTGTTATGTGGATGTGGCTTGAGAGCGTTGATGGCGGCTACGTGAAGTACGACACGGAAGCAAGAGTTGTGCCAGGGAAACTTAATGTTCATCTGGTTCCGCATTCTCATGACGATGTCGGGTGGTTGAAAACCGTTGATCAGTACTATGTCGGATCAAACAGCACTATCCAGGTATATATATACACACGTAGAGGCGGGCTGTCCTCAATATATGATGAATCGTGGTTAATTATCAACAGAGCGCATGCGTGAGGAACGTGCTGGACTCAGTGGTGGATTCGCTGCGTCGCGATCCCAATAGAAAGTTTGTCTTCGCTGAGATGGTGAAACATTTATGGATTAATTTTACTGTTTTTATTTCTTCTCTTGTGTGATCTCAGTGCTTATATATGTTTATTTTTGGAAAAAAAAAAAAGGCTTTCTTTACGCGTTGGTGGAAAGAACAAAGCCCCGAGACGCAAGAACAAGTGAAGATGCTTGTGAGCTCCGGACAACTAGAGTTTGTGTAAGTTTGTTAACCACCTTTTGATTTGATCATCACTAATTAATGATTTCTGAAAATCATGTGAAAATGGATGGGTGTGCAGAAATGGAGGATGGAGTATGAACGACGAAGCAACGTGCCACTACATAGATATGATAGACCAGACAACGTTAGGGCATGTGTTTATAAAGCAGCAATTCAATACGACTCCTCGTGCTGCCTGGCAAATCGATCCCTTTGGCCATTCCTCTCTGCAGGCATACCTCCTCGGAGCAGAGCTAGGCTTGGATTCTCTGCACTTTGCGAGGATCGATTACCAAGACAGAGAGAAGCGAAAGGACGAGAAATCCCTCGAGTTCATCTGGAGAGGATCCGAGACTTTGGCCTCTTCTTCTCAGATATTCACCAACGTCTTCCCAGTCCACTATGGCCCGCCCACTGGCTTTCACTACGAAGTCGGCGATGATTACGTGCCCCTCCAGGACGACCCTCGTCTCGATGCCTTTAACGTCAAGGAGATCGTTGATCATTTCGTCAATGCTTCTCTCGTTTATGTAAGTTGCACCATATCACCTTTCTCTTGTGTGCACACATGTACTCTTTCTTGAACAACATGAACAAAATGTATAGGGCAATGTGAGTCGAGGGAACCATGTGATGTGGACAATGGGTGATGACTTTCAGTACCAGTTCTCCGAGTCTTGGTTCAGGCAGATGGACCGGCTCATCCATTATGTTAACAAGGTTTCTTCTTTCTTTCCTTTCTCTTCTATCTTTTTACACTCCCTCCATGCATGGATTCTCACAATTTTTTTCAACAGGATGGCCGTGTGAACGCCCTCTACTCCACACCCTCTCTCTATGTTGATGCCAAGAATGATGCCAATCTCTCTTGGCCTCTCAAGACACATGACTTTTTCCCGTCAGTACTCAGTGGCTTCCTTTTAAACTTATCAAACTATAACATTCCCAGTCAACCTAATTGATTTATTTTTTTCTCTCTTTCTAATCAAACTGTTAATATCGTAGCTATGCGGATCGGGAGAGCGCCTACTGGACTGGATACTTCACCAGCCGCCCTGCTTTTAAACGACATGTTCGGTCTCTTAGCGGATACTACTTGGTATCAAACTGTATCCAAGAGTACTTTCATTTCGATTTTCTTTGTGAGATCCAAACACCAACACACAGAGCCTTTGCATTTGTGTGTTTCTTTTTCTTCCCCAACAGGCTGCAAGGCAACTTGAGTTTCTGGTGGGCAAGAAAGCAGGAGGTCCGAACACTTGCAGCCTTGGGGAGGCTTTAGGAACAGCGCAGCACCATGATGCTGTCACTGGAACTGCTAAGCAGCATGTTACTAATGATTACACCAAACGCCTTGCCCTTGCGGCTTCTGAGGTAGTTTCTCTTAAACATGTTACAAAACTCTTTCATTCATTCATCAGCAATTCATTTCCTAGGCAGAAGCTGTGGTGAATTCTGCGCTGGCACGCTTACTGAGCAAGGCAGATAGAGAGCCTGAGATAGCATTCACCCAGGTTTTGGCTTTTTGAAAAATCCAGTTTCATTGTAATGATAGTTTTTCTTTTTCACCCTCAAAACTATTGGATGTGTATCTCTAGTAGTAACCTGGTTTATTATATACCTCTTCATGGAATCAAATGAGCAGTGCTCGTTGATGAATATTAGCTATTGCCCGGCGACTGAAGAAACCATTTCAGGCCACAAGAGCTTGGTAATTCCTTCACATCTCTTAGCAGCCGTTAAGATATATATATATATATATATATATATATATATTTATAGCTCAGATCTCATCTTTAGGCTTTAGCTGTCTCAGTAGTGTTTGGTCACTTAATTCAGATTGTGGTGGCGTATAACTCCCTTGGATGGAATCGTACAGAAATCATCAGGATACCGGTCAGATGATTTAATCTAGTTTACTTGCTGAATGGGTTTCTGTGTGTTGACTTAGTAAGATAGTGAGGGTACGTATGTATACCAGGTCAATGATGCAGGTTTAAGCGTGGAAGATTCATCTGGAAACAGCCTTGATGCTCAATACATCCCCATGGATAATGTCACGAGCATCCTGAGAAGTAACTATACAAAAGCTTATCTGGGAATATCTTCACTGCAGATTCCAAAGTATTGGCTTGTGTTCAAAGCAACAGTGCCGCCACTTGGTTGGAACACATTCTTCATATCTAATGCAAGCGGGGAAGGTATTCACGCCATTACCTCTACAACCTATAATGATAGGCAGTTACACACTCATGATTCTCTGTTTCCCCCTATCATGCATTGATTTATAGGAAGCAACAAACACAGACACTCCCCAGCGATGTTTCGTCCAATGAACGATAATGTGACTGAAATTGGTCCAGGAAATCTAAAAATTGTGATTTCTCCAGACTCTGGTCTTCTCGAACGGATGTACAACTCCAGAACAGGAGTAAGGCTCCGTTTGCTCTCTGCACACTGTTACACAAACACAATGATTTCTAATAATATATTTCAGGCCAACATCGAGGTGCATCAGAACTATTTCTATTATGCTTCAAATGTGGGGGACGCAAAAAGTACCCAGGTTTCCGGTGCATATATCTTCCGGCCTAATGGTTCCTTGGCATATGCTGTTTCGTCGTCGAAAGTGAAGTTGGAGATTGTGCGAGGGCCTCTTGTAGATGAGCTGCACCAGCAGTTTAGTCCTTGGGTGGCACAGGTACTGTATGTGACTTTTTTAGTTAAACTATCTGAGAATCATGAGTTGATACATACATACTCGTGTCATCTATAGGTGATAAGGTTGTACAAAGAAAAAGAGTACGCAGAGTTTGAGTACACTGTGAGTGTTCCCAAAACTCAACTTCATAGTCTTTAACTTCCCCAAAAACAAAAAGATTCATTCTTTTTGTTTAGCAGATTGGTCCAATACCTGTTGGTAAAGATTACATAGGAAAAGAGGTTATTACGCGGATGGTAGCAAATATGAATACAGAGAAGACCTTCTATACTGACTCTAACGGAAGAGACTTTCTGAAACGGGTACCCCACATATATCTATATATTCTGTATGAGACTGTCTTGTCGGCTGGAAATATATATAAGCTTTGTAATGCAGGTCCGGGATAACAGAACAGACTGGCTTCTCCAAGTGAAGGAGCCAATCGCAGGAAACTACTACCCGGTATACTATTGAATCAATAATATTCTCTTCCTTTTTTTTGGGGGATAAGATCAAATGTTTTAACGCATGATTCTGCAGCTAAATCTTGGAATGTACACAAAAGACGAGAAAGTAGAGTTGTCGGTGTTGGTTGATCGGGCAACTGGGGGTGCTAGTATTAAGGACGGTGAAATAGAGTTGATGCTCCACAGGTTCCAAACATTTTGAAATATTTTCAAAACATGAAACATTCTTTTGTGGTTAAATGAAGGAATACATGTGGTAAACAGGCGTACATGCCTGGATGATTCCAGAGGTGTAGAGGAGAGTCTTCAGGAAACTGTGTGTGTCAATGGTACATGCTCAGGATTAAAGGTAATATGGGTAACTGTGAAGTAGAGTGTGAGTGTGTTTTTGTTTGGGGAGAACTCTTGGATCCATACTAGGTCGTGTAAATGCAGGTTCGTGGGAATTACTATGTGAGCATAAACAAGGTAGGAGAAGGAGGCCGGTGGAGGCGGGAGACTGGCCAGGAAATCTACTCTCCTCTTCTAATGGCATTCACACACGACAACAAGGATAAATGGAAAGCCGCTACCTCTGTCCAAGGTTATGCCATGGACCCTCTCTACACCTTCCCTCCAAACGTTGCGCTCATCACTCTTCAGGAAATGGATCTCGGCAACGTCCTTCTCCGCCTGGCTCATCTCTACGAGGTATGCAGTTTGCTTTTCTTGGGAGGGTTATGACAGAGAGAGATGAGACTGTTTTTTGAGTGTTGCTTACAGGCTGGAGAAGACAGTGATCACTCGAAACTCGCTAAAGTTGAGCTGAAGAAGTTGTTTCCGGGAAAGATTGTAAGAGACACTTGCTCATCTATTTACACTACATGTAGGTGGTGATGAATCCCAATTAATGATTTTGGAAAAAATGGTCTTCTTCTCGGTTTATTGCAGATCAAACAAGTGAAGGAAATGAGCTTGACAGCAAATCAAGAGAAGGCTAAGATGAAGGAGAAGATGAGGTGGAAAGTGGAGGGTGAATCCGACGAACAACCTTCTTCTCCTCTGCTTAAAGGCGGACCCCTTGACAGCTTCGCTTTAGTTGTAGAGCTTGGTCCCATGGAGATTCGTACTTTTTTGCTTCAGTTTTCTCAGAAACCTGTAAAACAACAGAGAAGAAGAAAGTTGATTCCGGGGTTATGATTGTGCCAATGTAATCTAAACCTTGTGAAATTTCTTGTATCGAATAGTTGTCATGAATGAATGAAAATCTCGAGTCACATCGTTGATTCTTCATCCACCGTTTTGGGTAAAAGTAACAGATGGCAGTTAGAACGCGCGAAAAAGACTATTCTACTCTTTAATGAGCCTCTTTTGGAAGTTGTGGGCTCATTTTAGGCCCATTAAAGGGAATGAGTGTCTGTCTTGTGTAACTTGAACAAGATCTGAAGCTGGCTTGTCGCTTAAGCTGGATTCGGCTTTTTATTTTCTCCCTGAAAACGAAAGCAACGAGTGAGTGTTGTTATCATCGGAGAGGACAAATCCGCGAAAAAAGACAAGGGCGAGAGAGATGGCAAGATACGATCGAGCAATTACCGTCTTCTCCCCCGACGGCCACCTCTTTCAAGTAGAGTACGCCTTAGAAGCCGTCCGCAAGGGTAACGCCGCCGTCGGAGTCCGCGGCACCGACAGCGTCGTTCTCGCCGTGGAGAAGAAATCTACCCCCAAGCTTCAGGATTCTAGGTTTTTATTTCGATCTCTTCTTATATTAAGTTTTTGGGCCCGATCCCTTCCGAATGTAGCTTCCGCTTTTTTGTTTGTTTTGTTGAGATCGCTTGCTCGATTTATAGGCAGTGGCTACTTGACTTGCTTAAACGATTGCTTAGTTTGGTCTGCGTATGAATTCTTAATTGAGGAAATCGCCTAAGTGATTCATTGAATCGGCAGCTGAAAACCCTAGTTTAGCTTGGACCTCGTCACAATCGCCTGTGGTTGGTTTGTTTCTGACAGGTCAGCGAGGAAGATTGTGAGCCTTGACAATCACATAGCGCTGGCATGCGCGGGGCTCAAGGCAGATGCGCGTGTGTTGATTAACAAAGCAAGGATCGAGTGTCAAAGCCACAGGCTCACACTAGAGGACCCAGTGACCGTTGAGTACATCACGCGGTACATAGCAGCGCTTCAACAGAAGTATACCCAAAGCGGTGGCGTCAGACCCTTCGGTCTCTCTACTCTCATCGTCGGCTTTGACCCTCACACTCGTGTGCCATCCCTTTACCAGACCGATCCATCCGGCACTTTCTCTGCCTGGAAAGCCAACGCAACCGGGAGGAACTCCAACTCCATCAGGGAATTCCTGGAGAAGAATTACAAAGAAACCACTAGCCAAGAAACGGTTAAACTCGCTATCCGTGCTCTGCTTGAGGTCAGCCTCTCGTACCATCTCTCTTGCTCATTAAAAAAAATACACTAGTTGATGTTAGCTGATATCGGCTTTTTTTGCATCACAGGTTGTTGAGAGCGGAGGAAAGAACATTGAGGTTGCTGTAATGACACGGGAGGAAAGTGGGCTGCGCCAGCTAGAAGAAGCTGAAATTGATGCAATTGTGGTCGAGATCGAGGCAGAAAAGGCTGCCGCAGAAGCCGCCAAGAAAGGCCCCCCGAAGGATACTTGATCTCTCTCTGTTGAACAACTTTGGTCTCCCTTCTCAGTTATATCTATCTCCTTTTTGATGTTTGGTACACGAACCTTGAGCTATTTCTGGCTTCTGTTTAGATATCTCAACCGTGATAATTGTCTTCGTTTGCCCTACAACTTTGCTCGAAACCTCTAATTAATTAGATATCTCAGTTTCGGTATTTGATGTTTCATAATTGAACAAATGTTAACTCAAGCCAACTTTTAGGTCAGTGAAGCAACTTGAACTCGCTTGAACTTGATCAAATCAAGTACAAAAAAGGGTTTAGAATTCGCTTAACTTGATCAAATCAAGTATAAAACTCGCTGTGCACACATGTTAGATAGAAAAGTGACCGTCAATTTCCTATTTCGAAGTAAGCAGAGCAATTAGCCTTTTTCCTCTTCTTGAACTATCTATCATACCAGTTTCATTTTGATCAAACATATAAGAAACTGAAGATGGTAAATGTCACCAGTCTTGTATTTCATCATCATCTTCAGAAATTTCATTCTCCGTCTCTTCCTCCATTTCTGCAAACACATCTGGAGATGCCCTGTAGCTTAGCCATTTCAGCGCGGGGCTGTACTCTGTGGCCATCACTGACATATCCGCCACTCTTAACCCCTCAGAGCCTATGTTCCTTTGCTCTCTCAGATTCTTCTGCATTCAGACATCAGATTTGTAAGCATATAGAGAAAGTTTGGACTTCGGACATGTATAAGTAGAGTAAGATATTGACCTTGGTTTGTATTGAGGATTGTTCCACTTGCCAGAGTTTTGGTTTGCGAATCACGTGCCATCTGCATACTCGCGATGGAGAGCAATCGATAATATAAATATCTAACATTAAAAAAATATGATACAATCAACTGGCATCCGTTTGTATAAGAAACCTGGACGACCATGGCTGCTTGTTTCCATACAACACACCACGAACAGCAACCGAGGCACCAGCTGACTGTAGAACGTCCTCTGATTTGTTATGCCCACTTATGTTTCCTCTTAAAGCTGCGAGAAGGAGATCAGCATCCGCCATATACGAAGACATGCACCAGGCATCTTCTATGGCTCCGTCACTCACAAAATCTAGCACTTCATAAACATTATGAGTTCATATTAGCAAGTATTTGAGCTGGAATTGCACACATAGATGTAAGTCTAAGAAAAGCTTTACTGTGTCACTCTATCAAGGAGGAAAATGGCCCATATGCTAAGCAAGTAAGAAAGAGTCGAGACGAGCCAGTAGCTGATACCATTTTCATGTAGAAAATCCACAACCCGCCCTGCTTGTCCATGAGCTTGGCTAAGAACCTTCTCTGGCGCATCCATTTTCAGTGGTAACCTTGCAAACTGGTCATGCACAAGAGAGTCACTGCAATCTGACACATACATACTTAGAAGATAATTATACTGAGCTCTAAATTGCATCATCATTACTTCCGGGTGACGGATTACCTGATACAATAACACTATCAGTCTCTCTTTTGTTGTGGAGAAACTTTCCCAGGGCGTGAAACAAGGAAAGGGTCTCATCTCTACCAAAACAGGAAGATATTCCACTGTCCATTGTCTGCTCATTTCCCTGATAACTGCTATCCACGCCAGGCCATGGTGATTTCATCTTTGTATGATTCAGTTCTGGCTTAGCGGAGAAGAGTTGCAAAGACGTAATAGCATGTCTGATGTCTCCTCCACTGGCACTCGCCATCTGATCAATCTCCACAGTCGTTACCTTACAATGCTCTTCTCTGCTTATTCTTTGAAGTGTCTTCTTAATTGAGTTCTTCGTAATGGGATTAAAAGCGACCTGTGAATACATACCTGGACAATCAACTAGAGTTGAAGAAATCAAATCTATGATAAGATCAAGACTGCAAAACAGTTCGATAAATAAACCTTTAAAGCCCCTGCTCGCTCAAGAGATGACTGAACGTCCTCCATGCTTCGCGCACTCTGGTCAGAAGAGTCTGCTTTAACATAGTCAGTGATTAATACCACTGTTGGCAGCTGCGTTGATCTCACCAAGAGCATCAAGCAGTTTTGCAGCCTTTCAAATGCCTGCCTCCCATTGGCTAGAGGAAGGTCATCAATCAATAGAACAACACGCGGTTTTGTTGCCCCAGTACTCGACGAAGCAATCACCCCGTACTTTCTAGTACTCTCAACAAAGTTTTCAAACTCATCCATCTTCGATGTGTACTTGAGTCCTAGGAGAATTAACCGAAACAGGAAGATAATCACTAGAGCAACTAGTCCTTGTTCTGTAATTGCAGTGCCAAAACTGAGTACATAACAACAACAAAAATTTAGAGTACCTGAACTTGAGTTATGCAAATGTTCTTGCCAGACTGTAGGAATAGGAGCGTTCCACTCATACACCGTGACTCCAAGGGTAGACGCAATCAAATGGATAGTAGCAGATTTTCCGACTCCAGCTTGCCCCGTGACTAGTAGAACATTATTCCTAAAACCATCATGCTGACAAAAGAAAAGCAGCACAGTGAATGCTGCAACTACGCACCAGTATCTCCTCAGAAATAATAAAGCGAAATCAAAGGTAAACCAAAGATTACCTTTGAGAAATCCAAACTTTCTTCAAACCACAGTTTAACTTGTTCGACCTGAAGATTAGATATTAGAAAAAGAGAAACAATATGCGTAGGTGAATTCAAGAAAGAAACACGCAGAAAAAAGAGGAGGCTACCTTCTTTTTGTGAACAGCAAGCTCATCCAAGGTGCGAGGCGTGTATTTGTCAACCCATAAATCCGTATTCTTGTTCCTTTCATAGCCTAAACAAGAGACCAAATAAACGAGGGATGTATTACAAGCACGAGTACAAAGCATCGAAACAGCAGCAAAACTGAAAGCCGTGGACCAAGCAAGCAGGCGATTTCCGCGTACCAGGAGATGCCTTGAACCCGCTCAGTGCTTTGTCGAAATCTTCGAAAGACAATCTGATCTGCAAAAGCAAAACTCGGGACCTTCAAGCCAAAACATAAGCGAATAATACGAAACGTAGACACAAATCTAGGGAGCCAGAGAGAAATCACGCCTTGTCTACGTGACTCGGCTCTTTACTCGCCCGAGCACCCGAAAGTCGAGCTTTCTTCAACGCTCTAGGATTTGTTCTGGTACCACCCGAGGAGGACCTCGATTTCGGCTTCGCATAAGACCGAGATGACCTTAAGGTATACGATTCATCGTCATCTTCCTCTTCCAACGATAACCCAACTATTTGATTTCCTTTCCCCATCGCCGAAACCTTTCAGATACCCCTATCACCTAGGGTTTACGGAAGACGAACGGTTACTTGATTACTCGATTACAGTCTCAGCAACCTTTTCGGGATCTAGATACGCCGAAAGCTTTTTAGCATTCCCGGCGACTCCCGCCGTGTCGTCCGTTAGGTTTTTGTTCTTCAATTTCGCTCCCAGAGCTATTAACACACACACACCGAAAGTTTTCGCGGGTCTGGCAAACGTCACCGTTTTTACGTCATCGGAGGTTGATGGGGTCTTTCTGTGACGTGTCCACATCCAGACCGCCCATTCGAAAATGGCCATTTCAGACCGTCAATAACGCTTTACGATATGATTTGCAGATCCGACGGCTGTGAACTGAGGTGTAGCGTACGCTGCGTGGTGGGGGATTACCCAAAGGCCTGCGGCGAGACTCACCTACCCACCCAAGCCGTCGTCTTCACCAAACCACAGCAATGACCACATCACACAACATGTACGCTGAGTATTGTCTTGTATATTTGTATTTCTTCACCAACCCAAATTCTTCTCTCTCGCCGCCCCCAAACCCCGACTTGTGATCTGCATCGATTTCCATGGCTGCCAACACCATTTCGCTTTCCATCTCCTCTACCTCCAGGAATCTCAGCTCCCTTCAAACCCGTGTCTTGATTCCTCCACGAACCATTTGCTTCCCCTTATCTTCTTCAAAGTCTAAACCTGGTGAATTGTCTTTATCTTCGACCACCATCTCCAAGTCTCGTGTGCGAGCCGGTGCGAGCCAGCTGGTGAACGAACCGCTTAACGAGAATCGCCCCATGACTTCTCCCACAATCGTCGAGGTTGATTTGGGTAGCCGGAGTTATCCGATCTATATCGGCGCCGGGTTGCTCAATCAGTCACAACTTCTTCAAAGGTCTCATCTTTTGTCTCATAATGTATCCGATTTATTTGAGCATAATCCGTGTCAATACCTGTAAAATGTGTGTATTTCATTCAATCTTGTGCGTTTTGAGCTTTACCATCACCACCATCAGTCAAACCGTTTGAATTTTGACATCTTTAGGCGTTACTGTCGATATAGTAACTTGTTGGAGATACATAGTGATCTCTAAGGCCCATGGTCTTGGAGTTTGTTCATATGGAATCTGTTGTTGAATGAATAGGCATGTTCACGGAAAGAGAGTCCTTGTGGTCACCAATGAACGAGTTGCTCCTCTGTACCTGGACAAGACTGTAGATGCTTTGACAAGAGGGAACCCGAACGTGACAGTGGAGAGTGTTATCTTGCCTGATGGAGAGAAATACAAGGACATGGTATCTTTTGTCTTGGATTTTGTTTCTCCAGCTCATGATCATAGTCAAATCAGTAATTCACTGAGACTGCTCATTCTTTCTAGGATACTCTCATGAAAGTCTTTGACAAGGCGATTGAGTCTCGCCTAGATAGACGATGCACATTTGTTGCGCTTGGAGGCGGTGTGATAGGCGATATGTGTGGATATGCTGCTGCTTCTTACCTACGTGGTGTTAATTTCATCCAAATCCCCACCACTGTTATGGCACAGGTACATACACTTGTGTGTAGAAATTTCTTGTCTAAATCCAGAAACACGCCTCTGTTTGTCGTTGCGCTTCATTTCGTTGCCTTGCAGGTTGATTCTTCTGTAGGTGGCAAAACAGGCATAAATCATCGTCTTGGAAAGAATCTGATCGGTGCATTTTACCAACCACAGTGTGTGCTAGTTGACACTGACACGTTGAACACACTGCCAGATAGGGAGATGGCGTCAGGCCTAGCCGAAGTGATCAAGTACGGGCTTATCAGGGATGCAGAGTTCTTTGAATGGCAGGAGAAGAACATTGAGGCGTTGCTGGCAAGGTGATTATTAACATTCCGGGTGTGCACAAACCATAAACATGTAAAAAAGGAGTAACAATTTCCATCGCAGGGATCCGGCTGCATTAGCTTATGCTATAAAGCGATCATGTCAAAACAAGGCGGATGTTGTGTCACAAGATGAGAAAGAAAGCGGCGTGCGAGCAACCCTGAATTTGGGTCATACATTTGGCCATGTAAGTAGTTTGTAATGGCCTATTTTGGACATTTCTTCTTTTCAGGACGCTTGACCTATCATATCTGTATGCAGGCCATAGAAACTGGCTTCGGGTATGGAGAGTGGCTCCATGGAGAAGCTGTTGCAGCTGGCACGGTATCTCCTTCTCCACTCAATCTCTGCCATACGGCTAAAACCCATTTCTCTCTCTAATTCGACATGGCTCTCAGGTAATGGCAGTGGACATGTCGTATCGTCTTGGTTGGATCGACGACTCGATCGTAGAGAGAGTGAACAACATCTTAAAACGAGCGAAATTGCCAACAACACCGCCAGAGAGCATGACAGTGAGCATGTTCAAGTCCATAATGGCGGTGAGTTTGTGGTGTAAATGAAGAGGTTAGGATCCAAAGTGAGAATTGAAATATATATGTGGTTGATAATGCATGCAGGTGGACAAGAAAGTGGCAGACGGACTGCTTAGGCTCATTCTTCTGAAAGGCCCGCTGGGAAACTGCGTTTTCACTGGAGATTATGATCGGGAGGCGTTGGATGCCACGCTCCGTGCTTTCTCCAAATCCTGAGCTGCTTCTATTCTTTTTTTTTTTGGGTGAAGATATGAATATGTATCATGTTGTATACCGAACTTGTAACGAGCTTTTGTGGAATGTGGTAATAATGAGCTTCTTTATATATATATATATATATATGAAAACAAGCCCTGTGTTGGTCAACGTATGCGTTTTTTGTGGTTGATGTAAAGCTAAAACTCGAGAAGAATCAGGAAGCAAAATCAGAGGGAAACGAGGGATGCATTGCTCAGTCGAGAGAGGAATTAAACAACTTGTTTCGCATGCTCTCTCTCTCTCTTTCCAAAGACTCGTTTGTTTTTCTTTTAAGTGTATTTAAATGGAAGCATCCAAGGTAGTACGCAGATGAGAGATCAACATGGTGATGGGAAGCCATGGAGAGAGGGCTGAGTCTGGTTTGCTACTGTCTTGTCGTCCTCTGTTACGCACTGCTTCTGCAGAAGTTCTGCTATACGCTGTTTGGGTGATGGCCTGTCTCATCAGTCTATTCATGGCGTCTCACCTTTCTCTCTTCTTACTCCTGTTACTCCTCCATCCCTTCGCCTCTTTCGTCTTCTGTTTCTCCCTTTTAATTTCAGTTGAATTAAGATGACGCATATACACATTCCGACTGGCTCAGCTCAAAATGTAAATTGTACATACAAACACTGAAACACACACATGAATACATGATGGTCGCGTAATATATTAGCTTGGGAATTGATCACATGATGGTGCAAGCGTTGGGATTGTCATCGCTGAAGGCAGAAGTGTATTTGACCTCGAAGGAACTGGCACGAGCAAGAGGGGCCACAAGAGGGTCAGCGAGTGCATTGCGAACGTAACCAGGAGGGGCTTTCTTGTCGTAGGCGCCAGGTGCGTAAGGGTGTGGCACCACCTCGTAAGGCACGTAAGGCCACAGCTCCGCCTTCTTCCCCGTCCGATGCATCACCCGACGCAGCACCTTGTTTGGTTGGACGAATCCCTCCACAGTGAGTTTGCTCTGTTTAGGATCGACGGTGACGTTGCTGACTCCCTTCATGCCTTCCACCGACTTCCTCACCCGTCTCTCGCACCCTTCGCAGTCCATCTTCACTTTTATCTCCACCCTCTTTTTGTTGTCATCATCACCACATGGTTACATACACAACACATTCTTAATCTACTCTATGAAAAAAGAAAAAGAAAAAACACACCCAAAAAAAGTATGTTAGAGAAAGAAAAGAGTGCCTGGAACTGCTTGAGCTTTTTGTGGCGGCGTTCCCTGTAACAGAGGTCCAGGCAGCCCATCGACGCCGATTTGTTTTGCCTTTGTTTTTTGCTTTTCTTCTTTTTGTAACCTCGAACCGTCTGATCAATGCTAAATCTAGAGGAGGAGGGCAATGGAAAAGCATACATACATAAGTGAGACACGACAAGATGCCCCCACTTTGTACGTGGACGAGTGAGAGGATGGTATGTCACCGCCAGCTGTTTCATTGTAGAGCTTTCTAGTTGGTTCGGATTGTTGTGTGGGGCAAACAAACATTTATCCGCTTTGAGTTACGAAACCCTCTCGCGCAGTTAGCAGGTATCGAATATGTAAGAACTTTGATTTAGTACAAAATGACTCATCGATCAATCCATCAACCAACACCAAAATTATTAAAAAATTTAAACCCAGCGACGATAAAATCTTGAGGTCTCAAGTTTCAACAGTAAGTCTTCTATCCAAAAATGTTCAAAAAGTTGACCAGCATATAATTGTTTTCCTCATGAGACTGAGTACCAATCAGTTCCTATCCCAAAAAGAAAAAACAGAGAGCGAATGAGACGCTTGCAAAGGGAATTAAGCACATGTTTCTTCGTCTCTCTTACTTGCATCTCTCTACGACTCTCCCTCTTTGCTCCTCTCTGATAGAGTCATGCTCTCAAGCTGAGACCCGAGTGAGGCATTGTTGTTACCCACCGCTGCTGGACCGGACCTTGACGCCTCACGAGGCAGTAAATACTTGTCCCAATCTCCTCGCCTCCTTACTGCTTCACCCTACAATCCAATCCACGTTCCACTTTTATCCTATTGTGCTATTCACTTTCATTAATGAGAGACGGGGATGCTCGTGAGTCTTACATACCTTAATTTCCACAACTTGTGAACTTCGCAGGGCCTCCAGTATGGTCTGGATGTTGTTGGTCAGTTCGGCAAGCTGCAAAAACAAGTGCTCTTTTTTACAGTCACCCAGACTCCTTTATAAGACATAGTGGAGTAGAGGATGAGATAGTGTAAACAAAAGCGAACTTACTCTCCTGAAGCCAGCTATAACTCTAACAGGAACCCAACCTTCATCATTCATTTGACACCGCAAGTGTTTATCTTTGCTTAAGTTATCAGCGCTGCGTTATAAAAAGGAAGCAAAGGATAAAGGTAGGAGGCGAAGGGTGGAGCAGAAAGGTAAGTGGAAGGAAAACAAAAGGGTTACCTGAAATAGTATTCAACTTGTGTGAATATCTTATTGTACAAGAGGGCGGCGTCAAAGCTGGGAACAAAGATGGGAAGATGGGGCAAGTGTCCAGACAAAGGCATCGACTCTGGGGGAGGATGAGGGACAAAGACGTGCGGCGGGTAATCTGAAGACGCAGCAAGAATGAGGCGATGGGAAGAATAAATGAGGGAAGAGAGCAGAAGAAGAAAGGTACCTGGGTAGAGCATGGGGCCACCACCATATTGAGGCGCTGCCATGAACTGCGCACTACCGGCAGCAAAAGAAGGTGGTGGCCCCATCAGCAACTGCGGTCTCATCATCCCGAAACCCCTCTGAGGTTGCTGCAAGTGCATGTCTCTCCGGTGAGTTTGGTGCTCCAAGTTGCGCCTGTTTCCGTGGTGGTTAACCCCATCCCCGCGAGGGTAAGAGCTGCCGTTGCGATACCTCTGAGAATTACGGGACTGGCTACTTGTTCCCGCACCCCTTTGGCTCTCATTTTGACCGGAAGACGGTGTGGAGTTATTCCGTCTAAAAGGCTTCCTTTGCCCATTGACATTATGATGGTTTTCAGATGGAGGCTGCTGCTGCTGCTGCTAGTTTAGTATCAAAAGGCAACATGCAAATGAAACCAGAGTGTGGCAATCCCTAATATTGATCGGAAATTAAATAAACAAAATACCTGCGGCAACGGCACAGGTGATCCAGCAGACAAATCACTGGAAGAGGGAGACTTGTTGGAAGAAGCCCTTGCAGATACAGACAACGCAGGCCAGGATTCGGCGCCCATCACCGGGCCGCCCTCGGCGGAGCTGCTAGAGGGCTTGTTCCACGCAGGCTTCCGGTCAGCATTGTCCTTGTCCGGAGGAGGGGACAAGGGATCTTCCTGGGAACCGGAATCGCGACGTGATCGCGACATAGATGAATCAATGGGAGTAAAAAGAAGCCAAAGAGAGGAACACGCCGGAATCAGAGAAGAAGGAGGGAATCGACGACTGTGGGGGAAGAGTTGTGTGTGTGTTTGCCCTCACAATTTTACAAACCCTCCCTTTTTACCAAACTACCCTCCCGCCACCATTCCGTGTCATATTCAGTGTCACCACCCTCTTGAGTGGACCAACCCACACTAAACCCAAACCCTTTAGCTTTTTTTCCGCATTTTTTATTAAGTAGGTGGGGGGGGATAAACTCGTAAGTAAGTTATCTGTGTTTTTATTTTGCTAAATTTTGAGTGATCAATTACATTCAATTACACACAACATGATTGATGATAAATGCAGAAACTGTTTGACACATGCATCTCACACCTCGACACATTTCGACTCACTCTCTCTACAATGTTCCACGGAGAAATGAAAGTAACACACAGGAGACAGACAGAGAGAGAGAGAGAGAGAGAGAGAGAAGCAAATAAAATGAATCACAAGGGCAAGAGGAGGACGGGGCAGGGGATGAACTCTGCAAGCAGATTGGCGTCGATGAACTTGGAGTGGATGGCTTCCATGCTCATCACTACCAGCTCCATCTTCAGCTCATCTGCCACCTCTCCTATTACTGCCGTCGCCTTCTTCCCTTCCCCAAGCCTCTCCAGCAGCTTGAACTCCGAGAACCCACCTGCCCCACCCGCAAGACAAGTTAACACATCCTCCAAGACCACAAGACAACTAGACAAGGCGTTGACTTATTTACCTTCGGATAGATGCCACCGGATGTTGGATACTTGAGTCTCATGCTCCGATGACGATTCTCTCTTTTCCTCGTCTATGACTGAAGCAACGGTATCGTAAACTCATCAACTGTATGTATCAAATGGGATGCGGCAACACTGACTTACCTACAACTGTGATATCAGCTCCGTACTTGTTTGCCAAACTAGTTGTTGTAGCAGCAGCCTATCACAATACCAATTAGCTGTCTCTATGTCTCAACAATGATACACAGCTTGTGCACAAATCTAACCTGTCTGGTGCCTTCGGACAGATAAGGATTCCGATCAATCACAGGCAGGAGGAGATGCTTCAGATTACTAAATCCAAACGTATCCCCCACTGGACTTGCTTCTGCTTCTTTCGACTGCGCCTTTGCTGCCCCTAACACATATATCAAACCGGAAACGCCACTCATATCCTTATCAAACAACAACCCTGATTCAATAAGTCGCGATTTCCACTCTTCTAATATTCATTCTATGTTACTGAATAGTAAATTTTTTTAAAAAAAGGAAGGAAACAAGAGGTACCTCTGAGCGCGACCCTGCGATGGTTAGGGAAGACAGAGAGCTCACGGGGTTTAAATCGAAGAGAAGAAAGGGAGTGGAACGAAGAAGAAGAAGAGGAAGGAAGTGTTGTTCCTTGCTTGGAGGCCGTAAAGAGAACGGAAACGGCCGCGAGGGAGTGAGCAGATGCCATTGAAACGCGACAGAGAAATGGACGATTCGAGAGAGAGAGAAGAACACTAGTCCTTTTGTTTTTTAATTTCCTTTGATTTCCATTTCCTGCGGCGAGGTCTTTCTTCTCTCGTCCCGTTGTTTCGTCTGTTTTAGATTTCTTTTCGTATAAGGCCGAATTTTATAAACGGGCCATGTAAGTGAGAAATATAATTAGTAAGGGCCCAAGTGGGGATGGTTATTCACTTATTTGGTCAAAGCCCGAAATAACAATGAGAAGAACTATGAAAGCCCGAAAGGGGCGTATACACGTGCACACGTATGTATGGCTTCTTGTCCTTTTTTTTTATTTAGGTACGAAAATAGGAAGAGAAAGTAGTCGGAGGGTTCGGTATGGAAATGTAAAAAGGATAAAAGGCCAAAAAAGGATAAAGAGAAGAAACTGTGAATTGGGAGAGAAGGCAATTCCATGATTTTAAACTGAAGCTACTGACCTGTTGGATCTCATCCCATCATTTTTTCCCCCCGGGCTTATGCCAGTGTAAAGTGTATTATTACAGTATCCATCTTCGTCGTTCTTACTAATAGCTAATAGTTAAGCAAAGATTGAGTAACATAAATAATCAGGATCTCCAAGAGATGAGTCAAGTGACAATGATTGATACAGCAACATATGTAACGTGTAACCTAAAATAATCAAGGAACACTATTGTATATATATTTATATATGTAGTGTGTGTGTGTGTGTATGGGCCTATATACCTCATTTACAAAGAAGATCAGAAAAAGAGAGAGAGAGAGGCTCAATTCAAAGATGTCTTCTGCACAAGGGACAAGAAGCATGCCTGCGAAGCCACTTGTCGATGCACGGAAGGTGGAACATATGATGGCACTGCGGCAAACTTCTAACTGTCTCTCCCACCTGAAAGTCCTGTATTGTCACCACAACTCATTTAATTACCTTTCAACTACTTTAACACATCCACAACACCTAAACCTTCCAACATATATTATGTAATCCCATTTTTTCTATCAGTTCCTATTTCTCTAAAGCTGAGCATAAAGGCAAACGAGAGAAACCTGAAGGCAGACAGAGCAAGAGACAAGCTCCCCTGAGGAGTCTGTGATTCGGACCTTCGGGATCCTGTCCAGAGAATCCCCTGAGAGACCCTTTGAGATGGCAGTGTCGAAGATGTCAGGTTGATCTTGGAACTGTGACTCCACAGCTCCCATCTGTTATAACGAATTGAGTGATGAGAATTATATATAAACATGAGGTGAATGATGATGATCCGTTTCTTTATACCTGGCTCTGGACCGCACTCAGCATTGCAGGGCCCATACGCTCACGAACAAGCCTCCCGCTCAAAAGGCTAGCAATCACATCAATCTATTGGATAATAAAGCAGTCAAGAATCAAGAAGATTGGGCATGCAAGCAATAGAAAAATGATAAAAGTAAATTACCAAGTAGAGAAGGCATCCGATTCCAGACTCATCGGATTGCCAGAGGAGGAGGGAAGATTCAAAGACTTCGATGGAGAAGACAGCTCCTGAAATAGCTCCAACGGCGGCTCCTCTGATGAAACCGCTCTCTGTTTCTTGCCCGATCAAAGCCCCTGTCAACGCTCCTAGCAATGTCCCCACTGAAACAACAAAAGTTACAGTTTTCCTCCTCCAACAACAACATCACATCCTAATCCTATCTATCTATGTCTATGATCATTGTTTTGTTAATAATACAAAACGTTCCTTTCGTCGCCTCTAGGCTCTAACCAATCACAGAATAAAAGGAAAGGAAGACGAACCTAAAGCAAAGAGGAAGGTGCAGAGGGCGGAGAAGAGGTTGGCGAGGAGGGCAGAAATGGCGAAATGGAAGGAATCTTTGATCCGATGGATGAGGGAGATTGGAGAGAGAGGGTAAGAAGAATCCATTACCTTTCTGACTCCTGGGAAAAACAAAAGACGCCAAGGGAGAGAGAGATGATGATCGAGGAGGGAATGAATTTTGGGATCGTCTGAATAAAAAAACAATGAAATGAAACCCAAAAATAACCTTTTTTTTCCTTTATAAATTTACAGAGAAGAGATTAGAGAGAGGAACTTTCTCTCCGCTGACCAAATTTTTTTCTTTATCCATTTATCAATGACGCGTTGCGTTTTAATCAAATCAAATGTTGTCAAAACAAAAAGAAATATCTAATCGTAAAGAGCGGATTGAATTTTAAAAGAGGAGTTGTTCAGACTTGACTTTAAGGGCGCGCTCAAAAACAAAAGTATCTCAAGGAAGGAGGGAAGGTGACAAAGATGGGCCCCACTTCACTTCTTCCTTTGCTTCCTAATCAATCAAATCAAAAAGAGAAAGAGAGATAATCATCATCCCCTTTACTTCTCCTTAGCGTTTAAACATACTGTATTATACTACTTGTGAAACAGAAACACCACCCATATACTTGATCAATCAAATGCCATTTATTTGTCTCAATGCATAAAACATTATATCAAAAACGAACCCAAGCCATATGTATCCTCTTCATCCGAGCTTCTACTACTAAGTGTAGTGTATCCCTTCTTCTCTAGTCTTGCCGATTTGGCACCCACCCTGCCCTCAGAACTTGTGACACTCTCTCTGAGGCTCAGCTTTTAGCTTTCAGGCGAACCCCGCTCCCCTGTAGGATGATCACACCATCACAACTTGAATACTCTTCTTCTTTCGTTACATTCTACTTTTCCCATCCATTTACCCAAAAAAAACAAAAGTTCACCAGCTAGCTACTCTGACTCATTCCATGCGTCTTCTACTGGAACTAAAACTTACCTCAATGATGATTGCTCAAGCCTTGTACTCGTGTACACGCAGCCACTTTGTGGACGACCACTTGTTCCCTTTGATAACAGCACACCCACCTGCCCAATTGTACCAAATAACTTGTATCCATAGACAAAAACATCCATCTCAATCATCAATTTACACTCACCATGAAGACTAGATGGGTCTAGAGTCGCATCAGGCGTCATGCTCCAGAAAAGCAATGCATCTCCCATCTTTGGTTTCACGGACAGCCCTCCTTTCCCGCACTCTGACAATTCATTCCACCATGGCACTGCGCTATAGTTTCCCTTGGCTGCAGGAAACACCGTTTCGCCCCCTTCCTCAACATCTGATCTGCACAGAGGAGCGTTAAAAGGACGAAGATAGCCAAAGCTTAAGGCAGCCCAAAGTTTATCAGCTACGTACAGGTACATGAGAACTGTGGCTATCCGCTGGCCCCCATTCTTAGTGTTATACTCATCCATGAAGTAGTCATAATGAGGCTCGTATTTCTGCCCTATTTCGTAGTGCAGAACTTGAAGTCCTTCCCCATGCGCTGCATATTGTAGTTGTCAATCACATTGATATGCCCGAAATGGAGATGTTGTCTTGCAACAGCAAACAGAGGAGGAAACCACATACCAACTGGTATAAATGTAAAGTCGGATATCCTCTTCTCAATTTCACGGATAGTTTTGTCGCGTCCTCTGGCAAGGAATGTACCTGAGCTGGTTCGAACCCTGTTGAGGAGAGGGATGGGGATGGTCAGTAAAGGAGATGAAATCACACTTAAGGTTGCATCGGGTAACAAGTACGAAACCTGCTATCTGTGCTCTTCCCGGTCTTCTCATCGACAACTGTTGACTTCGCCATATGAGGCTTAGCTAGCTCTATCAGATACTTGCATTCCTCCTTGGTCTATTCAGAAACCGAGAACGAATACACATTCAGTCACCAAGAGCAAATCATCACTAATAATTTCCCTAATTTCCTTTGTCATCTTCTTACTAATTCTGTTTCCGAATCAACATATGGGAGCTATATTCTTAAACAGGTTCTGTGTATCGATAGACGATAGGCTCTCACCAAGAAATTGTGGTAAACAGAAGCTCTTGGCTCCCAGGAGATGATTTCAACCCAACGCTCCTTCTCTGAGTCATCCTCGCCACTTCTGCGGAAAATGTAAAGCCAACTCCGATGAAGCTCCTACAAATGATAGATCATACGCCCGATCTTAATTAAATCGGGATGCGTGTTCGTACCTCTGAAGTGTTTTTCTGACAATGGAGCTGAGATCATTGGCCTTGGAGGAACCGGCATTGTTGCTGGGCAGCGAGAGAATCCCAAGCGCGAGAAGAAACAAAATCACGAAAGTGAACATAATCAATACCGCGAAGACGAGCGTTGAATAAGAGGATTTCCGAGATGAAGGGCGATGATTCCTCGGCCGCGCCATCATATTTGCAACGGATTTCAAACCTCTCAAGGATCGATCACCCAGATCCGGCCGAGATTCGAAAGAAGCAGCAAGCAAGATTCGTTTTTCGTTTTTTCCACTTTATTTTTTTTAAATAAATTTTGTTTATAGGGCCAGTTTTGAGTGAGGCCCATTAGATGGCCCGTTTACATCGGCCTGTTTTGTCCAATACATTCGACCGGCAGAAAGAAGAAGGGAGAACCGTCGTGCCCAAAGAGATTCCGATAAGAGCGAGAGAATGCAGCTCGCCACACCACACAACATCTCCCTAGTCCTGCCCTTTCCCTCTCGCCTTCCTCCTTCTCTTCACTCCCTGATTTTCCCCAAACGATTACGCTCTCTTTCATATTCTTCTCAGACGTCGCTTCTCCCGGATGCCGGAGATGATTTCATCGTCGGCGACTGTCTCGTCTACGAGGACGGCATCTTCGAAGACCCTTACCTTGAAGAGCAGGTCAGTCTCGTTGCTCGTGACGCGATCCAGGTGCGGCGGGGCAGGGCCAAGAGAATAGTTGAATCCGAGATTGAGACAGAGAACCTGGTGCCGGATGAATGGAGGGATATTCAGGCGGAGGTGAACCTGACGAAGAAGGACAAGCGGAAGATAGCGCAGGAGCTGGAGTTCGGGGTTCGGGTGGAGAAGAAGAGACAAGGTCTAATTCCTCTGAGGAGCGTCGACTTGAAGGAGTATCTGACGTACAAGGAAGCCAAGTTGCAGAAACTGAAACCTGTGATTCTCGATAAACCGAGCAATTTCTCCGAAGATGGAGGTGGGGAGACCGGTGTAGCATCTTCGAGCGAGCGAGTAGCTCCGAAGAACCCTAGATGGGCAGTCTACGGCAAGGGATTCGACCACGTTACCAAGTTCTTCAATAGCGACAAGTACGATCCCAGTGGGAAGAAAACGGAGGGTAGGTTCATCACCTTTGATGCATCATCGTCTTGTCTTTTGCAAACGCATATTTGGCTCATCTCTTTCGCGCAGGCCCTCGGAAACTGCTTTCAAAAGAAGAGAAATTTATGCTCAATAGCCGAATTCCCAACCTAGCAGTTGCCACCTCCGTAAGCCCCCTTGGTGTTGCTCTTTCTCCCCAAATTCTGTATTTCCTTTTTTCGGAATTCTGATGTATTTTTTTTTTTAATCAGAAAAAGTGGCTTCCTCTCCACACACTGGCAGCAACGGGGGAGTTTTATCTGCTTGACTCCTTGCTGAAGCACAACCTTGACATCAATGCAACCGACGTGGTACGTGGAGTTATTTGAATCCGTTGCTTTTGTGCACACTTGTTTTATTATGTGTGCGCGTATATCTACTGTGTTGCTTTCAAGCGGTTTCTAGGGCGGCATGACAGCACTTCACCGAGCCATAATTGGTAAAAAGCAGGCTATTACAAACTACCTGCTGAGGGAATCGGCAAACCCGTTTGTTCTTGATGATGTAAGTAAAGATTCGATGATCTCCCCTTTGCTTGCTTCAGATGCTGGATCTGATCCATTTGGTTTGTGATAGGAAGGTGCAACCTTGATGCACTATGCTGTGCAAACAGCATCAGCTCCCACGATAAAACTTCTCCTGCTGTACAACGCTGATTTAAACGCTCAAGACAGGGTATGATGTCAAACATTCTTCTCATATTGCTCTGATGATCAGCTGCTTGACAGTTTGGCATAATGGGTGTTCAGGATGGCTGGACGCCCCTGCACGTTGCAGTACAGGCCAGAAGAAGCGACATTGTGAAACTTCTTTTGATAAAAGGGGCGGACATACAAGTGAAGAACAAGGCTTGTTCCCTCATCTTCCCCTGAATCTCATTCATATCTGCTCCTTCCTTAAAACCTCTACTGATTCTGGTTCTGACGATGCCATTTTTGACTATCCCAGGATGGGCTAACCCCGCTCGGCCTTTGCCTCTACCTTGGAAGAGAGACAAGGACGTATGAGGTGATGAAGATGCTCAAAGAGTTTCCCCGTAGCAGATGAAGCTATGTTCGGTCGGATCCTAGTCTGGAATGGGGAGTGACAAGAATGAGAAAAGAAATGGCACGGGAACCTCCGATTCGGACTGCTCCACTCTCTTCTCCTCACTTCATTAGAATCGGTTTGTTGTCAATCTTATCCATTCGGTTTTGGGTATGGAGTATACTTGAAGTTAATATCTGAAAATATACATACATTTAAAAAAACGGTAATCTCCTCTCGTTTGTAAAATAAGTTTTTGTAGACTTGTCTGACAGTTGTTAGTTCATGTAATGGTGGAACTTGAAGTTGAAGGACAGTAAACAAAACAGTAATGTATTAAGCTGGAATTTGTATTAGTGGCGTGTTCAGACTTTAAAAAAAAAAATCCAAATGAAAGACTATTGAATGAGAAGATGTCAAACCTTTTAGACTTTCAGATATTTATGGAACGCGACGCTCCGCTGGACCACAACTCCTCATTTGGTCGGTGTTTCCTGTTTCCCCATTTTTGTTTTCGTTTTTGCGATTTCCCCCACTTTTGTTGATTCCGGCACCAAAACTTGTGACCAAAATCTTATGCTAATAAAATCACCGAAAACACAGTTTAAAAAGATGGACAATGTTTTACATGCTTTTTTTAAGAGTTTAAGTATTACATACTACTGTTAATGCCTGATTATTTTAGGCACATCGACACCATATGATCTCTTAATTAATCATGTGTTCCTTATCCGCAGGGCATTGCTCTATTATTCAACTTTCCACGTCATCATTGTAACAAAAAAAAGAAGGCCCACGTGTTGTAATTAATAAATTTGAGCCAAAGTTAAAAGAGTAATTAAACGAGTTTGATTAATAAAAGCATCATAACCTTATCTCCTTCACATCAGAGACAGAGATGATGTAAATAAAATAGCTAATATTATCACGTCTTCTCTCCATCATTCTTTCCCATTCTACTTTTGTGCTCTGCTTCACTTTTTCTTCCGCCATCTCTCTCAATCTCTCTCTCCACAACCACCACCATGCCCGGAGTTGCCTTCCCTTCTGTTCCTGCCTCCGATCTTGGAATCTTCTTCTCCGACTCCACGGCCTTCTCCCGTTCTATCTCCGCCTCGGTCTCATCTTCCAATTCGCCATCTCCCTCCTCCTTCCGCTGTTGTAACCCATTGAATCTCAGATCGCTACGCTCTCATCGTCCCCCTAAGCTTTCTCCTATTTGTTGCGATTCTACACACGGAAGCTCAACCTCCCGATCCGGCCTCGGCGATTCCGATCTCGAGTTTCTCCAAGCCTCTGTCCTCGTTGCAGGTCCCAATGTGACTTAAATTTTAATATCTCTGAACTCCGAGTGCGATCTTCTCTCTTTTAGGGTTACCTTTATGAGTTGGGTGATTTCATTTTTCCCCTTTGCCTTTTATCTCTTTAATACGAACAGAGACAAGTATGCATTACAAAATGAGGAGACATGGGTTCCGGGAAGATTCCATGTGGAAAGCTACTAGGCAGCTACCGCCATTTGCGGTAAGAGCCAGCGAGTCCAGGGTTGGTGTTTTCCCAATTGGACTTGGCTTCCTCCGTCAATTCAAGCACCCGACCATTTTTCTCAAGATCTCTTGTGATGGTGACTACTTGCTTCCCGTTATTGCTGGTATGTACATGATGGGGATTCATCCTACAGATTGCTCGCTCCTTGTTATTTTCCGCTGCTAACTTTCCTCACTTACACTTGCAGGGGATGCTGCGGTTGAGAAACTATTGGATTTACCACTGGAAGGCGACAATGAGGTATCTATCAATTCTTGTTTTCGATGTTTGCAGTTTCAATTCCACAACTCAGTTAATTTTCGTTTTCTTTCTATGTTTGTAGGGATGCCCTGATCAGTTCCAGTTTGTGTCTGCTGTTGTCGACAAACTTGGACATGAAGTACATACCTGTTACCTCTTCTATGTATAACCTTGACTTAGAGGACTTAGAGTGCTGGTTGCCACTCAGTTACCAATTTGTACCGTTTTATTTGACAGGTTAAAATGGTGAAGCTTACAAGTAGAGTTTTCAACACTTACTATGCAAGTCTATATCTAGGCAAGGTAACTCAAAAGGCTACAAAACATCCTTCTTAGTTTAGGAAACGGTTTGTCAAAAGTCTTTATGCCTTAATTAGGTTAACCGTCTGCTCTGCAGCCAGGAGACGATGATGTTATATGCATTGATTCTCGGCCATCAGATGCCATCAACGTTGCAAGAGCATGCCAGGTACGCTTTCATCTGTTTACTCTCTCCAAACTTACTGATTCTCTTTTCCTCAAGCATGCGCTTGAATTCTGCAAATAACCTTCTTTTGTATCTCATATCACAGGCTCCAATATATGTGAATAAAACAATAGTCCTGGAAGATGCTATCAGGATTGGTTATGGAGGCAGACCGCAGAGCACAAAGCCCATTTTCAATGTTATCCTTGACAGGTTTTTAGTTTTGTTGATGGATTACTCCTGTGTGTGACTCTGTCGCAGTTGCTAACCACTTGGTGGCTCTTCTTGTTCAGCGCTCCAGAGGGACTAGATCCTATATCGGAGGAGCTTAAACTAGTGAGAAATATGGATTTGGCGTCTAAAGAGGAAAGGTACATCGATGCAGGTATACAGACTTTTCTGGGTCCCATCTATGTTCATCGTGCTATGCAATTTCCTTACTTTTTCCCCTGTGTTGCAGCGATGTGGAGGGACAGATTAAAGGAGCTTCAGAACTCGAGGTGAGTAGATAATGGTTGGGGACATATGAACTCCCAGTTGAGAGGCATTAATGATAGCTGACATTTGATAATATAGTTGTTTTGGTTGCAGCTCAGTTGTATATGAGGGTCCTGAGAGCTACGACTAGAGAGAGAATAGGAGGTACAAAAGGAAATAGATGTAGATAAGACTGGGTCAAAAGAATGCAAGTGTGATGGAGAGAGAAGAACTATAAGATGCGCTTAGATTGATGGTATCGAGTAAGGTTGTTGATTGATGGTAACGAGTAAGGTTGTTGATTGATGGTAACGAGTAAGGTTGTATCTCCTCATGTATTGAGAATGTATTGAAAGGAAGCTAAAAGTGAACGACAGATAAAACGAGGGAATGCGTTTTAACACAAACAAAAAATGTAAATGGAAGAAGACTAAAGACAATGCATTCTCTCTCTCTCTCTCTCTCTCTCTCTCTCTCTCTCTCTCTCTCTCTCTCTCTCTCCTTTGAATGAATGAATTGGCAATAGAATGATTTAGGAGAAACTGAGTGCAGAAGCAGACAAAACGAAAGAGAGGCGGTTACAGAGGGAAAGAAGAGAGGTGGGTGATTAATGTCTCTTTTTTGCTATTTTAAGTTATGGAAGACAAAACAGTAACAGTGATAAGAAGTGTGATTTCCTGAAACTATGGTTACACAAAGGAAGGACTCTATAGTGACAGTGAGATTCATTAAATGAAAGGAACGAATGAGGTGGCCCCAGCTTTGCTGCATTGAGAGTAGTATAGTCACTAAATGCTCCACAGAATTGCCGTTGCACACATTCACTCCCGATTCTTCTTCTTAGTCCCCTACAGACATTCTCACTTGTTCCATTCTTGTTTCTTCCTTTTACAAAACAGATAGATTCGTTCTCTGTCCCGAGAGAGTCCCTCTGATATTGGCCTGGCTCACTCAGATCCTCTTTGCTAACTCATCTGATTGAGCCGTGTCAATATCTCAGGCCTCTCTCGTCGCTGCTTAGTCACACCACTTGTACAAATATTGCATGTTTCTCTGTATCAAATCAATCAGGATTTGGCGTGTGAATATAACTCAATTTTGCGTTGTGCTGCATCTAACTCAACAGCGTGATCGGATGCTCTTTTGCAATTTCTTATTTGAAACCAAGGGCGACATATATATATATATATATATATATATATATATATAAAGAGCGATAGACATATATGAGAACATTAAAGTATCAATACAACACTCCACTGTCAAATACTCGAAGGAGAAGAAGGGTAAGTTTTACATCCGGAAGCACTCTCCTGATGTATGCATTCATTTATTATGAGAGTAGAAGAAGATAAAAGTAGAGATCATATATGAAAGAAGATAGTTGATGAGTCATCAGTCCTGCGTAGGAAGCCCAATCTGGGTCCAGGCAGAATAACCGCCGGCGATATCTGCGACTCCCGTGAAACCCTGCAAATTCCGAAATGGTATCATCAACAAATCACAAATGAGTTGAGTTTGTTTTGGGAGCTTACTGCATCAAGAAGCTCAGCGGTGGCTTGGAAAGATCTTCCCCCGCTCTGGCACCCAACAATGATCTGGTCGGAATGTCCGAAATGGGAGGAGACTTGCTCCAAGAAGCTGGGGTTCTTTGACATCCCTGCTTCACACACAGTCGTAGCTTAGGCATGCCAGCCAACAAATGAACAAAACTGTAGCAATCAACAAGACTAGTTACCTGAATCTCCTCGCTTCATGTAAGGAACGTTGATCGCCCCACAGGCATGTCCCTGGCTGAACTCTTCTGGAGTCCTACAAATCATACCCAATACTCTGCTAATGTGTCTCTGTCGGTGAAAATCATAAAGTGATAAAGGTACGCGTACCTGACGTCCAGATAGCGGTGGCCGGCTACAAGAAGTTCGTGGGCGACTCTGACCGACACCGATGATGGGACTCTCCCCTCCGCCATATTACTTGACCTTGGATGATTCTGATTTCTTCTTGCTGATTTCCCCATTCATCTTCATCCTCGTGTTGGGAAAGGCGATTCCCATGGTCAACGCACGTGGTCATACTTGGGCCTTGTTCTACATACAATTAATGCTGAATGGACCCTTATATTTCAGCCCATCAATTCAAATCCGCCTGAAATTGACACGACATCGTTTAAGCTCCAAAGTAACCTCGTTGGGTTTACTTGTTGCATTTCCAAAAGTTTAAAGGTTTTTATATTCAATACTTGTAAACTTGAGGGTTCTGAATGCATTTTCCCCCTTCCTCTGATCAACGATTACCGTCACTGGTCGACGGGACGGAGACGACGACGTTTCAGTTTTCACCTTGGTTGGGTGGGGGCGAGATCCAAATTCGATTCCTTCCTGCGACCTCACTCACTCGCTCTCAGCTTCCTCTTCCTTCGCTGCTCCGATCCCGTAAGCTTCTTCTCCGATTACCCATCAGATCGATTCTTTTGAGATTGCTGTTGTTTCAATTCGCATGGCGATTTTCTCCAATAAAACATGTTTTCTACTCTTACCAGCTCTTGAAATCTTGAGCTGCTTTTAAAGCGGGCTCATCCCACTTGCCAAGATGTCCCAAGACAAGGGACCTGACGTGGTTGCTGAAGAGCAAGGAAAGGAGAATCTGACAGAAAATGGACCGCCTGGTGGTGGGAATCATGATGAGCTGCTGCAAATGATTGCTGAGCTGAGAATAGAAAATGACTTTCTCAGATCCCAGTTTAAGGATCAAGTGGAAGGGGACAGAGCTGTCTCACAACCTCAAGTGGATGAGCTTCAAGGACGGCTCGCATCATTGAGTAGAGAAGTTGATGTAGAAAAACAAACTCGAGTTGCAGCTGAGCAAGCTCTGGAGCATCTAAGGGAAGCATACTCTGAGGCAGATGCAAAAGCCCAAGAATACTCCTCCAAGTTTTCCCAAGGTCAGGCATATTATCTCTCTGCTCATAGACCCAACGGAGGCGTGTTTTCTCAACTTTTGTCATGGTGTAGTTCAACAGAAACTAGAGCAGGAAATCAAAGAGCGCGAAGAGAAATATGCCGACCTGGACGCCAAATTCACCAGGCTCCACAAAAGGGCTAAACAGCGCATTCAAGAAATCCAAAAGGTGAATAATCTCCATCTCTGGGCTGTTTCTCTTGGAGTTCCCAATACCACTTTTTCACAGTCTCGCTGCTTCGTGCACAGTCTAAAACCACTTTTACCCTATATGTTACCATCTTCAGGAAAAAGATGACCTCGACGCTCGTTTCCGGGAAGTGAGTGATTCAGCTGAACGAGCATCTTCTCAGCACTCATCCATGCAGCAAGAGCTGGAACGCACTAGGCAACAGGCGAATGAAGCACTGAAAGCAATGGATGCAGAGAGGCAACAACTAAGGAGTGCCAATAACAAGTAAATAACATGATGATTCAGTCTTTTAAATCCCCTTCTGCTCATCTTTCCCACATTCCCCACTTGAGTTTTCTCTTATTTTCCCATACACAGGCTCAGAGATACCATCGAGGAACTTCGTGGCTCGTTGCAGCCTAAAGAAAATAAGATTGAGACATTGCAACAGTCACTTCTTGATAAAGACCAGGTCTCATCTATTTCGTTTCATGTAATATTAGTCTGAGATATATAGAAAGGCAGAGCGAGAGCGGGATGGATGGCGGTTTACACTCTTGTCTGAATGCTTACTTGTGCTTATATCCTAGGTGCTGGAGGACCTGAAAAAGCAATTACAAGCTGTAGAAGAGAGAAAGCAAACTGCAGTTGCTGACCTGTCAGCCAAACATCAAAAGGTAGCCACCATCAGCCTAACTGTGTTACTTCTTATATGCTGTGAGACACCATTGCCCGGTAATGATATCCATGGTCTGCTCTTTTTCTCCACCTTCTTGACAGAACTTAGAGAGTTTGGAAGCACAGGTCATAGATGCTCTATCTGAGAGGGACAAAGCAGCCCAAAACATTTCGGCGCTGCAGGTTAGTCCTGTTTCTAAACTCTTTACATGCTGTGATTGGATTTTCAATGAGCAAGAGAGAATAGTTTGAAATTTTTGATTAATTCTTTACACCAGGTATTTCCATTTTACACCTCTTTTAGGTACAACTTGCAGAGAAGGAATCTAAAATTGCAGAGATGGAGGCAGCTGCAACTGGCGAAGCCGCAAGGCTAAGGGCTGCTGCAGAAACTCTTAAAGGAGAGCTTTCACACCTTAAAGCGGAGAATGTAAGTAGAATTCTTACAAGATGACTTTCAGACATCATGGTTGGAGTTTCAGTTTCTTTGGCCATATAAATTTTTATAATGTCTTTTTGATATAATTTTGGGAGGCTTTGTAATTTTTTGTTCCTCCAGGAAAAGGAAAAGGAGACTTGGGAAGCCTCATGCGATGCCCTTAAATCTAAACTGGAAATCGCTGAAAGCAACTACTTACGTGCCGAAATGGAAGTGGCTAAAATGAGAAGTAATTTACGGATTTCATTAAACTTTGAAACCTTAAGTCTAGTTATGTTTACTTTTTCCATTGAAATATTTACGTTTTATCCATATAAATTGTCAGGCCAGCTGGGATCTGAAATGTCCATGCAGACCCAGATACTAAGCACAAAAGATGCTGAACTCAAAAGTGCAAGAGAAGAGGTGCATAGTTTTCTCTTGGTTCTTTTGAGAGATATTGTAGCTTGGTTGGGTAAAAAAGGATGTATTACTCATTCATTTTAATCGCATAGCATGAACTATCACGGAATCAAAGAGCCATTTTGAGCTTCAAGGATTGTTTTGCTGAAGCTTGTCTTCACCTTAACCATATTAAGTTTCTCGTAACTGTTCACAGATCAACAGTCTCCAAAGTGAATTTTCTTCTTACAAGATCCGTGCTCACGCGCTTCTACAAAAGAAGGATATGGAGCTGGCTGCAGCTAAAGACTCTGAACAGATCAGGTCTCTTGAGGAAGCTCTAAAGGTAAGTTATCTAGAATTTTAAGACGGATGTAATTAGATGCTTATCAACGGGCTTGCAAACTAATTATCTCTTTGGTTGGTGTTAGGAAGCTGAAAAAGAAGTATATTTGGTATCTGCAGAGAGGGATAGAGCACGGCAAGATCTTCAGGGTGCTTTGGCTAGCCTTGAGAACGAAGTTGAGGAGAGGTATATATTCACAGTGAGAACTTTTTCAAGTTTGATTTCGGAGTTTGGATGCTCATTCCCCTTGGTTTTCCCGAGATAACAACTAAGAGAGATTGTTTTCAGGGGGTCTCAGACATATATATAGGTCGTCTGAGCTATTTATCTATTTATTTCAATCCATTTCAGAGCTGGAGCACTTAAAGATGCCAACGAGCAGATCAAAAGACTTGAATTGAAGCTTGATTCCACGGTTGCCCGCAATCAGGCGGAGAAACAAGCGTGGGAAGAAGACCTTCGAGTTCTAGAAGAAACATGGCGACGTAATTGATGGAAACCAAAATTCAATTTTCTTCATTAGTTCTTGGAGATCGAAATTCTTTTCCTAAAAGGTTATAGTAATCTACAGGAAGATGTGAAGCTTTGACCGCTCAAAATGAAGCCTTTTCTGCAGAAGATATAGTAAAAGAACTAGAAGATTCTAAACTGCGGAATAAACGACTGAAGGTAAATCAGTTTCTGTCATCCTACTAATTTGTGTTCTGGTTTTATAAGAATGATTGGCGATGCTTTGTGTTTAACTGACATACCCTGCAGGAGGAGCATGAATCAGTACGTGAGCTTGCAGATAGACTCATCGAGGAGAAGGATCGAGAGATATCCAGACTCGTGGATGAAAATAAAAATCTTCGAAAATCTATGGAACCAAAACCAGTAGTACGTTGATGGTTTTTAGTTTTTTTTTTTGCGTTTTTTCTTACCTCTCCTATTTGTCTTAATCGGAATTCGCTAGTAACCTTTGAATTTAATTTGCACTTGAATATTTCACTCTTCATGTGGCACTAACTGGAACAAATTGCCATCTCAGGTTCACCACTATGGGAACAACAATACAGGTATGAGACTCTTTCTGTTACTGTTTTTTTCTTTTAAAAGTTTGGCTCACAATGAATAATGAATCAGCGGGTTGCCTGTCGTCAACTAACCTATTATTTCCTTCAAACGGTGTTTCAGAGTCACAACAGCAGGATGTATCTAACTTGAACACTTCTGCAGCAGAACACCAGATTCTGGTAGGAGTTTGTGATATAAGCCGTCTGCTTGTCCGAGCAAGGACTGATTTTTAATCCTAGAACAGAATTTCATATAAATGTAATGCTATGGGAACAAACAATCACTGATAGCTAATTTTTACACATAAATAAATTTCAGATATTGGCGAGGCAACAAGCTCAAAGAGAAGAAGAGTTAGCACAGACACAGCGGCATATATTAGCTCTTCAGGTATATAAGAATTGGTTGCATCTATAAATTCTGTCTCTGCCCATGTTTCAGTATTTATTTTTAAAAAAATATAAATCAGGAGGAAATCGAAGAGCTTGAGCGCGAAAACCGGCTTCACAGTCAACAGGAAGCCCTGCTAAAAACGGAGTTGAGAGAGATGGAAAGAAAACAGAAGAGAGAAGGTGTAGATATGACATACCTAAAGAATGTGATTTTAAAGTTGTTAGAAACAGGTAAAATAAAAAACTGAAGGTTGATCGATAAAAGTTGATGTTGTAGGGGAAAATAACATGTGATGATGGTTGCAGGTGAAGTGGAGGCTTTACTACCCGTAGTGGGAATGTTGCTTCAGTTCAGTCCGGAGGAGGTTAGATCATAAGGCTTGGACCTTTGCAGAGTGTTAATGTTGTTTTTAGAAAACCTAACAATGGTTGATGGAATTGGCAGATCCAAAGTGTCAGCAAGCGTACCAGAGCTCAACAACAACAATAACAACAGCAACAGAGGCGAGTCCAGGTGGGGCAAGTGAAGGTTCGGGTCTATCTCTCTTGTCAAGATTCTCGTTTTCCTAGTTGCGTGGGCACGATTGCAACACCACATTGTTTTGGGCCATGAAGATGACTTGTTTCTTTTTGAAGTCCTTGGTTTTGTGTAATGGAGGATGTTAAAAGCCAAGAAAACACTTTTTTGTTAACATCTTTATTTTTATTTTTAGTTGTAAAGAAAGGAAGCCACTGAGTTGAGTCGGGCCATTAAAATCCATACAGAGAATTTTTATGATAATCAGAACAATGAATGATACTGCAAATTAACTCAAAATGTGGAGTTTTTGGTAAACTTGCTAATTTATGGGATCAGATGCGCGTTGGGCGGAATCAATGAATAACATATTTGAACGGGTCACAGTATATATATATGAGGACAGGACGATGGGAGCTGAAAGCTGATTGATTGATTGAAGGCGATGGAGGCTCCAAGGCACAAATTGCACTCAGGCTTGCGCTTGTGGGAATTCCCTGATCAGTACGTCATCGAGCCAACCGACGGTTCCGGCGCTTCATGCTTGGACATTAGTCGTCTTGACGGCTCCATGAAGCTCATCGGTTTGGTTTCCTCCTCTGTTTCCTTTTTCTCTTTGCAAATCTCTGTTTGCTCTCTCCCTGGAGCTCTCTTTCCACTGTTTTCAGATCATGTCGCTGAATGCAACTCTTTGCGTGTCCCCAAAATCCGTTCCATTTTTGGTGTCGTTGGGACGCTGAAGCTCCTCGCAGGTTTTACACAGTACAATTGCGAATGTCTTCCATTTCCATATGGAACCAATCATTGCAAATCTCTCTCTTTTGGAATTCAGGATCATACTTGGTAGTGGTGACAGAGAGCGAGTCTGTTGGCTCGTTTCTGGGGCATCCTATATTCAGAATTAATTCGCTCAAGGTTCTTCCTTGTGATCTTTCGCTTAAAGACTCGCCTGAAGAACAGGTGACACCGTCTTCCATCTCCCTCTCTGCTGTATACATTAACTAATTCGCTCCACTCTCAAATCATTTGTACTGCTTGTGCTTTCCCCAGAAGAAGATGGAGACTGACTTCTCTAGCCTTCTAAGTGTCGCTGAGAGGACAACTGGTCTCTACTTCTCTTATGAAATTAACTTGACTCTCACTGCACAGCGCTTGCATGATTTGGGTGATGACTCTAAGTCCCTTCCTCTGTGGAGACAGGTTCTCCCCACACCCACCTTTCTATACAATCTAACTTGTGTCATATCCTGAAACTTAACTTTTGCATCTTCATGCTATAGGCTGAGCCTAGATTTCTTTGGAACAATTATATGTTAGAAGTGCTTATCGATAATAAGGTTAGCCAACTCTTCTTGACTATCTTTAACTTCACTCCTACTTGCATTACATATATATAACCTTTTTTTTGTTGTTGTTTTTAATTTTTGTAGCTTGATCAATTCTTGCTTCCAGTAATTCAAGGGAATATCCTTTTTCCCCTTCCTATCAGCTATTTCACTCCCCTTTAATTTCTTCTATCTCCTCTGCATGGTCTTGAGTTTTCTTACTCGAATCTCTTTCCTAGATCATTGACTTTAGATATTTCCTTGACCTCTAATCACGCTTCCATAGTTTTCAAACAGCCATAGGAAGAGATATCGTTGACATTACTCTGATTGCTAGGAGGTGCACTAGAAGAAATGGTATGCATTTAATTCTCTCCAGAAGGTTGTTTTTGTGTGAAATTATTATGTTGGACTACTAGAAGCTTTCTTCTATGTTGAAAAAGAAACTGAAGCGCATTTTGAATTCAGATGACAAATATACCCTCAAAATCAATTTTGAATTCAGATGATTGTGACTGTATCTTGTCTCTTATTCTTTTATCATATTGCAAGGTACACGCATGTGGCGAAGAGGAGCTGACCCTGATGGATATGTTGCTAATTTTGTGGAGACTGAGCAAATTGTACACATGAACGGATACACATCATCATTTGTTCAGGTGATACATGTTTGCAAACTGTGATTCCCTAACTTTGGTCATGTCATGGATTCATCACCCATTCAAATATTTTGATTTGCAGGTTAGAGGATCCATGCCTTTTATGTGGGAGCAAATTGTAGATCTGACCTACAAACCCAAGTTTGAGATTGTCCAGCCTGAAGAAGCTGTGAGTATATGATAGATCACCGTTACTATAGATAGTGTTTTTCATTCGCTAGTAACCTACATTGGATTTGGGAGTCCTCCTGTAGGCGAGGATAGCTGAGCGTCACTTTTTGGACCTAAGGAAAAAATATGGATCAGTTTTGGCGGTTGATCTAGTCAACAAGGTGATACTGCTCCTGTTTGCTGTTGGTCATTTGATTACTGTCAATTGTGTATTTATATAAATCAGTAAATACAAGTGTAGTTGAATTTTTTCCTATTCCTCATCATCAATTGCTTCTTCTGTAATCAGCATGGAGGTGAGGGGCGCTTAAGCGAGAGGTTTGCAGGTGCTGTGCAGCACATCGCTGGTGATGATGTAAGGTACCTGTTCGTTCCTCTAACAACATCCTTTCTATACTGTTTTATCAACATCCTTTGCTGAAGAATGATTAATGCCTGATCCTGTAGATACCTCCACTTCGATTTTCATCGCATCTGTGGGCATATTCACTTTGAGCGCTTAGCTATTCTGTACGATCAGATGGAGGATTTCCTTGAGAAAAACGGGTACTTAGCTTTTTTGTATATCTCCTTCCTCGCATTTAATCTTTTACTAATAAGTTGTATGAACTTACTCACTTTGAGTCTACACAGCTACTTTTTGTTGAATGAAAAAGGTGAGAAAATGAAGGGGCAGCTTGGTATCGTGCGCACAAACTGCATAGATTGCTTAGACCGTACAAATGTCACCCAGGCTAGTATCAATATCCATCATCATGTTTCTCCTCGTCTCTTTGCTCTTTTGCTCATCCTATACGGCCAAATGCAGAGCATGATAGGTCGCAAGATGTTGGAACTTCAACTCAAAAGGATTGGTGTTTTTGCCGCCGAAGAAGCTATAAGCTCGCATCTAAATTTTGACGAGCGCTATAAAATATGTTAGTAGCTTATTATTGTTAGTGAATAAAATGTCTTCAAAACTCATATATGGTGTTTGGCTTCAGTATGGGCTAATCACGGGGATGACATTAGCATCCAGTACTCGGGCACTCCTGCACTTAAAGGAGATTTCGTCAGGTAAATGTAAATTCCGGAGATCGAAGAGTGTTAAATTTTGCATATTATTTCCACATTGCCATCTAATCTTTTATTTTTTTTAAATTACAGGTATGGCCAAAGAACAGTTCAAGGGGTCCTTAAAGATGGCTGGAATGCCCTCGCACGCTACTACCTGAACAACTTTGCTGATGGAACTAAGCAGGTTGGTGGCTCTGATTCACTTGCTAAGTCAAAACTCTACTGACTCTTTTGATAATCTTGGTTGGGTGCATAGGACGCGATTGATCTCGTGCAAGGACACTATATCGTTGCTGTGAACCGCGACATGGCTCCTGTGCCCCGAAAGGGAGGTCTTGAGGCTGTAGCCGTAAGCAATCTATTAGCTACATATTATAATATCAGGGAGATTATCATATTCTGGTCTAATTAGCAAGAAACCTCTCATTCCTCAGAACTTGCCGGTGGCGTTGGCGGTGGTTCTGATTAGTTTTTGGTTGGCAACAATGTCACTAAAACGAGGTACGCTTGATCTTATGCACTAGGTGTAGGTGTAGGATGGAATAACAAAAGGTTTGACAAATAATGGTGTGTGTTGGGTGCAGCTGGGAGTGATTATAGGCACTTGGTTTTCTCATTGGTGTGGGCTGGCATCAGTGTGGCTGTCACGGCACTCGTGAGGGCCAACGCCCGGATCTTCTGCAACCGGCCTCGTCTGCACAGGCCCAGATCTTGAATGAACCCCATAGCTTGCCTTTGTTTCCTTTCCTCACGCTTTCATTCTGGCTTATGATGCCTACTAATGGCAAATCGGCTTTTCCAATGTTGGATATTAAACATGTACTGTGGGCCTCAACAAAATAGTTATTAAGCAATAGGTTTATTTGAAATGGGCCAATTTGATAGGCTGGTAATATGATGATAGTATATTCGAGTATATTCGAGTATACACTAGATGGTGCCTATAAAACAAATTTTCTTTTAAAACAAACTCTAAAGATACATAGCGAAAACAGAGTTATGTGGATCCCAGTGTTATTCCAGTGATGAACGTTTTGGGTTTGACCTAACAAAATTAGTCCACATGATATATGATGATACATAGTGAAGGAGAGAGAGTCACTGCCTAGACCTCGACTCAGCCCTTCGAGCCTCTTCACGCGTAGATGGAAACAACTCCACATACCTTGACCCAATAGACATCTTGTCCTTAGCCATTGCCCTCCTCGACTCCTCGGCCGTCTCAAACTCCACAAAGGCCTCTCCCGTGGCTTTCCCATCAGGTCGACACACAACATGTACCCGTCCTTCAACAAGCTTGTACCCGCCGAAAAACTCAATGATCTGAGGCTTGTTCACCGAGTAGGGGAGGCCTCGCATCTTCAAGACCTCAGTGTACTCAAGCTTGTCTTTCTCGCCAAGCCTCTTTGCTCTAGATGGCCCGGCAGGAGGTGGGCTAGCACGGACCTCGTTCTCATAGGCGCCCTCCTCAGCAGCCACGGCATTGTAATAATCCTGCTTATAGCACCGGAAAACTTCCACGTATCGCCTCCCCATATTGTGCCTGTCCCTCTGCAGAGCGATCTCAACTTGCATGGGGCCGGCAAAGACCACAAAGGCCTCGCCGGAGAATTTGCCGTTTTTGCTGACCAGCAAGACATCGACGATGTCGAGCCCGGCAAAGAACTTGAAGATGTCAATGTCGGAGCAGTTGAAGGGGAGGCCCCTGAGGCGAACCACAGGGAAGACAAAGGCGTAAGGAGGAAAGCTGGTTGCTCCGCTGCCAACTGCCAAGTAGGGATTTGATTGCATCATTCTTTGTCTCTTTGATCCCACCTCGTAACCCCCGCTCCCCAACATTGCCCTAACAAACCCCACAAAGAGAGATTCCCGCACTCAACCAGTTAATATTTAACCATTCCCAATCCCCAACCCAAGCCTTTCCCTGTCTTTCAACCCATAAACACATATATATATCTTCACATTCACCCGACTCCATCATGATTGTATCTCAATTTAACCCACACCATCTTGTCCTATACACCAACCCCTCTAATTTCTAAATCGACCGCAAGAGTCTCAGAGTACCAATCAAGACACAGTTTCAATATCGAGCAGAATAATAATTCGAAAGATCAAATGCAAGAACACATACCCTCTAGATCCGTACATGAATGACCTGCTCTTCTCTCAACCCTCCTCGCTGGCTCGTCGTCGTCGTCGTCGTCGATACAGAAAAGAAAATTCAAGTCTTGCCCATGAGAAAAGGGGAAAATATCCCTAAATATATCCCGGGGGACGGAACCTCTGTACCCATTATCACGGCCCAATACACTAATGAGGCCCATAATTATATTAATCAACTTTTTTTTGTTATAATAAGAAAAATGAAGCTTGGGGATTCTGTCTGCGGACATGAATCGTAGCAGTTGCTGATTGATTCGCAAAGGGGTTTTAACTTCAATCTCATCATATCTTGACAATTTTGCTTCTGAGCTCCTGCAAATTACACTGGTTGGATTTGGATGGTCTAATCTTCGCCACTAATTAGCGTTCGCCGCAAAAATGGCCGGGAAATGCCTTCTGGTCACCGGCCCTCCTGTGAGCTTCTCTTCCCTTTTCCTCTCATATCCGTTTAGGGTTTCTCTGCTCTTTGGAGTTGAATTTTTTTATTTATCTCGCAGGGTGTCGGAAAAACAACAGTGATCATAAGAGTGTTAGATATGATGAGGGTTTCCAACCCTAGATTAAAGATGCAGGGATTCTACACTCGTGAGCTCTTTACCGTTTTCTAATAATAGCAGCAAACAAAATCCGCCTACTGCTACATTGTCTGGTTGGTATTTGATGCAGAAGAGATGAGGGAACGAGGCGAAAGGGTTGGTTTTCAAGTGGTCGCCTTGGACGGCCGTACAAGTTTGCTCGCTTCTTCCACTGTTTCTAGGTCCATCCTCCTTTTACTGTAACCTTAATACTTTCTCTCTCTCTCTCTCTCTAGTCCGGTCCATCTGACAATTAGGCTGGTCTCTCTGTGTTGGCAGCCCCGAATCGATGAGATGGCCTAGTGTTGGCAAGTACAAAGTGGACATTGCATCGTTCGAGTCTATAGCATTGCCTGAGCTCCAGGTCCTCTCTTTGGCTGCTGCCTGTTATATGATTCATTATAGGACACTGACTGGTTTATCATGATGGTTTTTCAAGGTCAAAGACGACACCCATCTTTTCATCATTGATGAGGTTGGCAAGATGGAGCTGTTTAGCCCATCCTTCTTTCCGGCTCTTCTCAAAGTTTTGGAATCCAACATTCCTCTTCTTGCTTCCATTCCCAGCCCTACATTTGGTCCACATCTTCCTGCAGGTGATTCTGTCACACCTTTCTTTCTTTATCCTTGGAAGCAAACATATGCCAGTGATGACTGCTACATGGATTGGAATATTTTTGAAATTGCCTTCACCTTCTTTACTCTTTGGGTCTTGCTGCCGTTGTGTAGCCCATCCTTTTTTAAAGTCAATGCTGTGGTCCTGTTTGATGTATTGGCTTTCTGTGTCCTGTTTTACTTACGGTTACATTCAATCTTCATCAACCTGATGGAACTATCTGTTTCCTAAACATTGTCATTATATTTCTTGTCTGCAGTTGCGATGTTAAAGAACCAACCGGGAGTGACCGTAATCACACTGAGTGCGAGTAATAGAGATTTGATGAAACAACACATCTTTGACGTTTTCTCTGGATGGCTGCCCAAGCACTAGGGTTTCTCTATCAACCTTGCATTTAGGCTTTTAATACATTAGAGATTCAGTCAGACCCAAGAGTGTAAAACTATTTGCGTAAATATACTTACCGACCGTTGATTGCATTTGTTGTTAATGATTCTCTTTGAGATGCAAATAAAGTATAAGCAAGAGACTGAATATTTTCTTCACTGACAAAAGAGTATAGATAAAAAAAAAAAAAAATGTTATTAATATCCGACACTCTTTATAGTAAGCCGATTTCCTGTCGACGGAGAAGAACAAAAGGATGTTGGGAGAATTTTATAGAATCTTTGTCGTCTTAAACATTAAACATGTGTACATCATATACTGTAGGTGTATTAGTAGGATACACATAAGCCTAAACGTCCCTGTGAATATCGACATCCAAAAACCCTAATTTAGGCGGTCTTCTCTTATCACCTTCCTCCTCCTCCACTCCACAGGCGCATTCTTCAAGGTAACTCTAAGCGTATCCCATTGTTTTGTAGAAATATGCGTCGGCTTTCTCCGTCGCTGTTGTTCTGAAACATGGATGGAATTAAGATCTGACTGATGACTAGGGTGCTAATTAGCGTGGGGTTTTGTATGTGTAGTTATGGAAGCCGTCAATGCCATGCGACCCAGAAAGCCTCTGACAAAAGGGCAGCTCGATGATAATGATAATGCAAGAGTTGAGTACCATCTTAACAATCTTTTAGCTGCTCATTTGAGTAACCCAGATCTCACACCTCAGGAGATTGCAGAGGCGTCAAGATCTGCTGCTGCGGCTGCTGCTACAGCTGCAAAGGCGGCCAGGGCTACTGCGTTTGAGAAGGCGGCTGCAGCAGCTAAAGCGGTTGCTGCGGCTAAGAGCGCTCTGGATTTGATTGCCTCCTTTCCGGACATGAAGAAGCATGTCGCTGCTGACTTGCAACAAGGGGAGGTCAGTCAGGGCATATTGTCAAACGCTTCCTTTAGAGATACTGAGCACGCCATCTCCAAGAGGTTGCATTGCAATGGCCTTGGCATGGAGTTTGGTGGAGACGGAGCAAAAGAGGAGACTCCGGTGGCCAGAAAGAGGGGCCCCGGCCGCCCAAAGTCCAAATGATGAAATCAATTGGCGACAACCGTGTTTTATTTGTGGTCTGCTTCTTCACAGCCGCTTTGCCTTTTTTCATATCATGTAAACCAAATAATCTATCACACACTCGAATCTGAGCTTTACTTTTCTTATTGGTTTTTCAACAAAATGGTGGTAATAAGACTCAACGAAACAAGTGGGGGAGTGTACAGAATAACAATAATGCTTCTGGAGGTAACAATGCGCTTCTCCTTTACTAGTGGCAAGAATAAAAACAAGTTCGGCTCAGGCCTTGGATGTCAGGATCTCGTGTACGGCCGTCCAGGTCCCGGTGACGGCTATAGTAACGCCGATGAGGAAAACAAGAACGTCTACCACCACTCTTGCAATGCTCAATTCGTTTTTGAAAGCCTGCAAGTGGAAGAGCGATGGCAAGACGAAGCCCAGCACAACGCACACACTGCTCCCGACCAGAGATAGGAAGTCTGCAAAATTAGGGACGAGGAGGGCCACGAGAGTGACCACCAGCACAGTGGCCCAGCGCACCCAGACGGAGTAACGGGAGTTGCAGAGGCGGCGTTCGATGACCTCGTAGACAGGGTGCATCATGAGGGGAAATGTGAAGAAGAGGTTGATTGCTAGGCCCAGCTGCACCAGAGTGCTCACCACTCCTGTCCCCAGGTTTGTGGTGATGATGTCTCTCGTCTCCTCTCCGTAAGCCATGTACCCGAGCAGCCCGAACGCTCCGTACATGATGGAGATTAGGCCCATGGCTAGCCCCAGCGCCCTGCCGAACTTGTCTTTGTATTTCGCCTCCAGTTCCAGCGGCAGCACCTGTTTAAGGTTTTAATAGTTCAACACACACACACACATTCAAAGGTTTCATCAGTTGAACACACATTGAGATACAGATACAGTAGATGAGGTTTGTTTTTACCATTCCGATCCCTTCGAATGCGTACACAGCGACTCCCAGCCCGTAGAAGAAAACAGAGAAGCCTCCGAAGACTCTCAAGGGAGGTCTTCGTTTCAGGAAGATGAAAACATCCTGCACCATAACCACCATGGTGGCTGCCACGTCCACTACGTCGGCGAATATACTCAAAGGGGCGAGATGGGTGAGCGTTGGGATTGAGTTGAGACCCAGCTGAAAGGGGAAGCACCCCCACATGTAAATGGAGCTTGGATCCAGCCCCAGAATGTGATCCGTGCCACGGCTGAGGAGATTGGCCATTGTGGTGGCGACGAAGATGAGGTAACTGACGCAGAACCCCGCCTGCGAGAGGACAAGCATAACGTCGACCACGAGACGCCCTGCGGGTCCGCAGACGGATTCGCCGAGATCTCCGAAAGAAGTGATGCTGGAGAATCCCGAGAGAGACTCGAGTTTGCGGCGGGTGTGGACGAGGAGCATCATACAGAAGAAGGTGAGGGAGGCCACGAAGAGGAGCGTGAGGAGGCCCAACAGCCATCCGGTCTTCTTGAAGGTGTAGGGAAGGCCGAGCACGCCGGCGCCGACGATGGCGATGAATACATTCGCGAAGGTCTTTGGCTGCGACGACAATGTTCGGGGACCCAAAAGAGGAGTGTCTTCCGTGGGAACAGATGGCAGCGATTGGGAAGACGATCCGGCTTCCTGATCGGACCCCGTCCCCATCGAAATTCCAGAGTACAAATGTCAAAGGAAATTGAGAGACTAAAACAGAAGGATGAGTGAAGAAGAAGAAGAAGATCAAGTATTAACAGAAGAAGATCCCTTATGGGGCTATGGTGGATTGTAGATTTCTGTGTGGTCAAATGATATAATGTTTTTCTCTTTTAAATATCCGACTAAAAATACTTAATTATATTAATACATACTACTACTGTTTAATGTTTTTTTTTACCACATCTCAGGAGTCTGACAACTTTAATTTGCTCACGAAATATTTATAATATACCATGTGATCCCAGAGGATCCACCGACACGTGTTACTTGGCTTAACCAAATTCTTTCAATGGACTCATTATGAGGCTGCCAGGGCCGGACCTAGTAAGTGTGGTTACATTTGGCCCCATTACGCTTGTAAATTTCGGACAATTGAAAATATAAAATGCAAAATTGTTTTTATTGCTCCCATCAACTGTGTTGTCTAATTCCATACTCATTGAATCAAATCAATTGGTATATATGATAACGTATCATCATGTATCCAGTTGCTAGATGATTCGCCACCGACCGTATAATTGAATAATATTATTTTTATAAGTAAGTGAAAAAAAAATACAGAAGAAATAAAAATAAAAAGGGACAGGAAAGGAGGGGAGGACAGGTGTGAAGAAATGTAGAAGATTCGAGAAAAATGATTGAAGACGTGAGAACCAGTAGCAGCAAAGCAACGTGGAGGATGCAGCCGGGGCACGTTTCTTTCTTTCTGTGCCCAACTTCGACACGCCTCTCCTGTTTGGGCTCTCTCTTTCTCTATGGGCCCACACTTCCTTCCCCTTTTCTAGAAAAAAGCCCACAAAAAAAACTATGTCTTTCTCCGTTTTATTTGGCAAACCACTACTAAGTAGTACTAGGAAAGTATCAACCCCAAAAAAGAGAGGAAAGTATCAACAAATAATTAAGAAAAAAAAACCAAGAGGTTGCATCCTCCATTTGCTTTTCACGAGAGGATGGAGAGGAATATGGTTGACCACACGGTGAGGGCTAAAGATGCAACCAGATAGGTCCACAAGAAGATGACAGCGCACTCATCTTGAGCCACGTCGAACAGTTGTGCCATCGTGCCTGCGATCCATAACACAAAATGAAATGAAATGATTATCCCCTATTTATCTAGCTACAGGCAACAATGGATGTCGAGTAATTACTGATATTCATAGCAGGCGGAAGGGTGAACTGAAGCATGAGAACGTATCGGAAGAGAGGGTCTGGAGGAAGATAGCCTAGGTTCCCCGCTAAGTGGACCACCCCGACCCCCACCACGGGAAGGATTATATAGCGCACACAGATCACTCCCACGATCACCGACGTTTTCACGGCTGAGGAACGCAGACCCTGTATCAGGTTTCCCCCCAGTATGAGTGTGATGCAAGGAATCGTGCCTTCCCTGCCAAATTAACTCTATATATTAGTCGTGTGACGGATGTTTCCATATCTAAAAACGTGCTCCTATATAGTATATACCCAAGTAGTTTCACTGAATCTTGGATGACTCGCAGCGGAGCATTCTCCCCGATTATAAGATTCCTCAGCCAATTGGTTGCTCCGAAGACGAAACCAAGAATCTGAATGGAACACAAAACGACATATCAGAGCATTAGATCTAGTACTATAGTTCATTATTGATTGGATAAAATGAAATCATGTCTCTCTTTCTCTGCTTTTATCATATACTTACGGCACCAACAGTGGGTGGTGCAAAGAGTTCCTCAAGAATCTGATGGAGCAAGTCGTTGATGTATGTCCGAGTAGACACCTTTTGTTTGACTTGGATTTCAAGGTCTTGATTTTGTTGCGGCTTCAGGAGAAGAGTGTGGGGATCCGAGTCCATGTCCTTGTTGGGAGTTTTTACCAAGCCGGCGGCTGCGAGAGCTTTAAACTGTGTAGCAGAGCTTCTCACCAGTTGGTAACTGTAGGTCCAAATGTAGAAACCCCCAAGCTGCGCTTGACAAAAGAAGGAAAATTAAATTTACTTTAACAAATCTGAGCAGAGGAAAGATGATATGTTTGGTTTAACTTACAGCCATAGAGAAGGATGCATAGGAGAGTCCAATGGATCTGCACACACTCCGATTCCCAAAAGGGCTGCCTTCCTCGTCACAGATGGCAGGAACAAGAATAAGCATAAGGTTTCCCATATTGCCTACATCACATATATATATATATATATATCATTTATGTTAGAATTCGGGAACCTCGCTCCTTGGTCAAATTTTGAGGAACTAGTGTCACCTGAGGCACAAGTAGCGATGATAAGACCATGAAGTTGAGGTTTGGGGTTTAGCAGCTTGACCACCAACCATCCAAGAATGCCTCCTACTAGAAAGGTGATTCCAACGTTTATGGGCATGAACCACCTGAAGGAATTTATTTCTGTAAATCAAAACCAAGCCACATATGGTCTTTCATATGGGCGAGTGAAGAAGGGTAGTGCATACCATGAAATAATGTCCTGCAATGTGACAGTCTGGGCAAGGTTGGCAAACATGATGCAGGGGGTGAAGACCACGAAGACGAGCTGCAAAGAATGTATATATGTTCACTTATTAGTGTGTATGTGAATGGTAATCGAAAGAAAAAAAAAAAAGAAGAAGCAAAGATGGAGGTTGTACTTTGTTTACGGATCTTCGGGTGTCTGCGGAGAGAAGAGAGCAGTAATCGGTTGCCAAAAAGGCACCAAGGATGCTGATTAGGAGAACTTGGACGATTGGCATTGAAGCCACCTCCAATAACTCTAAGAAACCCATCCCTTTTTGTTTCTTGCAGAAGAAGAAAAGCGGTCAATGTAAGATAGATATGAAAGCTTTGATATTCTGGCTGTTTGTGTAGACTAGAGTGGCGAAAATGAAGGGAATTGATGGGTATATATTAAAAACGCAGAGGAGTGGGGGTACATGTACAAGAGGAAGAAGAAGAGTCCAACTTTTCAACAGGAGGAGAAGGCATACAAGCAAAGGGATTAATTAAAATTAAGGACAAGTTGGCTTCTGGGTAATGTTGGGCTCAGGTGGTGCACATCACATGGACATCAAAATTTGAAGCTTCAAAGGGACGTGAGGCTTTTGGGATCCTCTCAGGTTAATGTTGACAGAATCAAAGCAAGACTCGTAACAAATTTCATGTCTTTCTATATCCAACCCAAAGCCTACCAATTTACAACCAACCAATACTCGAGCAAAGGAGGCACAAGTAATCCAAGCTGTCACATTTTCCCAAAGTGCACAAGCTTGACCTTTTTTATTATATTATTTGTTTTTAATATCCTTCCAACTTGACGCCCAAGCTTCAGCGACGGCTGCGATTGCGATGCCAAGTCCACCGTACTCATCGTTCCCTTTACTTTATTACATAAATCAATAATAATTAGGAGACTTTCACAAGCCACTCTGCTAAACTAACTATCCCGACCCAGCACATACACACATGGAAAACAGAGTAATTTAATTTGAGAAAAATGATCTATATATTATAACTAAACAATGATCGACAGGCGAAAAAACTTATGGGGATAAATCAGATAATAATAATAAAGAAGAAGAAGAACCCGTCGTTTGCTTGTATATATGTCTCAGAGAACTACGTATTTAAGCTGAGGATAAGATTTGAATTAAACTAAAAGATATTCAAAGAATTATCTAAACAAGAAAAGGTAAGAATGATGAGACCAGGTTTTGTGGTAGAACTAGTCTGGGAGATATGATATGTGCGCATGCATGACTTGGAAATGGCGTGTATACAGAACGGCATTGGTATAGCAAATTAAAGGAGAGAGAACCAACCTTGGGCACAGCTTGATATTTTTGAATTGGGGTGGTTATCATGGTTGACTAATGGGCCTGACCCCTACACGAGTATTAAAACTAGATCTGGCAACTGCACTTATCACAGGCCCATTAAAAAGCCCACGCAGTGTTACATATCCTTACTTTCCTTCCTCGATTCAACGCGTCCGAATCTCGAACACGTTCCGGCGAGATGGAGGAATACCCGGAAGAGCTCAGGACGCCGCCGGTGAGTTTGGTGGCTCTCTTCGGACACTCGGAGCTACACGCGTCCATTACTAAGCATCTACATTCCCAGCAGCCTCCCATCAACGCTCTGGCCTTCCCCGACTTCTCTCATCTCTCTCTCCTCCTTGCTCATGATGATCAAATCAACCGAACCTCCTCCTTCAGAGATCCTCTCAGCGTCTCTGAATCCTCTCCCCCCACTCCGTCCAGATGCGGCGGCATCTTAAAACGGGACTGGTTGCTAAAGCATCGCACCAAGGTTCCTGCACTTGTCGCCGCCTTCTTTCCCTCACATCACATCTTCGGCGATCCAACTCAATGGCTACAGGTCTGCTCCGATCTCGACAACCTCAAGTACTTCCCCATCTCCCTCGTTTGTTTTCTTCTCTTTGTTCCCCTCATTGGTTTCAGATTAATAATGCCATCTCCATTGCCAGATCCGTCATCCGTCCCAAAAACATCAAACTGGTGGTGGTGGTGGTGCAGTCTTCTCAACAGGGTAGCGTTTTCTCCGATTTGTGTATATATTTTCTTCAATTTCTACGATTATCCTCGTGGTTACTCTCGCCGACTTTTTCTAGAGGAAATTAGCGAAGATCGTCTGGTGGCATTGCGAAGGCGAGCAGAATTAGATTCCAAGTACGTGCTCTTCGTCAATTCCAGCATAGACTCTGAGCTCACTCTCTCTCTCTCTCCAGGCATGTTTGCTGTTTCTTTCCTCCTTTCCTGTTTTTTTTATCTTGCACCTACACAAGAAACAAACAAGAGGTTTGTCCTTCAATACCCTCTCAACGCAATATGTTTGCAGAATCGCTTCCGCGTTTGCAGAGTTGGCGCTTGCGTATTACAGAGAAGAAGGCAGAAGAATCAAAAGCCGTATTGAGAAAAAGAGTTCCCACTCTCTCGATTTGAATGTTCGCTATTGTTTCAAAGTAAGCC